CCGATGGCTGCAGAGGAAAAAAATGCTGTCCCTTTCTATTACCCTGCGCCTTCTATATTTCCTGCGCAATGAATTACGATTTTTTCAATGATGCGGTTGCTTAATTCGACATAAATAGTCGAGTTAGTTGCCAAAGATTGAGCATAAAAATACACGGGATATAAGTATGAAGGCTTCAGCTTTGAGGCATTGTGTATGAAGTACGATGAACCAGAACACAGCACTTTCAAATTTTCAGTCAGTGTATGTAACAGTTTGGAAAACGAACTCTGAAAAACGGAAATGATTGGCAATTAACGCTTTTTTCTCGCGCCACATAATTATGTGAGAAAAACAAAACATAGGAAGGGCGAGTAAAGGTTATGAGTAAATTGAATAGTGTGTTAGTGTGTGTGGTAAAGAAAAAGTAAACAATAGGGAATGTGCAATATGAGAGTGATGTAGAGATGCCTGAGCTGCGACTGGCTGCGATGTGAGAATGTGATGGAATGGATGAAAAGGGGAAATCAACAAAAACAGACCTAAGTAGAGTCACTACAAATCACACAAAATTTCAAATTCAAGTCAATCGTTCTTCTTATTTGTGGCTCACTATACATTGTTCTTATAGCAGTGTTGAGGGGTTACATAATAGTCAATTTGAACAATCCATGGACCAATTATAACAAGTTGTCCATTCTTGCCGGATAATCCCAAAGAATTCCAATTTTTACTCTGAATCCCAGATTACAATTTCTGATCCCAACAGCTTTTCCACAGTACCAGTTTCGTGAAATCTTGGATTGAATAATCCCAAATGGCAACTCTGGTACAAGATGAGAAAAAACCTACAAATTATCGACACCCACTAACATACAAATTAGTAGCCTGAGTTCCAGACTTTTAGTTTGGAGTCTGAAAGTCAGGCTAACTAATTAGTAGCGTACTAGTAAAGACTAATAAGTACAAGATGAGAAAAACCTAGTTACACTCATTTTTTTAAAAGAAACAGGTTATAAGAAACGGTAGGTTAAGGAAGTTAAGAAACAACCCTACCCAAATTGAAAAAAGCTAAGAAACTTTTATAATTTGCAGTTTTAATTTTCCGAGTTAACATTCGAAACAGTCTTATCATTGAACATCACTGTATATTGCAACACTACAATTGACAGACAGTTTGCATTCATTCTCAGTAAACTGCACACTCAAGTAATTTATCTCTGAATGTGAGTGAACTATTTACTTTACTTGGAAGCACGTTTAAAAATTCATTAGGTACCAAAGAAATTTAAGAAACATCTAAGAAACTTCTGATAACAAAATGGCCAGAAAATTTAAGAAAATGCCTACCAGCACCGGATCTTAGTTTTTTATAAAAAATACGTGTTTTCTTGTAGATTTTGTTGTTTTTTGAAAAAATTTGAAGTAAACAACTTTAAAGACCTTATCTCTTACCTGATGGGTACACGATCTCCAGCTCTGCAGTTCTCGCTTTTTGGAAACTGTAGCAAAGAAGCCGTACATAGTGTTCTTTCTTTCCTGGACTCATTGTAAATTTTCCAACGTCTAACATCTATTTCACGTTGAAATACCCGCTTGATATCTTCAAGCGTATCTCTTTTTACCCTACTACCAATTAATCCACTGTCGATGTTATACTTCAGCTGTCTTAGTAGCGATTTTGGATAATTGTCAGTTGTCATATTCAATGGCCTCTTAAATCGCCAGAAAGGACTTCGAAAACATATCTTGTAAATTTGCGCTACACCTAGCCATTTGTGGAACTTTCCATAGCTTTGCCTAAAATTTTAGCTAATCAGTCCCCCTGTTTAAGGTGATATCATAATTCAACTCCCCCTGGTCAATGCCAACTCCCCCTGGTCAAATTCCACAATACATTTGACTGTAGTTAACAGGGAAGAAACTCCCCCTGGTTAAGTCGGTATTCTTTGATATTTTAGATTTTTGAAATCCATGGGTTCTCGCGCCAATGTTGAGAACCCCTCGATCTGGCACAGTGATTGGCTAAATTCACTTCCACGGGTGCAGAAACTGGTATAATTTACAGGCCACGGGTGCCTCGAATGGCTGGGTTATAGAGGAGACAATGGTTTCCGAGTCTGTAGAATGCTATATAGCGAAACCAGGGGGAGTTTAATAGCATTTCAATTCTTCAAACGAAAAAATAGCGCTAAACACTTGTGAGACGGGGCACTAAAGCGGATGCTAGAATTTCAGGTTGTTGTGCGTAGTACTCAGAATTGAAGAGATTGTGCCTTCAATTGCTATTAAAAAAAAGCCTGCGAAATCTGAGGGGTGCTTGAGCACCCCTCGCACCCTACTGGATCCGCCCCTGGCTAACGGGAACTTGAGGTTTTTCCTCGTCGACTTCTACGATGGTTTATGAGATAGAAGATAAGAAATTTAGAAGATTTCTTAACAGTAGCAAAATCGTAAAGTCTTGTTGCTAACCGGCGAAAATTCTTGAAAATTCTTGAATATAAATGAGAGTACTAATTTTTCAACAATTTCACAGATAGACCAATGAAGGAACTCTGGTATTTGAAACCTTTTGCCCAGCATGAAACATGAAGATCAGTTGTCATGATATATGATATTGCGTCTGCTTCTACAAGTGAAGGTGAGGCAGGTTGTACATTTGCAGTCCATGAATAATGCCGCATCCTTCCAAAGCTTATCTTGTATCGTTGTATATAGTGGCAGTAAAAGTTTTGATTGGTAAAAGTGTACTTCTACAGTCAATTTTGCCAATGTTTTTCTTCGCATATCTGAGCTCTGTGCCTTGAAAATACCCCCAGGGAGTGTAGTTGAAAAAATTTTGACAGGGAGGCTCGGCTTATTTTTTTAGGTCTCAAATTTTTAACTGCAATAACTAGAAAACTGCAATAAGAATTGTGGTCGAGTCCTTGGCTGATTTTCAAATTTTTTATAAATTTTTCTATGACATCATCCAAAAAAGTAACTTCTGTGATAATTTTTTTGGTCTTTATCTTGAATTGGAAATTTCCGTAGTTTAATTAGTTGGAATGTAAAATAAAACTTTAGGTTAGGCGGTTTGCTAGCTTTTTCTACCTCGTTTTAATTTCAAGGAAGATATTTATTCAGAAATAAAGTTCACTAAAATTCTTTCAGACAAAGTTGCTGTGAAAGTTTTAGAGGAACTTGGACACGCAAAACCGAAAGACGAGGCCCCCTGCAAGTGTGGTAAGCAGAAAATTTTGTGACCACGCCCTTCAGATTAGTTTATAATGCATTTACATTCATCCATTCATAGCAGGTCAAATCAATGCTTTTAATAGTCATAACTAAAGCTTCATTGCTTTGCAAAAAAGTGGGTACATTATTTTGGATAAAGATTTTGCCTTACGTTTTACGTTTTACCATGCAACTGAGAGCCTCGACTGGAATTCTTCTCCAGAAATGTTCAACCTCGATGTGGAGTTTGATTACCAACAACAACAAACTGGAGCAGTGAAATTCAGCAATTTCGAAAAAATGGCAAAAGAATCTATGGAGGAATTAAAGCAAAAATTAACGTCGTTAGAGGGTATGCGGCATTATTTTAAATGCATCTGCTAGGTCTATTTTAGCTTTTGCGCTTTTCAGAATTTGTATTCAGTGTTTCCAGCTAGAAATATTTGAGTTATTATATATGACTGTATGAGCATTATCCAGTGCCAAATCTGCAGAGCGTGGCAGTTCTAGACAAGATCTTATGTGTGCCAGAGCAAATAAAAATGTATGCATGTGTGCAAGAATGCTGACTTAGTGTGCAATATGTGCACACTGTTAAGTTTTGGTCCAATATGTGCAGCAAGAATTTTTCAATTTGCCACACAATGTGTGCACAGCAATTATTTCTGCAAATGCGCTTTTGAGCATTCTACATAATTTTGACTTGAGATTATAATTAAGCACAAGGTCAATCATATGTTTTGTATGATAAAATTTGCGTTATTTTGAATCCTTGTACTTAGTAAAACTTCCAGGTTGGTGGAAACTGGGTGTGTGATTGAAATCCGGATCTAACTTGCACATACCCACAGTTTTAATGTGTTTGAATATTCAAGCAGGCAGCCCTAAATCTCTTTGCTGGCCTCTCAAACTCAAACTCAAAACATTTCATTCACAGCAATAATCAACTACTACATTTCTATTTAATACTTGAACCACAAATAACAATTATTTTTTAAAATGGCTTTGAAAAAAGCAAACATTTTACGATATACTAAAAGCTTTTTCGTCTGACACTCCTCAGAGCCAAAACGTCAGAATAATTTTCAAATTCTGTACCGCAAAAAAATTGTTCAAATTATTTTTTACAAAAAAGAAAAACTACATACAGTAGATAGTTTGAAGTTTGGTATGTTTGCTGTCGGACATATGAAAAGAACTCATGAAACTCTAGCTTTTTTCCAAACCAAAATAATAGAAGCAGTTTTGGTGTGCATTAGACAAACCTCTGAAAAAATCTTGTGTGTGCACATTCCACACTCTGCAGACTGGATCCAGTGTGCATTCAAGTTTCAAGTTTCATTCATTATCAATCAATCCTAAATACAATTCATAAACAAAACTCTACAACTGAGATACATAAAAGCTGAAAACTAAAAACAATACTAAAAACAAATGAAAAAATTAATTCACATGATTGAATTTAAGATTGACTGAGGAGCACCCTAAGTAGGTAAACTAATCGAGAGAGACCCAACCCCCCCACACCCCATTAAAAACTAAGAACCAAAAATTATTTTAAAAACAAAGACAGTACATATGCATATGCAAGTAGTCCAGCCTGGTTAGAAAATAATTAAAATTTTTTAGTGGGAAGTTGTTAAGGCTGTATTGAACAAAGTATGGCCTAGGCCTAGATGCTTCAAATGGAAAGTACATAGGGATGCATGGTTTTCTTGACTGTTGCTGGAATGATGTCATCATATTAATTTTTGTACCTGGCTGTGCAATGATATAGATGTGCATTAGAGATAAACCTTATTGACATGCTATATATTACGTTATTGTTATATGGAACCCATTTTTTGAGAAACTTCTTGGGGGTCCTTTTGGTGCCACTGACATTTTGCCTTTTTAATAAGCGCACTTCAGTTTTAGTTTCATTCATTTATCAAATCAATTTTGGGGGTTATTGTGTAGCTTCCCTTAGTAACCTTATATGGAGGAATGGATGCATTTTATTGCCCCCTCCCCCATATATGCCCCTATCCAGAAATTAAAATTTTTAATAAGCCCCCATCTTAACATGAAAATTTTCAACAAGCGGCAGTAGCACTGGGAAAATATACCATTTTAGTCAATGATTAATAACACATTGAGCAGATAATGAAAAAACTCAAACCAACACGGGAATGATGAAGAAACTTCTGAAGACAATAAACACATCAGTATTTTTGACTGAAATATATTTTTTTACTTTGATTTATACTTTGGTTTTCTGTTTTAGAAATAGTTTTCGTAACTAAAATTTCAAATCTTCAAAACTTTGAAAAAGCTACTCAACATGCTAATTTTTGTGTCACAACTTGGAGATAATTTTTAGAAGCCTATTCTTTTAAAGCCCCTCTCAAAAAGCCCCTATCAAAAAAATACCTAAACTGATAAATCCTTAGTTGGCCAATCAGAGGACTAACAGTAGATGTAAACAAATTCAATGTAATGCTATTTCTGCAAGTCTCACAAGTGTCAACATTTTGAATTTCTGAAAAGTAGCTTTTTCAAAATTTGAATAAAAAGCGCTGACAAGGTTTTGAAGTTTAATTTAATCAGGTTAGACTTTTAATTGTGCATTATGGCTTGAGAAAAAAGGTTCAAATCTTGATGACAATGTTACTTTTCAATTTTTTTCAAACCTCTGCAATATTTTTACATACTAGTGTAGTTAAATATTACACAAGTTGTATATATAGCATATGTGTAAATAGATTGCTTATGGTTGATTACAATTGCATTACAAGTCTGTTTTTATATTTTGTTCTTTTAACCAGCATTTATGGTCACTATTAAAGAACACACTGAACTAATAAAGAAAAGCAAACAGAAAGAAGAGAGAAATGAATTGCATATGACAACATCATCAAAAGCCACAAAAGATATCTTAAGTTTCAAGTTGAATTTGTCATCAGAAGTTGATAATGGTTCTACTATAGATGTGAGACATTGTAAAGGACCCCCCAATGACAAACTTAAATTTTCAAAAATATTCACAAATGATGACAAAAGAACAGTTCATGATTCATTGGGACAGCACAGTATGTCCATAAGTACTTCAGCAAATAATGAAGATTCAAGTAAAAGTCTTTCAGAGTTGGCAAAATATATATGGAGGGAGAAAAACAACACCAAAGTCCAATCCCTTTCTTATGGAAAAGTAATACCTGATTCTCAGAAAAGCTCTGTTTCCAAGAACAGCACTTCATTACCTAAAGTAACTTTACAATCGAAAACCTGGAGAAAATCAATTCAGACAGAAAATTGTGCCAGTTCAAATAAAAGACTAGATAAAATCAGCAATAGCTCTACTGAAGATAAACCAAGCAAATCATTGAGAGATTCAAGTGACGAACTCTCAATTTTGGCCAGAAAAACCTGGATGAATGCAAGAATCCATAGCAAATCAAGTGTGTTAAACAGAGTTAATCAACCACATAAAGCTTCATTATTTAAATTGCAAAGGAAGGTAAATTGTGACAAAGTGGCCAAAAATTCTTTGGAGGATAAAATAGAGAGCAAAATTGAAAGGACACACTCCAGTGCAAAGCAACTTTCAGAACTTGCAAAAGCTGTATGGCATCAAAACAAAGCTTCAAGAAGCTTTGGAAGATTATATAACCATGACTTGAAATCTTTAAAATATCAACATAAAGATTTCAAGTGGAATTCAAACAGAAATCCTGAAGGGCCTTTTAAGAGCTGTACATTTTTACATAGAAGGAAGCATTATGTTCTACATAACAGTATATTCAGAATGGTTAGAACACCATTTGCTACAAACAACAAAACAGAGGTGATTATTTATTACCAATGAAACATTTGATGTGTTGATGACATCTTGCTGACATTTTAATATTTGGCAGCATTAAATATTTTGTTATGGCTAGCCTTTGAAATTCTTTATACCATTCCTCAGTTATTCCCACAATGAACCAGATTTTGTCATCTGTGTTCTCAAATTGTTCAATGATTGTTATATGCTCCACTGCAAATCAAAGTGTAAATATTGTACTGGTTAGTTTTTAATTTTGTTACCTGAAAGATTATCAAAATTTTTCGCTTGACTTTTCAAAATTAGATTGTAGATCAGTCCTTCAAAAATGTTCAGGAAAACTTTCTGAACAAAAGTGAGAAAAGTTACCCTTTAACAAAGACTATTCTAATAAGTCAAAAGGAAACTTTTGTTTTGAAAAAGCTAGTAAAATAGCACTTGTGGGGACACTTATTTTCTCCTGCATCAGATGATCAAGAAAGGATTTATTGTTAAGGAATTATTGTTTAAACCATTTGCTTTAATACTTTTTACACTTTTTGTAGAGTGTGCCATCTACTCAGACGTCATGGAGTATAAGATATTCAAATATCCATCAAAAGAGAAGCTTCATTTATAGGTTTGAAATTATATTCTTATCCATCTGATGATATGGCATGCAGGTCTTGCTCTATACAAAATAAAGTTGCTCCATAGGATGAGCACCTAGAAAACCCAAGGCGCCCTATTTCAAGCCTCTTTAATACAACTTTATGAGGAGTGCAAAATGTCGCAAAAGTAGTAAAAAAAGTAGAAGTTGGCTCTTTTTTGGCATTGATAATGGGGATTGAGCTCCCATAGCACTACACCACTGGGCCCTGAGTATGATATAATATGGTGCTTATTTGCATACAGTATCATGTTAACAGGTCTTAGCCGATATATACACATGCACATTTTAATTCTAAATCTCAAGATGTCCCTACCTATGGTAGAACAAAGCAACCGCAACCTTTATATTTTCTAGCTCCCCTGTGAATGTATTATTGGAAAAAATGCTTGTACTTGCAAAAGTTGTGGCAAACTCCAAACAGTCAGCGGGAGGGATTAATGACAGTGTGTCATCTTAGCAAAAATGAATCAAACATTTTATGTTCAAACAGAAATGAAACATTTTCAAATATAATTGCATTTTCAAGTGATTCAACTCTCAAATTGTTTTAATACGTTATTTTGTATTTTCTTTGCATTGAAAATAATGTTTCTTTTTAAAATGTATTCTTGTATACCTGGTCTTAAAACAAACCTTGTATAAAATTGAGGATAAAATGTGGTCAAAAGATTAGTGGTAAAAACTCTTTTGCAAATCTTAGACACGATAATATTTGGAAGTGACTACATTTGAGGTCTTCTAAGATGTTCAAACGCTAGAAAAGTTTATAATAGCTCAACTGTTAAACAGCACTCTTGAAAAGTTGTTTCATGTTGACTAGTTCAACAAACCAAGCCGTAACTTTCTACTCCTGTTTGTAGTGCTAATTTGTTTATTATTTTCTCCCAGAAATAAAGCTTTTCAAATTAAAAAGCCTTGCTACCAACCCATTCAAGTTTATTTAAGTAGTTCAATGTTCATTTAAAACAGACAAAATTCAAGTTCTATTGTCAATCATAGATTATACGTTTTGACTTTCAGGCGACAAACGTTTTTGTATAAAAAGTCAAGTAATCAAAATAGGTAAGTCAAATTTATATTCATTAACTGCTGCTGGTGAATTAAAGTTACTCTGAAAATTTTTGTTATCTTTTGTATATGTTGACATTTTAAGACACTTAAAAGAACTAGGGATACTGTTTCCATTGTTAGCAACAGTATTCAAGGGTAGATTTTTGGGGAATTCTTCTTATATTTACTAGCCTGGATTGGTTTGAATTTGTTTCAGTACTGTCAATTGCCAGCTTTTGCTAAAGCATTTTTAAGTACATAGCCCCATTTTGGCATTTTTTTCCAGGTGGGTTTCTAAGAGGATAGTCAAGGACACCAAGGTATAGTTTGCTTGCAAAAACTGTCTGATTGCCTTTTTTATTGCATTGTCTGATGTTCAAGGACCAAAATTGTCAAATCTACTCAAACCCGTCAACTCTTTTGATTTTGCCAGGAGAAATGGTTACTGTGAGATTTAGCAAAAGGTCTGAATCGCATTTGTCGATCCAATATACAATAACTGTGAATTGAAATGAATTTTCTTAAATCCACCAAGACAAAATGAAAGCCCTGAATATAGTAATGTAATGATCTTTTGCTTCTGTATTTTAGTTGCCTCAAACTGCTCCAAGATTTGCAGCTGGAGGTAACGGCAAGACAGGTATCTTCTCTTCTAACTTACTCAATGCTATGCTTGCCATTTACCGTAAATTCTCTTTTGAGCTCCCCAGCGGGCTTATTGCTTTTCAGCTAATAAAGTCAGGGACTTATAACAGAGGGATGGGGCTAAATTGGGAGAGGAGGCTTTATAAATATTTGTAATTAAAAACCATTTATAGTGATTAACTAATTTTTTGTTATTTGTGAAATTAAAAACATCAAATCAGCCTTCTACATTAATAGTATTGTCATCTTCATCAATTATTAATTCTAAAATATCTTCTTGAGCCATGTCGCCTTATGAAATTGAGTCAGCTTTGAGTACCAACTGCTTGTAATTAAAGTAAATTGCTCTCACATGGCACATTAAATCTTTGTCTTCGGATCCCTCATGACTGGAAGAAACACATGTGAAGTTTAATTTGATGAGAAGTATTGAACAACAATTGATTAAAGTTTACTTTTTTCAAATCAGCAAAAAAAATTTTTTTGGGGGGGGGGGCAAATTGAAGATTCTTCCTTCAGAAAAGGGGTGCTAATAAGAGAAGGGGCTTAATTAAGAAGGGGGGCTTTAAAGAGAATTTACAGGAAGTTTTTTTACAAATTGTCATGATAAATCTATGCTGATAAACAGGTGTGTTTGTGCCATTCATTTTTCTGACTATTTTCTTTATCTTATATAAAGATAAGAAATATATTAAAGCTGAAAATCATACAATTCTTTAGACCAATTATATTAAGTCTGTATTTTTATCTTTATTTAATAAAGCTATGTCCCTGCTTTATCTTTTTGCATTATAAAAGTACAGAATATTTTCTTTGCATTCCAGATAAAAGACATGGACCGTTTATCTTCACAAGTGTTAGTGGAAATAAATTCTTAACAGATGTGGGAGGTCACAGGTTGAGAAAAGCCTCATTAGAAGCAACTACACATCTACCTGGTAAGTGAGCTGGGTTAACATCCTATTGTACGAAGTAAATTATTACCTCATATTTTATTTGTTGATATTTCACTCTCTCAAATGACCTAATGCAATCCAGAGGAGTAGATAATATCTTATTTGTTGATATTTCACTCTTTCAAATGACCTAATGCAATCCAGGGGAGTAAATAACTTTGGACACCTAAAATGTGAAGTAGAAAAACAAAGCAATATTGACTTAAGGCGATTGGATGTTGCTAGACAAAGGCTGTTCCATCTTATCTCTCTTCCTGTCCATTCAAACCAGATTTTGCATTGCATTGAAAGAAATATGTTTACTGGAATCTTTGATCAAAACTATGACTTTGTTTTTCTTAATTAAACCTGGTGCTAAAAAAGCCATCCAAAGTTAAAACTGATTTTCAATTGACAATGTGATTTCATTATCTGCTACTTCATTTTGTTGCAGATCACAACTTGCTTTGTTTTACTTCAGATAGCAAGCTATTTGATCAAGGTGTTTCTTACCACTTACACATTGATTAGTATACCAATCAGTCTTTCTCTTGCATGAAGCTCTACTTGAGAGGGGGGAGGGCTGTTGAGAGTCATTAGAAGGGGGAGGGCTGTTGAGAGTCATTAGAAGGGGGAGGGCTGTTGAGAGTCATTAGAAGGGGGAGGGCTGTTGAGAGTCATGAGAAATAGAGATTGGGGAAACAATTTTCCCCTATTTGGCGACTGCCAGACGATTTACTGACAAGCTCAAGAAACGCTGGGGGCACAAACCGCCTTCACCTTCTGTCAGCTGGGCCTCAGTAATGGGGACATCTGGAAGTTATGATATAGAATAGCTGATCCTTGCTTTTTGCCCTCTTTTTGCACCCTTTCCTATCACTACTGATACTAATATTTTATCGTCCTTCACACATTATCTTCATGGTTTTCAGTACATCATTACTTGTATGCATTATGAAATTGATCAGTACTGATTTTCTTCAGGTACTTCAAAAGTATATCCAGTCAAAAAGTCGATGAAAGATTCCAAAGGGGTGAAAAATGTTACCAGATATAAGATAACTCGCAGACAAAACTCAACAACAAATCTCACTGCAAAACTGGCAGCAAGGTTTTATTTTCTCATTTATATCGATTATTCTTTTTCAAGCTATTCTTTGTACTACAAAATTATACATAAATTCTCAACCTCTCTAATAAGGGTTTCTTCTAGAAGCAGATCGTATACTAGACGCACATTTATATCAGCAATTTATATGAATTATCAAGTTTCAGGGTTGCCCTTGATTTCTAGCTGCACAAATTTAACTATTTGATTTTGTTTTAACAGTCGCATTGTGAAAAGACGTTTTGCTCGACTCCATCAACAAAACTTGCGCAAATTTGTAAAGAAACAATACTGCATGTTTTACAACCGGTTCGGTATGCAATAATTTTTTTCCTCAAGCTGTAATTTACCAAACTTCAATCGCCTCTTCTTGTGTTTTTTCAATATAGATTCATCTTCTCGTGTTTTGCAGGGCTAAAAAGTAGGCGTACGGGCGTGCGATCGTACCCAAAGATGAAGCTATCGTACGCGAAATTATAACAGCAAGTACTATTTTGTACGGTAAAAACGTCGAGAAAAGAAAGCGGCGATACAATCAAACGATAGAAACCCGAGAAAATTACAGTTATTATAGAAAAATTATTTCTAATCGTATCTACCTTGCCTTCTTTGCAGCTGCCCTTAAAAACTCCCACACTATAAAAAATATGTAAGCTTCTCGGCATTTAACTTTCGAAAACATAGCCATCCTGGAAAGACCTGACCCTATTGCCCCTTTGACCTCTTTGACCCCAACAGAAGTTTTGTTTATGAGATGTTTATACTGGGAAAAATTGCTGTTCTTGGTAGTTTCTGGTTCATCCCAAGTTCAGCGTCAACATATGAATGTTTTGCTTACCTTTTCATTTTTAATAGTAATATTACAGAGTTTTAATAGTAGCAAAGACTTTCTGTTAAGCATGTATTTATTTATTTAGGCAAGTGTAAAAATGGAGATTCTTGTAAGTTTCTTCATGATCCTGATAAAGTTGCTATTTGTACAAGGTTAGTATACATTTCCGATACTCTGTGTTTCTGCCAAATTTAAGCTGTTGTTTAGTTGAAGAAAATAACTTTTGAAATTAAAGCAACATTTCTAGTTTCCAATTATTCGTCGCTAATAATAGATTTTTACTAAGTTTGTCTTCTCAATTTCTATTTTTTAGATTCTTGCGAGGAACTTGTAAAAACCAGAATTGTTTATTTTCTCATAAAGTTGATAAAAGAAAGGTAAAATGTATTCGAGGTTGTCATATGTCATTTGTCTCTTTAAATAGTCTGAAACAGGTATTAGTTTCATACGAGAGATCGCATTGCAATAGATTTTAAAGAGAAGCCATGCTCAACATTGTTGTTTTTCTAGTTGAAGACCAGCTTGGAATATCTTTACCATTTATTATACAGATTTGTTAATTACCACTAGCGTTTCATTCCGAACCTGGTTTTCTGGTTTTTTGAATTCCTTGCTCTCTAGTTATGTGTGAAAACGGAAATACAGGAACGTCATTGTATTTTAGATGCCAACCTGCTCGTTTTTTCTCAATGGTGCTTGTCACAAGGATGATTGCCCGTATGCTCATGTCAAAGTTAGTTGCACGCTGATATTTGCAAAGATTTTCAAAATGGGTTTTGCCCGTTAGGTGAAGAGGTAATGAGCCTATGTTCTGTTGCTAGCTGTTTGAATTAGAATTTATAATAACTAGAATTGATTTTCGATGTAGCTGCTTGCTATAAACATTATGTACAAAGAGGACTTGCTTCCTTTGTCATTCATTAAAATGAAAACTGGTCGTTTACTGTAAATAAGTTGAAATATAGTGAAGAAAACCATAGTCTTTTCGAAATCTTTTCGAAATGCCATAATTGTGATCAAGCCATGACTTTCTCCTAATTTATAGCTTTAATACTCTATTTTAGCTTACCATATGCGGTTTATTAATGTAGTGCAAAAGGAATTTAATTTTCATTTTGGATTTTCATCAAAATTTTCTCAACATAATTGCTAAGAGCTCTAGGATGTCTTGCCCACCTGCGTTAGTTTCAATGTTAACTTGAGCCTTTTTCAATGTATTTATATATTCATGTTAGGCTATTCTTGAATGAGGCTTTTAATGTCTCTTTTTGGCGACTCTTTGTACCCCATTTTTATTATCATAGTGTCTAAAGCGTCATGTGCTAGAGTGTGAACAGTTTTCTAAGACTGGAACATGCTCCAGTGGAAGCAAATGCAAATTGTTTCACCGGAGAAGGAACAAAAAGAGAAGGCGAAGCTCTTCATTTTCCGGTACAAGAACGCCAAAACCTTTCGTGAAAAAAATCAAACTGATAGAATCTAAGGATGAAGCTGACCAGTCACAAAGTAAGGCTTTTTTATGTTTTGCTGACAGATTTTGTCAATAAACGAAACAAGAAAGCTAAGATTTCAATTTCTGCTTTTATTGCAAAATATTTACACGTTTCGGACTTGTTTAGAGAGTTGGACATGTTGAGTTCTAATCGGTCCTGAGAATTCTTTGTAACATTTTTAAGAACTTCATTTCAATTTCTCTTTGTTTTATAAAATTTATGTTATATGATTCCAACCAAAGGTCCACTCACCAAAAATGTACTAAATTGGCCAGCCTATGGCTAGTTGGTTGTGGACAATCAGCTTTAATGAGTATCGCTATTTTATTAATGGTGGTGAAAATGCATGCTAGAGTGTTTCTCTAGAAATACTTGATAACAGAAATTTCCTCTTTTCACGACCTCATAAAGTTAACGAGCTATTTTCTGCTTCCCCGCTCTAATTCTTTTATGGAGATTCTGTTATTAATTTATCAGGATCATCACTGCCTTGTTACAGCAACAAAGTAACAAGCATATGTTGTTAACTATTCAGTCAATAATATTTATTCTGTTACTAGATACTGCAGGCGACGAGCTGCAGATCAAGCCGTCGTTTGCCTTGGGTAGAGACCCGGAACGGTATGCCTTGCGGTTTTGTTATCTACTTACGATAGTGCTTTTGGAGTAGAGCAGATTTTTTAGCGACACTTTCATGAACTCTTTAATTACAAAATACATCCTAGCAGCAATCTTGAAAGCTCATCTGCAATTTAACCAACATTTTCGTTACCTATAGGCCATCTGGTAGTCTTACTTTGGGCTTGGCCAGTGAGAATTTTAATAAACCTAAGAAATGTTTAAAGTAAAGAATAATTCGATGGATGTATAGATTGCTTCAAGTTATATCGATAGCAAATTTATCAAGATAACTGGGATAATTTTGCCTACACGAAGCAAAGGTTTGTTTAAAAAAAAGTACAGATCTCTATATCTTTGTTAGTACTGGCTAGGACATGGCATGTTCTTTTTGGTAGTTAGAGGTTAGCGAGCATTTGTTCCTTTCTTTAGACCATTGGATGGATTTTCGAAATTGAGAAGAAGAAGATTCAATTGGAAAACTGAACGAGAAGAAGACCTAGGATTTATGAGCAAAGCAGGACGTAAAAACGAAGAGGAAAAATAAAATCTGGCAATTTGCGAGTCAGTGGCTGTCATTTTTTGTACCTTAACTTAACTTGTGCTGTGTATGAATTAAAAAGCAAAAATAATACATTGAACCACTTGATTTGAAGTTATCTGCAGAAAATCCAGTATTCCTTTTTAGGCAGCTTGAAATGTTTCACTTTTTATGGCTTGGATTTACTTGTTATGGCTCGGAGGCGAAGCTGATCATTTTAGTATATTGTTCAGCGAGAAGAGATGAAAAAAATAGATTATTTTGCTTGTTCAAAGAAGTTTTGTTTATCGCTTGTCATTTGGCCGGAACTGGCTTGTGGCAGAATTATCACGTTAACTGCAGGTACGCGATAACAACGCTAATAAACAAAAGATAACGTTCGAAACGAGTTCCATTGTATGCAGAGTTTGACAAGGATCCGTTCTCGGGGCTTAGACTTGTATTACCTGTAATAATTACTTCTGGTCATGGGGTATTCAGAGTTGGCATCGAGAGATCTGTTCAGTGCAAACTGCATTTAAGCTGCCGAACCGGCTAGGGGATTCGGATTTTTAAAAGATTCTGCTACAGAGAGAACTAGAAAACTTAGAAAAGTACATAACAATAAGTGGTATTATTTCCTTGAAAACAGCATTAAGGTTTAAATTATTGCCGCCATATACTGAAACCATTTCGGTGATGGTTTTCGTAACCTTTTAAGGGGCGTTTGTCTTTGATGGTTTTTTTGAAGGATGATAACTTTTGCGAAATAATATTATTTAATAATATGATAAATTAAAATTATTTAATAATAAAACCCAACTTCCTTATTTAGAAGCAATCAAACTTCGGAAGAACTCCTTTGTTCATTTGCAGGTACATCTTCTTTGTATGGATAAAATTGGACCTTGATATGGCTATCTCATATAAAGTGGGGTGTAAGGATAAAAAATTTACCCGAAGGAAAAACCAGAAAAGTGCAATGAGTTTTCGTGCAGTTATCAGCTACCAGTTACCTTTTTGATTTGCTGCTTGAACTCGAAGATGGCAAGATATTTGAGAATCTAGCGTGTTTTTTATTAACAATAAGTTTTAAAATAAGGTGGAAAGTGACAGTTTTTCAATGTGTACTCCAGATCTCGCATATACGCTTACATAACCGGCATGCTTCGCGGCAGCTGTCTTTAGATTGTGATAGTGTTTTGCATTTTCATGCAGTACAAAATTAGGCCAAATTTGAAAATATAGTCGCAATGCATGCCGGTTGCGCAAGAGCCTTTAAAGATACGAAACAGCTGACTAAATTTAAAAACAAAACAATAGGCAGATAACAGCGTGGATGACCACTGATTACCAAATGAGCCTCATTGTTTATCTCTCGTCGTTATCTGACTGCCCAAGCGCCACTGCTAAGAAATTCTTCGAAAATCTATTGAAGCAAATACTTGTGCTCTTTGTATTTTTACTGTCAAATTTTCAAACTATTTTTTCTATTTTATAGTCTCAAAAATAAATTTAATTGCATGTCAATAGACAGCGTTCCACCATAGACTGATATGAATTGATATGATCATTTCCACGAGTAACAATTGGCTATCTGATGTAACCTAAGGCTACACAATTCCTGCTGCAAGGTCATAAGGCATGGTATGAGTTATCTTAGATATACAAGATTTGCTAGCAAAAGTGACCCCATCTAACCTTCAAACATATTGGGTAAATGCTGAAGCTATATGTCTAGTATATAATTGGTCACGTTCATTGTCAGATTCATTGCTTTACTTTGACATAAGCACAATAGTTATCTGAGCTGCTCTTTTCTGTGCAGTGACGAAAAGTTCTTTAATTAAACCTCTCTACTGAAATGCCACTGTTAAGTTTGTAATTTTCACTTTTAGGTAAAACACTTTCAGTTTTCTACCAGCCAAAAGTGTTTAGTTACAGACCAATTTCCTTTTATACCAAATTTGACTCAGTTTCTTAAAAAGGCTTCTGTGAAATGCAGAATAGATATGGTTTTGTGATCGAGAGGGTAACGACCAACGATAATATTTGGATCAAAGGTCAGACGTGTTTGTCCTTGCTGTTCAGAAAACTGTCGTCTTGACCGCGGTTTATTCATGAATAAAGTCTGCTTGGGGACGCAGTTTGCTGCAGAATGCCTTAACAATATGGTATTTTGTGGCTTGCACGCCCCAGCGCTCGAAGCATTAAACGCGCCACCTGTCAAGAGTCAAGTGAAGGAATGCCGGTATCCGCCATCTGGGCATGCGCTGATGAATGAGTTCGTCAACCTACCAAAACAGAAGGTCGCGAAATTCTTTTGGAGGAAGAACTCTGCCTTGGAAACTTGTTGTATTTGAATACAATGCTCGATGTTATCGAACAATTGGTGTAATGGTGATTTGATTTCGATTCCTGACCAGACATGCACGGAAAGAATCCATGTTTTATAGTAATAGCACTTTGTTTTTTAAATGCTCACTTGGAAATTTGCCAAGCAAGAGTGAGTAAAAAAGAAGCATCGAAGAAAAAATTGTGCTTTACCGTTATTGGAGATATTGGTGGAGTCCCACATTATCCTTATTCGACATGGAATCAAAGAAAAGTTGCAGACGAAATGGCGAAGGTATCCTAGCATTTGCTTTTCCAATTGGATTATTATTTTACCTTGATTCAATAGATAAGCGTTTACATAGCTAGGTATCCTAACTTGAGCTCTTCAAAATGTTAATTAAAAATGTTATTCAATAGCCAAATAATTTTTCTAGTTTTTAAGTTTCAGTCTATCGATTTGTCAACAAAATTTATGTTTCTGCAAAAATACGATACCAATATAAAAATATTTTGCTTTCAATTGCTCAGCCCTATCTTGTTTCAATATTTTTTTCTTTTTTTGGTGAGTTTGTAAATAACAAGGCATATAGCTAATCAGGAGCCAATAAAAGAATGTTGCTTTTCACAAGGGGAAGGGTTATCCCAGGTGGTGGTTTAAACCTGGTATTTTCTCAAAAGAGTTGTTACTCGTGGTGAGGTTGAGGGGTATTTATTTTGTCATTTGAGGGATGTAGGAGTTACAATGTTTGAAGGCTAAAGAAAAAATTTCAAAAAAGTTCAATAAATCAATGAATATCCCCTAATTTCATGGCAAATTTTTGTGCCTAAAGGGAGCTATTTGCCCTTAGCTCCCTAGGCCCCCTTCCAGTTGACTTTTTTATTGGACATTACATGAAGGGGCTAGGCTTTCTCCTAAAAAAAAAAGTCTATTGTCTGGAGCAGAGAAAGACCTCTGGTGTGGAGGGGTCATTGGCTCCCTTAACTAGTATATCATAAAAGGCCCTGACCTGTCCATAATCTCATTGACATTTTTGTTTAACCCATCATATGATGTCAATGTTAGGTTTTTGGTGTCGGTGTGTTTATCCTTTTTTCTCTGTCTTACAGATCATGTCTAAAAAGGACTGCAGATTTATTGTGGCACTTGGTGACAACTTTTATAACTCTGGAGTAAAGGATGTTCATGATAAAAGATTTAGTCAGACATTTGAAAAAGTATATACAAAGAAGTTTCATTATGTTCCATGGTACTTTGTTGCAGGAAACCATGATCACTACTCCAATGTATCTGCACAAATAGCTTATTCCAAAGTTTCTCCTAGGTGGCAGTTTCCACATTTTTTCCATTCCAAAGGTAAGAACATTCTGAAATTCTCTACAGTAAAGATTCTTTTTTATTGTTTCATGTTTTTCTTCAATCATACCAAAACCATTTAGCAAAATCCTGTGCGTCTATATTTGATCTAGCAATAAAGTGTTTCACCTTATCTGTTTGATGTTTGTTGTTTTCATTTTAATGTTTCAATTTAGAAGAATAGCAGGAGGCCAAACAGTAGTGTGGAGAATCACCAGATTTTTAAATGCAAGGTGCTGGACTTTGATGGTACAGAACTCTAGCAAGCCTATTATACATGACTGTGATGTTTTATTTCAGTTCTCAATGGATTTTCCAAAGACAGGGGTTTAAAAAAATCACATGTTTTCATTGTCAATTGAAAACAAGACATGCCCTAAGATCAATAAATTGCACAGTTGCTAGTCCTTAGATATTATTTAAATTATTACTTTTCTTGAAATATGACTTTTTAGCTTTCTTACAGCTAACTGTCTTGGAGGTTTACAGATGTGACTACTTTGTCTGCAATCTTTTTACTGACTGATTTACTTTGAAAGAATTTAAACTTTATTCTTTTTCTTATAGTTCACAAGATTCCTGGTACTGACAAATCAGTTCACGCAATCTTCATTGACACAACATTATTGTCACATATATGTGAAAAGAATAGGTAAGATATTTCTTCTTAATTTACTCTCAATTGCAGGTCATGTGGGGGAATTCTTGTGTGGTCAAATTTTAAGGATCCATGCCCTTTTAAGGAAACACAAGATCATTATTCTTCTTGATTTCAGCTGATTTGGAAAATTTTTAAAAGTGTTATAACAGAAGTACCCCCCTCCCCCCCACTCCCTAGCATCATCATGTCAAAATTTTCAGATTGTCTGTTCAACGACAAACTCTATATTCTACAAGAATTTTCAATCAAAACTTATTTCAGTTGTTATTTATATTCAAGCAAATTCCTGTTCAAGTTTTTGATGCCTTTTTCACTCAGTGTAACTTACTGGTATAGGAATACAGTATTGTATAAGTTTTTCAAATTTTAGAAAAACAGTTTAGGCAATTGGCATTCAGTTTATGCTTGTTCAGATATTAAAGAATTTTGTTTGAATATTTAGCTATTGACCAACCTTTCAATCCAGGCCCCAACTCATTTTGAGCTGGTAATTGAATTTGATTATTTGAAAATCTTAAAGTGATAACCAAATTTTTAAAATGGTCTCATCTGTTGCTTTGTGCCTAGATACTGGAAAAATTGTATCTTTCACCATGTTGTGTTGCTGGCGTTTCACAACAGCTAATTCAAAAAAGTAAAGCCATCTCAAATGCTCATACAAATCTTAATTTTTCTACTACTTTTTTAGACGAGATAATGAGCCACTTGTTCATGGACAGTTACAGTGGATCACCAATGAACTAAAAAAATCAAAGTATGTTCATGTTTTTTTGATAATATGCAAAGAAGTTTACATAAGCACAATATAATAAGCTAATAATATGGTTTATTTAGGATTAATCATAAAATCACAATTTTTTCCCTTCAACACGAACATAGACCATTACTGAGACAAAATACAATTACAATGAATTCCATTCTTCGATTTTCCTTTAGTGCATGCTGCATATTTCATTTGTTATAATAGTTCCATCTTATAGTATCTTGTCCTCCAGTCCATGTGGACTAGGTCCTTCCTTTTTAGCTTCACCTTGCCACAATTGTTGCAGTATGATTATAAGTATCTCAGGAACATGACTGATCTTTTCATTTAGGCTGAAAAAATGATTTTAAAATTTCTTCTGACATGAGTTCCCCTCCTAGAATAATGTCCCCCAAATTTAAGCCTCTAAAACGTCCTTTGAACTGATATAGGGCCTGAGCTTATATTCAGAATTTATGTTATTCAACTCACATGAATCCAAAGACTTTGCAAAGGGGAACATTTTACATACATTCAAGAACATCTGTTCCATCAGGCAGCAGGTGCAGTTCCTCTGCCCTAAAAAGAATGTAGCAATTCTTGTTATTATGCTATATTGTTTTACCCATTTTTGCCTTATTGTTTAGTGAAACACTTTCAATATTTTGTGACTCAACAATTGAAACTGAATAAGCTTCAAACACTGCTTCAGTCTATCATGCCCTGCTTGCTTTACCAGAGTTCCTGTCCTTAGCAGCAAAGAGTCTCTTGTGCTGAGGTTCACACAAAATAACATCTTTAGTCTTAACTGCTTTTAATTATTTTAGATGGTCTGCCATTTGCTGTTTTCTCATCATAGACAAATATCAATTTTGATAAGTAGAAATTAAAATTAATTTAATTTGCGTTATGCATCAGTGGTTGTGCCAGGCTATTTTCATTTGAGTTCTTTTTTCTATAGGTCAGATTATCTAATAGTAGCCGGCCACCATCCAATTCTGTCAGCTGGTGCACATGGCAACAGTCCATGCTTGATGACTAAACTGAAACCCCTGTTAGAGAAGTATGATGTCACAGCATACTTTAGTGGTCATGACCACAATTTACAAGTAAGTTGGGTTGGATCTTTTTTAAAAGACTTAGCAAGTGACTTTCAATTTCTCAGCATAGGCAACATAGAAGAATAACCTCTGGAATCCAAGGGTGAAAACGAGCCTCTTCTGTCTCCACCATAGCACCATTTTTATGTATTTATTTTTATGTACAGTTTTTATGTAGATCAATTCCAAAACCACTAGATGATAGAACAATCGGGCTCTGAAACTTGTTTTAGCAGATTCGGATTGTCTCAAAGATATTGCCTGATGGCAGAATTTCTTGTTTTAGCAGCGTTTTTACCAAATCAGTAGGCATGTGGTACTGATTGGGCAACTACACCTGTCATAGGCTCGCATTTTTCTGATTGACCCTCATTCTAACGTTTTATACTCCGAGGAATGTCAGATGAATAGCTTTAAGGAAGCACACTCTTTTTTATATAAGAACCAGTAAATTTAAGTTCAGGATGACTGCTCTTAATTTTTTCGAAAATCTGAGGCTGGATTGTTCTTAATTTATTCTTAATCTAATAGGGTGTAAGCAGTGCGAGTGCTAGGTTTTTCGCTCTAGGGAGGTGTTCAGGCCTCATTTGCCAACAAAGTGAGTGAGACAACCTTCATTTGCTGAAAAGTGTGAATATTACCGAAAAAGCACCCACACATGGCTAAAAATCCCCGATTTTGAGAAAAAAACGTTGTTCAAAACTGCATTTTGCAGAAGCTCAGCCTCTTGCTTCTTAACTTTTTCTTGTTCTTAACTTTGACCAATTTTGAGGCTCGTGTTTTTATAAAATTGTTCTTATAAAAAAAAGTGTGGTACAAATGGGGCCTAAGTAGGAGCTGTTCTTAATATTTCACTATCTCGGTTTGTAAACAAATTATTCTATTTTGAAATAAATCTAAATGCTGAATATACAATGCTGCAAAAGGTAAAAATTTAAGCCATTGTGCTTTTATTAGCATTTTGCCAGGACCGTCTAATGGGGATACCTCCATTTGTGTGAAGGTTCTTGTACTGTCTCTTTATCAATGCTGATAAAGCATCTTTTTGCAAGTGTAATTATTGCACGTATAGATAACTCTGCCATGGCACTGGTTATGGCAATTTCTCACGTAAAGAAAGGATTGCCCTAGACAGGAAATAATTTTCTGTTGGGAAAACGAGTGAATGAAAATCTTCAAAAAGGTGTGGCAACCCTCCATCCTGGAGTCAGAGAGCACGCACATGGAGCGTCATCACCATTACGCATGCTCTTTGACTCCAGGACGGAGGGTTGCCTCACTCTTAAAAAATCTTTCTCTTGTTCATCTCCCCAACAAACAAGGATTACATTGCCTACCCAACATAATTGAATGTCCTTTGACACTTTAACCCCACAATCAGTTCGTTCTAAAAACCTACAATTATTTGTTTTTAAAGTTCTTGAAATGTTTCTTTTTCAGCATATAAGCGACCCAAAGTCAAATGTGGCTTACTTCGTAAGTGGTAGTGGCAATTTTTATAATGGATGGCATTCAAATGCTAGGAAACTTCCAAAAGGCTCTCTGAGGTAAGACTATTTTGTTGGTTTTTGTATGTCAGATACAAGTAAGTAAGAATTAAAAAAACAAGGGTTAGAAACGATCTCTTTACAAACATAGTTCAATGTCTCATAGGTATGTTTTGTCATATCAACGGTTCCTGAGTTGCTGAATTTGTCATAGCAACTGTGGCCGAAATAGACATTTCAAATATCCTTTGGGGTCTTTTATAGGGATTATGATCAACTGGAAAGTTCCACGTCAGCATTGAAATTTCAACAGGAATCGTTTTTGAGTGTTTACCGCTGTCTGAATGAAAATATTATGATAAAGCATGAAACCTGCTTTTATCATGACTTGTTAGAAACTCCCTGATGCACCAAACATCGAATTAATGTGCTTTTTTCTTTGTAAAAGTTTTAATGATTGCCAGCAAAAATGCGATGATCTTTAACGCCACTGTGTGTTATAAGCAGAAAACAATATTTAACTGACAAATGCTTTCATTGAGAATGAATAAATGTTAAGTAATTTAGACGATAAATATTTCAAGTTAAAATTTGGTTTCATAACCTTAAATTCGTAATTTAGATAAACCTAGAACTAAAATATTGAAGTTTAGAGTTGATTGAGGAGTTGACGGTAGCAGTTTAGGGTTAATTGTATAAGCAAGGGTTCAGAGAAGCGATTAAACTTTACCTGGACATTAGTCTTAAATTCTGGAAGCCCTCCTCCCCTGCATTAAAAGTTAGCCAGGCGAGGTCTCTGCGTGGTAAATCTCGTTTTTACTGACCTTCCTAACAGTCCACCATTTTAAGTTAACGTCTGCCATTTTATTATGGACTTTTTGAATTGATAAATTATGCATCATGTACTGTTTTCAGAACTTAAAGGACTAATATATTAAATAATCCATAAAATAGCTGCAAATAATTGTAAACTAAGTTGTTTAAAATGCTATTTTTTATAAACAGGTTCTTCCAAGGACTCAGTGGTGGTTTTGCACTTATGGATCTTAGTGACAAAGACGGTGAACTGACTTTTATTGACAGCGACGGGAAACACTTATATAACACGAAAATCAAACGTAGAGACCGACAAACCGATAAACGAGAGGCACATAACGAAAAAACTGATTTACTTAAAAACTTTTTTCTTCATAACAAACAGACTGACGTTGTTAGTGAGTTTTGGAAATGGTTCAAACCTATAAGATTAAGGCGTTAATAGATCTTTAGGCTTTTGTATTGGTATGTGTATTAGGTATGAGCTGATAGGCTTTTAGTGCTGTTGAAATAGTTGATTCAAGTCGAAACAGATTGAGCCGTTGGCGAAGAAGACGTTGTTACCGCATGTCTTAGTGATATTGTGTTATGGGCCAAGAGACACAAACAGGGAAATTGGGAACATTAAAAGAACCCAGTGAAAGCAAAGTGAGCAGATTCAGATAGCAACCTGTCAAAAAGGTTGTTGTGAGTAAAGCTTCCTTTCGTGTTTTAATCAAGAGCAAGAATTGTGGTATAAATAGCGCCAGAGACGCATTAGCTCATAAAAATATTTGTTTCCCGAGAAATATTTTATGGCTAAACTAGATCATAAACAGGCAAGGTGGCGGCAGGATTGTTGAAAAGATTTGTAGCATATTCGACATTTATGTCATTTTCATGCCATTCTGTTGGTCGCTGCCTCTTTGACTCAATTACGACCATGCTGTTCCATTGTTGGTGCTCCTTTGGCCAGGTATACGCATTCCAAATCTCTTCTGGATCTTCTTCTAAGACAGATTTTGATTCTTGCGCGAATTTTTGATGCTCATGCATGCAATAAATGTTGCACCAGGCTTTAAATTGACTGATCTTCACAAATAGAAGACTCCAAGCTGAAGAGGATCCGTTTTTATTGCTGTTTGACGCTTATTTTCTTGTTGTGAACACAAAATCATACAAAATCCAATGGACTTGGAAAGCTCACCACGTGCTTCATAAATGTTTGTCTATCAGTCAAAATGTATTATTTATGCGATTCCTGAGGGCGAACATGCACGATCACAATAATACATTGTTTCTGGTAAAGATTTTGTCCAGCAAACATGGCCTTCATCACCTCAAAACATTGGCACAGCTTACTGCCATCTAATGAAACGTACTGCATTCAAGCAGCAGAGAGTTGTTCTGTTCTGATTCATGTATAAAAGAGTTCTGAAATGACGGGCTTCCTTACCCTGAAACACACATTCAGCACACATCTGTGTTATTCGCTATGATGACAAGAATAGACAGAAACAGCCAATAAGATATACCTATAAAATACCTTAATCGTGTTGGATAGAAAAATGAAATGGATTCAGCACTAATTTTGAATACAGACACGTGATGTAGCTTAACATTGTTCATCTTGTGCATTTGAGACAGAGAATATTTCAACTTGATGGAAAGATTCTTATAAAGCAACTGAAGTTTACTAATTTTTGCATTGTTTGTATTTCCTGTGATTTTTGTACCTCTAACTGCGACACATTTCATACATCTGACATTTATTTTTACTTTTTACGACTTACATCCATTAAAAGCACTGTTCTTGTTGACTCTTATATAAACCTCCATAGAACAATCTGTTATTTTATTGTCAGCTAAATTTTGACCTCCATAAATTTATTAAATATAAAAAACCAGGAGATATTCTGTCTCTGATATAAAGCTGACAGTTCAATGTCTCCTGATAAATTAATTTACCTTTCAAAATAAGATAATTTTAATTACCAACGAAGTTGGCGAGAAATTAAACTCAAATATTCAAACAGCTCATAGAAGTTGGTAAATAGACTTTATTGAGTTCATTTAACTAAATATTTGTAAGCAATCAAGATAAATAACCTTATTGTTTCTTTGGCTGTCAAATATATAGATAATATCGTGAAGCTATGAGTTATCACTTAAAACTACGGTTATGCTTGTGTAACAGCGGGCATTGTAAATCGTGGTAAACAAAAGTCATAACTGCTAGTAACAAGTAGTTACTATAAATTTTAGGTATACCATTATATCATTTTCCTGTTTAAAGATTACGTTGGCTGCTTTTTGAGAATCGCCTCTCGTTGTGTTGATTTTAACGATGATGATAATGACTGGAACTGAAACCCAACTAAATAGCAACAGACATGATATAAACTGCATGATTTAAACAATTAATGGCTTTTGCTTGTGGGTAAGTTTAAAATTCCTATTCCTTTGAAGGACTCGCTTTCGCAATGCAGCAAAGAATCTGCATCTTAAAAAAATTGCCTTTTAATCTTTTAATTTTTAAAACTTATACTGTTTAAAACTTTAAATTAAATTGGCAAATTTAATTTAAATTAAACTAGATTGACACCACTAAGCAAGGTAACCTTAGCCTAAATGCTTTTCATTTGATTAAATGTATTCATTGCAATTATTTCACCAGAAATTTTGAACTAAAAATTTCGAGAATTCTTGTCGGTTTAGGCCAAAGCATTTCTGACGTCATATTCAACCGGTTCGATCTGTAAAAGTAATTTGAATTTTTGATGACATACTTTTTAAAATGCGAAAAATTTATTTCTTGAGAGAATTATCAAATTTTTATAAGGAATCTTTCAATGTTTATTTAATAGCAAAAAAGAAGGCCGATATCGTGCTCTTTTTTGCTTTCTTAGAATATCCTTGTAGCGAACAAGCTTAAGAACCAAGACACTTTACTTCTAAGCAAGACACTCGAAATATGCAAAATGAACGATTCTATTATCTTTATATTAAGGTAAATATTTGGTTGATTTGATTGATGAATATCTTTGCATATATTTATCCAACTTTCAAAAGGAAAATTTCTAATCTATTTCGGTGAAGAGGTATTTTCATTGTTAATTTTTCTTTTTTCCAAGGCATTTCTACTCAAACAATGGGTTTGCGATTGTCTGTCTAAACAACAAACGGATGAAGGTCATGTTCTTCAATGGAAGAAATCATAAATTTCTATACAAGACGTATTTGTCCCGAAGAAAAAGAAAAGAATGAATTGCAAAGTGAAGGCTTTGTAAAAGCTGGCGTTGCATTGTAATACAATTTAATAAGTTAGTTCCATTACTCGACGATAATATATTTCCATTAGTAACGATATTTTTAGATTTATACTCTTTCATTCTGACGCGAGTTGGTCACTTTCGAAGTCAACGTCAAGGTCAAAGTTATTTTTAAGCTTGTTAAAGTGTAACTTGTAAAACTTTAAACATGTAAAAAGTGTTTGGGGATTATTTCTGTAGTAGTTGATCACTATCTGGAATATAGCGGCGTATCACGCTGTTCTGAACTTTTATGTCGTCAGTATCAAAGAAGTCGACTAGCAAGTCTGGATTTCGTCACGCATAAATGTTTTGATAAAGTACCATTGTAAAAGAAAATAGTCTTAGAATCGATGAAATATTGATAAACTGGAGAGATTATCTCCCCTTAAAAGCTACTAAAGATTCTTTTGAGTCATAATTTCTTGTTAAATGACATCATTGTACCAACCATAGATAGGACCAACCCAACAAAAAGCCCCATATCTCATGTCTCTGTTATCTGTATCAGTATTTCAGGACGCTTTTCATTTGGCAGAAGATCTTGCACGCGTCAAATTATGGGTCACGGTATCTAAATTAGATAAGTATTTTGCCTTTTGCGACCTTCAATTCTCTTTGAAACGCCCCAGCTCTAGTAAGTTTTAAGAAAATTTTGTGTTTTAATCCGTTATTTCTAAAAAGATAGAAGATTTTTTTGTAGAAGTAATGAGTAATGTTTTTTTTTGAAAAAGTAGAAGTAGAACTTATTTTGAAGAGGCTTTTAATCTCTGGAATACTGTTATGCGTCTTAATTTTGCTGTGAAAGTACATTTGCTTGGTGATGGAGCAATAATCTCTCAGCTTTACAGAATGCATTGCATAACATCGCTAGCTGCTTGTACGCCAAGTTTTCTGATTTCCACTTTATAGCGTCTTTGTAGACGAAGTATATCTCGAACATGGAAGGAGCCTAGCTAGTAGCCATCTTGGTCTTCCGAACCGGTGCACGTCATGTGACGTTCCTAAACACGCTAAAATAATACATACGTCACTGCACTACACATTTTGTTGCATAATTGTGATTTGAAATATTTTACCTTCATCTAATTCTATATCTGGTGACGAGCTTTTGTTTTACATGCTTTGTATACCCAAAAACCTAGCGATAACCACAAACCTTTCTAAAATTATTTTCAAAACGAACAGCAAACTCTGATGCATTGGGTGATATCTAGATTACAACTCAACCACGAGCTTATTTGGTCAATCCACTTTGGCGAGGATTTATAATGCAGCCATGATATTAATTTCAAGATTTGTTAACACATGATAACACAAATTGATTTGGAAGCAAGCAAAAATTAATCTAAGAAAAATATAGATGTTACAAAGACCACAAAAAGTCATGCATTGGTCCACATTCTTTGAAGAGTTTTAGTCAAGATTGTATTAGCTTATTTGTGTATGGTATTTTTTCAGTTTATTGGATGAAAAGTCATCCACTTCTGACAACTTAAGATAGAAAACCTTGGCAAATTTTTGAACTCTATAAATATCAGTTGCAGCTTTTTTGACGAACTTTTTTGATAGAAATGAAAACTTGTCTTTTTGAACAGCTCAAGGTTACTGTTCACTGTTTTGACGTTTCTTGTATCGGTTAAAATACGATATGCGATATAATTCTCTTGCTACTGAACGTATGACCAGCGACCATTTACAATAAGACCCATATTTACCAACAACGATCTAGCAAACTGTGTATTATAAACGGCTGCGCAACCTGCACATTTTGCGACTATAATTTAAAAAACCGGCCTATTATCGTACTGCATGAAAATACAAAACATAGTCAATTTCTCAAGACAACTGCGCTAAGCATGCCGGTTGCTCAAGAGCCTTTAAACATGATGGGAAATCTGTACAATATAATTGTAATTAATCAGTTTTGCAATAGCAATTTCATCCACGACGCTTCTGAGATGCACGAAAAACGCCTATACCTTGTAACATCACGCAACTTGAAGGTGAAAGACAAAGACCGCCGTTCTGTTTAGTGAATATCTTGAATGTTTCGCGTTTTATCGCGTGACAAGTTACAAAACAGTATATCGCACAGGGAGCCTGTTGAGCCCTCTTTGATTCATCATTGATTTTCGATTTTTGAATTGTGACGCAGGTTGCATTTTCGTCATTTGGCAGTGTGTAGATAAAGCATATCGCAAAACAACACATCGTGCAAGAAACACGATGCAAATACAAAATGCTTTTCTTTAACCCAATAATCAATTCAGAGTATGATAATTTTGCCAGCGCCTATTGTTTATCAAAAGTTCTACGTCACAATTCAATGCTCAATGTTACCAGAGATTCATACAAAAACTTTACAATACTTTCCCAAATTGATTACCATTGATTTTCGCAATAAATCACGAGCGAAAGGGATCTTAATAATTATTCAGCATTCATATTGCTGCACGCTGCAGACCAAACTTTAGCGTTCTGTAGCCCTTGGCCATTGTTCCTATACTCACGCCAACTTTCCTTTTCAAAAATACAATTATCGCTCAGAAGCAGAATGCCTGTTTATTCTCATTGCAATATATTCTTTAGAATACAATAATATATTTTTAACTTAATTTTTCTTTGGAGGGTAAAACTATGCAATTATGGTAAAACTTCCAAATATTAAATAGGCATTGTCGACAGGTGCGTTACTCTTCCATGCAGATATAATTATAACTTTTGTTAATACCTATACTTATTTGTTTCTATCAGCGGCAGAACTAAAGACATTTTCGTCTACGTATTTATGTTGCTTAGAGGACATTTGCTTTCTTTCTTGCGTATGGAACTTAGTTAGCCCATTGTGCAAGGATCTACCCTGCAATAAAGTCGTCAACATAGGAACTAGCGCACGTAAAAAATATGTCGTGTTTTCTTGAACTTACTTTAAGATCCGCCCTCTTGCGACGGCAATTGGGTTGAAAGCAGGTGTATGAATTATTCAGGTACAGGATGCCGCCCTTTTTGGCAAGAAAAGTGAATAAGAAAAGAAAATTGGCATTCATGAATCATTCACGCATTCAGGTTTGATTGTGACTTGAATAGTATGTAGTACCTATTATTTTCTGACTTCAATGTAAGTATCAGTAAAGTACGTAGTCCTTTTTATTAAAATCGCGTCACCTACGCATGACGTCGTGATGACCTGTCGAATCAAATTTTTGTTTTCTCAAAGTTACAGTTATTTTCGCTGACTGTACGCCATCAAAGTTGCTCTGGTTTGAAAGGCTGCTTTCACAATTTCCCGGCATTTTCAGATACCTTTATCAATTTTACTTTTTTTGATTCAGTCGAGGATTATCTGAAGATTTCAACATTTGAATAACTGTCTACGATGTGAACACCTTCAACCCGGAAAATGTTGGCAAATCTTTGCTTTTGAAGGTAACTATACATATCACACCATGTACATAAAAAACCAAAAATCAGAACAACGATACCAAAAATCTTCTTATGATGCCTGGAACACAAATGCCTTGATAAATGTGGATGATTAAAGTTAGGAATGTCTTTACTGCAAGTAATGCCTCTGTTTGATCGACTTTGTTATTACAAGCCATCATTACTGCATCAAGTTTTGCAACAAAAGTATTCAAGGTTGGGGTAGCTAATCTTTTTTAATAAAATTTAATTAGTAATTAAAACTTTTTTAAACATTCTGTTCTGTGTCGTATAACTTTCCGTCTTTGTAACATCTGAAACGTTTTTAAATTTATAATTTTTCTCTATGTAGAGGCTAATTTAGCATTATTTTTCTAGTAAACATGAATGGTTCATTGGTATAACTACAGCAAGCTGAACAGTATTGATTTAGGATTCAAAGAGGTCAAGTTTACAACGCCTCTTTTTGAAGGAAGCCTCCTAAGTTATGTTTTCAAATTCAACATTACAGTCCAACAGAAGTTATGGCGACTTTTTCAAAAATTGCCCAAACACTTTGGCGTGGAGGTTGCTCTTGCTGGATTGTCAGTCATACGTCTACGCTATAGCTGTTGCTCTTGTTATATTGCCCACAATAATATCGAATGTTTTATTATTCATTGGTATGATGAACACAGGGCAGTTCAAGTCATCTTGTAATTTGTACATTTTTGTCTCGTCAATTATTGGAGTTCTAAGTGGCTTGACTGGATTCCCAATGTACGTCGCTCTTTTTACTTTGTATCGCAAAGAAAGATTCTGTATACTCGAGAAACTTGCAGTTTGTACTGCACAATTCAATGGTCACATGATAGGGTATGCAATACTTGCACTGGCAATAGATCGCTACTTCAGTGTCCGGCCAGACTTAGCAATGCTTTCTTTTGCCAGGCAGGTCCAATCGAAGCTTGTATCCCGCTTTGTCGTTGCTATATTTTCCGTCTTGTCATTCCTGCATGGCCTTGTCTCTGTCGACTACTTTACGGTGACAAAAAACCTTTACGGTAAAATTATAATGATGACTGTAAATGTATTGATCGTATTTGTTGTTTACGCCGCGTATCTCAAGCTTTATCACGACATTAGAGTGCACAATAACTCTTTTAGGAAAGCGTTTCAAACTTCAGAGACTTACAGAGTTACCACAAAGTTTAACTCAAGAACACCAAGGTATTTACGCGAGCTTATCAAGACAATATCAATTATATTGGTGACTGGAATGATATGCTATGCTCCATACATTGCGATGGACTTTTGGACAGGATGGTATACATTTGTAAAGAAAATACCATCCCCACGGACAGTTCGTTTTATCTACTATCTAAGCTCAGTCTGTGTGTTCCTAAATGCATCGATAAACGCTATGCTGTTTTTGTACAGAAACCAGAAAGCTTGGTTATATGTAAAACATCTGTTCTTGTTATCGAAAAGACATAGAACTCAAAGTCAGGAATCCATCCCAATGAGTTTTTATGGAGTAGAGCGAAATGTGGCCGAAATGGAAAATCATCATCACCATACATACTTTATGAGGCATTCTGACGCTTCACTGTGTGAATCTCCGAAATCTACGCCAATATTAAAGCGGGCTGCTTTCATCGTAGACAATAACTCTCCCCAGTCCCCTAGGTTCGCATGTGCTCGTGTTTAGTACAAATCAACTGAATTGCTTGTCGCAGAATTAGACTTTGCCTTTGAGACTCTACTATCTTTCTTCTTTATTTAAAGTTTATACAATTTCTAGCTACGCAAAAGCTGAATTAGGATTGTTTGGGTAGATGAGTATCAGAGCTCAATTCCTTTCGGTAAGGAAAGATAAGAACAAAGGGGTTATAACAGAAAAAGTAATACTGCAATTGTAAATACTTCCGAATATTTATCATGGTAGAATGATAAGAATGACGATGCTTAACTTATGAAATAAAAACACCCAAAATGAATCAACCCTCCTACCTACAAAGTAAGAGATGCTACGATCAATAATCTGCTTCTAAAGTGCCATCTCTAAGGCATTTATTGCTGAGTTTCCTCTTAACTGCAATTCATCTCCGAGTTACTATTTAATAATACAGCATTTTTTTTGGGTTTCATCAAGGGCATCCTTCTAAACGTTTTCAATGACTTTTTGCTTTATGCAATAAGAATGGAAATAAATAAATCTAACACAAGAAAGGGTACCGATAATGATATATCCGTTAATTATAGGTTCTTCACAACAGGCTACATCTATATCCTTTGAAAACAACGGATCAAAATTACTTTCAAATGGAGGATGAACATTTTGAAAGTTTTACTTTAAAATTTTATGTATCTCTATCTAGAAGAATCTTCATTGCACTTCCTTTTTCGAAATACATTCTTACACAAGAAAAGTGTTAAAATTATCAATAAAGCTGATCACATTCAATAAATTATTATTTTTTTAAATCTGCATATTTAAAATCTAAACTGGAAACAACACTGTGTCTTTCCAGCATCAAAACTTTTTCTTATTCTTTCGTGTGAATATCGTTCCATTTTTCGTTCATTTGATTACATTTTCCCATGCAATGCTCATTCTTATTATAATCAGGTTTTTAATATAATAACTTCAGTGGTCTTTCTTTTGTAAACAGTGTTTAAGAATTTATAACGTGATGGTGAAGATGATCTTATTACGTATCTCTTACGTATATTTTGATCCTCACACTGTAAAGTATACTCGGTTCGTAATATATCGATGTTGGTAAAATCATCAATCCATCTGCAGAGTTCCCATTTAACGCTACACCTGTGATGATATAACCATAGAAAATCATACGGGGCTTGAGCATCAATGCATCTCACATTCACGTGTACACTCCCCCCTTTCATCTAGGCAAGACAAAAGATACTTCGTTTGTTTTTGTTTCCTTTTTGTACTTTTCCCGCCAAAATTTTGATGCAGCGCAGGCGCATCAATGACACGCGCCAAAGGAGGAACATTGGAGAACGCCATGATGAGGAGACGATGTTACAGTCATGCACCCACGTCAACCAAAGCTCTATGAGGTAATATCAACTATGTTAAAACACATAACATCTTTTTTATCTCTCGAGAAAATCCAATATTGAGACTGCTTGCTTGAAGCCCCGAAGTTTGGCAAAACTGACGCTTTCCCCGATAGGAAAGATGGATGGCCTATTTGATTTTCAAAATCAATTACCCTTATTTACAATGATCTATCATTCTCCATTTGACTCGACTAAAAATGAATTGAATAGAATGAATGAAATATAATTATGTTATAGAATCCCACGAACATTTTTCAAGGCTCTAAGTTTCCCGAGAAATTACTTTTCAGCCAGAAAGATGCGCGCGGGATCTGTTGCATGTCCATGAAAATTGCGCATTTGCAAATAAAACAGATACAATGTTTGTGCGGCTGAGACTAATAACCATAAAAACACAGTATGTAACTTTTGGGTATACATTTCAGAGAAAGACATTGGCAACATCATTAGTGGTAACAAAAACAATATAGCAAATATAAAGATTTTTCATATTTCCTAAAAATAAGAATAAGAAAAACCCTACCAGATGAGTATTGTTTCCATAAACCAAAATTTGCTCAAACTTTGAAAACTTTGTGTATGGTTATGAATTAGATCATCCTGTTCCATGTGTATTTTACTCCCAGAAATGATAAAAATACCCTTCACATGTTTGCTGCTATTTGGCATATGTGTGTACAAAAACCAGCCTCATGTGTACCCAAGCAACAAGTAATGACGATTTAGACAATCTGCAACATTGAGTGTCTTCAAATTCAAATTTCATTAGAAGCATCAATTATTAAGTACAAACAAGAGAGGTTTTACATTTAAAGAAGAACCCTGTGCAGCTTGATGAATCATTTCAAAAGAAATTGCAGGGCTACAATTGCGGCTGACAATTGATGTGGGTTGGGGATCCCTGGCACAAGGCAGAAATTCCAATCCAGCTTTTCAGCGCTGTCTGTTGTTTAAAGTTTCTCTCCATGCTATAATAATGTATTTTTTAATCATGCCAAATGTTTTTCAAGTAAGAAATATTAAAATTCACCATTTATCAAACGATAGAGCCTTTTTTTCCTTTTTGTAATGAAATAGGCCTACTGAAAACTGATAAACTGTTAAATTTAATGAAAGTTGTACTGAGCAAACTTATGAACCAAGCTAGTGCTTCTGAGTCCCAACTTTGAAAATATGTAACTTGCTTATCTAACCGCATTTCTCCATGATTTTTTCATACATTCAAAAACATACTTAACAAGTTACTGTAATACCTTAACTACATGCTACTTTACATACACTACAAAGGCAACACCCCTGGGACCATCATCTCTGTCTACACCAGGGATATAACATAGAGGGGAAAATGCATGTTTTTAATTACAAATACTTAAAGATATGAGAGGGGGTTGGTCTATGAGAAGTAAACTTTAATTGAAGTGTTTGGTTTCAAAAAGATACTCTATTGTGAGATTTTAAATCAGCTTGTTAGCTTCCAAGGGCAAATCTTCATTTCCATATAAAAGGATTCATTTCCATAATCCAAATCATGGAAAAGTATCCATAATTTGCCAGGTCAGGATACATGTATGTTTTTGGCTATGCGTAAAGCTGCTAATGACAGAACATTATCAGTTGCAGCCTGTGAACATTATCAGTTGCAAAGGTACTTAAGCTGCAAGCTTAAATGTTGCTTGCATTGGTATATACATGACTGTTCAGTTGCCTGATGATCCATTAAGCAAAAAATTTTGAGTAGCAATTTAGAATACTCCTGTTCTATACATCAAAAGCATTTATAGCCTTGCCTATAGGACATCAAGCACTTTGTGACAGGCTTGTAAACAGTAATTTTTATGACTTAAAGTATATATACTTATTTAAGAAATTATTTACATTGCGTACTAGGTTTGATTGCAAGAGATCCTGGCTGCAAAATAGTACAATGTGCTCTCATTTATCCAAACTTCAGTTTTGAGAATCTTGCTTATCGGAACATTGTTTTAGGTGTGATGTTCATTTTACTTCTTGAGTTATCTTCTTAATATCTCTTATTATATACTGAATCTATCTGTGAGATCAATGAATGTGTGTGTCAGTTATTATCTTAGCAGAATTTTGTATTCACTTCCTTTTCATACCAGAGAAAGCAAATCGTTCTAATCTATTTGATGCCATACGATATACCATGGTACTACTGAAAGCAAAAATGATTTAAACTCTTTCTCATGAGATGTCTTTTGTGTGATTTCCTAACCAAAATCTTATCCTCTATCCTCCGAACTTTTGGTTTATCCAAACAGCGCTTCTTGCATTTCATCCCAAGATTTTAGGATGAACACGGATGTACTATACTGTCAATGTAAAGCATAGCTGTGGGCATATGCAAGTTTTCTAGTGTATATGTATAGTGAAATCTGTATATACTTTTAAGTTTGTCACTTATGTTCTGGTGTTCCTATTTCCAAGTAGGTTTTTCGTATTCTTATTTCATTTTACCTCATATGCCAAGAATGAGGTAAAATGATCTTATCGAGCCTCTCTTCTCAGCTATTTGCCACATCTTCATTAACTTGTTGCCTTTCAGTTTGTTTTTACTTTGAATCAAACTACTAAATTTACCACCCATGTGTAAAGGTCTTTTGTTTCTCATGCCGCTTTCTGATATATTAGGGGTGCTGCCTTTGTGTTGAGTAAAACCTTGCTAACCCGGAAAATCTTGCAAAGCTTATAGAGTTATAATTTACAGTGGACCACTCCTCCACATCTGTATTATGATTATCAGTACATTAAGAAAGATTATGGTTGAGATTGTACATCAAGGACTGAGAGGTACTAAATTTACAGGTTTTCCAGGATTGCTTTATTCACCCAGTAAGGGAGGCTGTAGAAAACCTTTTTGTAGAGCCTAGCTGGTAATGGGCTATATGGGGCAATTCCATTAATACATATCTTCATTTATGCTAATTTCTAAAACAAACAATTCACTGGCCCTCTAGGTTAAAACCCACTACTGCCATAAAGGCAGGGTGGGTTTCACTAGAAATTTTTTTCAACTCTTCCTGTATCAATCCTTGAATATAGAAGGGGCACTTTTACCCCCTTGTTCTCTTGGTAATTGCGATTTCTGACCTTGGGTCCATTATGTTTGCCTTTTCAAAAGCTTATAACTTACCCACTTGTGGACACTCAAAAAACCTGAAAAGACATTTTTGAAGGTCTCAGTGCCTTTTCAAGGTGCTTTTCTGACTTGTTTGAAAATGTTTTCAAAAGATTTCTCATACCTATCACATCTAACATCATTAAAAACTTAAACATTGACCAATGGAATCCAATATTGAATTCCAATGGATTCCAAGAGAGTATATGGGAGTAGCTAGTGAGAATGTTTCAACAAGGATGAGGTAAGCTGAACCCCAGAAAGACAAGAATTCTGTTAAAATTCCTATGAAAAGATAAGAGTATTATTAACCTTGATTTCAAAATTAGTTACTGTCCCTCTGCAGGAGTCACATGATGAAACAAATTACTTGCACTCCTGTGAGATTTCGATGTATATTCCTATGACTATTGCTAGAAAGGGGGAGCCTGAAGTGTAAGGGGTTGAAATCTTTTCTACCCAGATTTGTATAAGAAACAAGCTAAATATATAACATAATATGATTTACCTGTATAACTAGTGAAATTTTGTTCAAAGGTTGAGAGAATAGCTGGAAGACGGACTACACAAGGAAAAGAAGAATTTTTGGTTCATTGGAAAGGTTATGAATCATTAGAAGCAACATGGGAGCCCAGTGAAAACCTTTCATTTTGCAAGGATATTGTGAGCAGATTTGTTTCAAGAATTATTCCAATACCAGGTATTTTGCAAGCTACCTCTTTTAGAATGATACCACAAAACAGAACAAGATTAAAGTGACTCATTTTATGCTACAAGTTAGAGAAATGTAGGCATTATTTATATCGTTGAAAGACCTTCTATCCTTGCTGGGTTTTCAAAGAATTTTAGCAAACAGAATCACATAGAAGGTATTGAAAAACCTATTTTCATTAGAAGACATATTTGTCACGGATTCGAAAGCATTTGCAAAAGTGACCTTGAACCTGCTCCAAGGCCTATATACAATGTCTGCTAAAACTGCTGGGAACACAGAGCAGCATGAGTTTTGAATTTTTCATTTCTTTTCCTGATTACTACTACCTCTGAAAATCATGCCCTCTTCCCCATGAAAAAATTTTGATCGTTTGTACAAGTTACATTTAAAAACACACTTTTTTCTTCTTTATCATTTAATAATTACCAAGTATATGAGAGTGTTTCAAGACACATCTTTATAAAATATTAGTATATATTTACTGGTATCGATTTAACCTAATTGCCCATCATTGATCAGGTGTCTTAAAGTTGTTGTAAGAAGAAGTTTGTAGAATTCTCTCAAAATAAATACAAACTTACAACTTAAAAGCACCTATGCAAAACATTGATTCATAATTTGTAATTAAGAGTTGACCCATTTTTTTTTAAATATATTGAAAACTATTTTATATTGTTGAAAGAAGTTGCGAAAATATTCAAATTTGTTGAGTTTCATTTTAATTTTTTGTGTTTTAAAATTCACAACACAGATGACTACACAAACAAATACCAAGAACTATAGGTTTATAGAAGATGGGAAGAAAAATTCATTTATATATATGTAAATGGCTTTGAAAATAGCAAACATTACACAACATATTACTAAAAGCTTTTTCATCTGACACTCTTCACAGTATAAATTGTCAGAATAAGGGTTCAAAGAACATGATGGAAAATAAATACCCAATTGTGAATGTTTGTTTTTTCAAAACCATTTTCAAGTTTTGTACCACAAAAAATTGTTTATATATTTGTTAGGAATTTCGTAGTTACATATTTGTGTGATTGGGATTTCATTAAACTAGGGTGCTCTCAGTAAGTAAATGAATTTTAGAAAGAGCATCAAAGAGATTTTGACAAACTTCATTAATATTATTGAGATGTCAGTTGCATAAAGGGATGTATTTAAATGTCTTCTGGTGTTACAAGCAGAGACAATGTATTATAAGTTTTCAAAAGTTTAAAGCAAAAATTGGAGAAACCACATAAACAGAATTATTTTATCTTTTTAAAGATTTTTCAAGGATGTAAGTGTTTTGTGCTTTGCTTATGCATTCCGTTCAAGTTCAAATGGCAAATATGGAATAAGTCCTTTATTCCAAATCTTGTCAAACATGCATTATAGAAAGTAAGTTAATCAATAACTGAAATAGCTGTAATAATGCACTAACTTTTCCCAATTCTGCTCAGGTGGAATTCCTTGTAATATTTCGGACTTGATACAAAACAGAAAGAAGACCGTTGGTGTTCAGATGCTGTTGACAAAAACTGGGAAAATTAGAAAAAGCAGAGGAGCTATGAACAACGAAATAAAACGAAAGTCAAACAAAATCTCAAGGAGAAAATCAAAACTGACCGAAACGGAAAAGCTTATCTGTGATACACTGTTGCATGAATCAAAGAGCATGTCAGCCCCCGGCTCCTTGGTTAATGGACTGCTTGACTTTTCGCATCAGGAAAACATGTCCCTCAGCAGACGAAACAATGTCAGTGAGCTGGTCAACGAAATCATTGATAACCCCAGAAAGCGAAAATCCGATAAGTTTCCGTTAGAGAACTTTTTTAGAGAAGAAAAGAGAAGTAGTTTTGGTCTGAACGGAATTCGTTCTTTCGGCAATAATAACCAGATTTCTAAGAATCTGCTTCGTGATGCTGGAGAAGGTGATTGTGTCATATGCCAAAAAATAGATAGATACATGAAAATTACGTTAAACAACACCGCCCATCACAACGTGCTCACCTTAAACGTAAGCTGTTGTTCTAATTTTGTTTCTTTTTTAATTATTTTTCTACTTTATCGAAAGTCGGACACTCACTAAACCTGAATATTTCCTTAACCCCGATCAAGGTCTGACTTAACGGAATTAAACGGCGAAGAAGATTTGAGAGATGCAAAACAATAGATATGTAGAGATGTAAGGGGATACAAATTTTGCCAATCCCTGTCTTCTTGGCTCATCGGCCATATAATTTATGTTTATTATCTTGCATTTTATCTAGCATTATTCAAAGAAAGAAAAATTTTGCATGTATTTGCCTGTTTCAAAGTAAGAATAACCTGAAATCATTATATACTGCTTCCTGATTTGTAGATGATGGAAACTATAACAAATTGTCTAAACAAAGCCGAATGTGATCCAAGTATTAGTGCTATATTACTCAAAAACAATGGCGATCATTTCTGTAGTGGTATTGACTATTCGGAGCTCATCGATTGCAAGGACAAACAAGCTTACAAAGCAAAAGCAAATGAGCTGTGTTCCGCTATACGGTACGTTGCCTTTCAATTTTGGTCCATGTTATAGCCTCTTTTAGAAGTTGACATTTACCTGGATTTCTTTTCAGGAGGCCTCTTCACAAACCGCTTTTTAAAGAGATTTTAATAGGTGACGTCTCATAATTTTTGGAATTATTGAATGTTGACCCCATACAGGGTTTGTTTTAAGGAATTTTCATCACTGCCCGAATCAGCGTAGAAATATATTTTTGGGGGCAAAAATGGTGTCGGCATCTAATTTGTATTATTTCCAGGCTTTCAAAAATTAAAAGATTTGTATGAAATGATCTCATCACTCTCTTAAAAATCTTTTTGGGCTTGAGGATCAGATGATTACACAAGTAAGGTCATCTTCCAGGGCCATCGTGAGGCCAGCTTTGTTGAGAAAGGGGGGAGGGGGAGGGGAGGGGGGAGTTGGGGATTTGTTGCTGACACTGCAATTAGTTTTTATTAATCTTATTCTGTGGTATATAATTCACAATACCTATTTACATGACAATCACTGACAGAGCGGTAGATCGGAGGAAGCACTGGTGTAGTTACTACTCGAGGCGGCAGCGAGGCGGCCACCAAAGGAAAGAAGTTTTTTTGGAATTTTGTTGCTTTCAGGTCGCTGGAAAACGCACTCTTTGAAGCACTTTTTACTTATGCAAACTTACTTTTGAGTTAATATCCACAGCTTGAAAGCTATTGTAACAGAATGTAAAACAAAACATCAGTATCGTATCGAATAAGATTAAAGACTGTTGTTTGGTTTGTTAATTATGTGGCCTACACTTACAACAATAAACCTCAGGCCTTACATGGTAAAAACACTCGCTGCCAAACTTTTTTTTATGGTTGCTGCTCACTACTGTTGGAAAAAAGCAACTATTATAAGGACATATGTTCTCGAGAATACAGTAATTTAGCTTTTTCATTTTTGTCATTGATCCAGTTTTCTGATTGTCATTGACCCAAAACGCTTATTTATTATATAGAAAACAAATGAATTTAGGGTTATAGCTCATCCTGTCACTTTTTATTTGCTGGTGGGCTAAGCAGTGATTTTGGGATTAAGGACCCAGTTAAAGGATCCTTCATCACTGCACAAATGTGCCTTTCCCCACTGCGCAAATTGGTCATCACTGCATTTTAAATTTCTTCTTGATCCCATAAACTCAAAGAGCATCTTAAGCACCTCTAATTGTGCAAAATCGGTTAAATGCGTTACAAATTGGCTAAGATATGGCAACATGAGCACATTCTCTTTCCCCATCAAACCTCTGCAATTTGGTCTCTGATCAAAACTTGAGGCTTCTTTTATTAATAGCATTGTCCCCTGAAACATTCATTGTCACGAGAGTAGCCCCTTTCGTCAGGCTTCACTGATCAACTTTTAAAAGAAAAGCCTATGTAAGAACCCGTGACCCTAGAATGAACCAGTGACCCTAGAATAAACCCGTGACCCTAGAATCCCAACATGCACTTTGAAACTAAAGCAAGACCAAAGAATCGTCTGGCTCTTCAAAAATGTTTTTATAGTGTCATTGGGAGTTACAAAAGTAGTATTGTTACTGGGAGTAACTTGTGTACTATTTTGCCTTACAGAACGCTGACCGAAACGCTTATTCATTTTCCGAAGCCTATTATGACGGCTGTGAATGGTGCTTGTCTCGAGTACGGCGTTGCTCTTGTGATTCTCAGCGACTTAACATTTACCTCTAGTAAGGTGAGTGGTACATGCTTTTATTCTGACGGTTTAAAGTCAGGTTTTCAGGGACGTAAGACATTTTTGAAAAGTGGAGTGCATGGAAATTCGGGACCAGCGTGATTGCAGCCATTTATCGACCGATAATAACCTCCCAAGAAGGGGTTCTTACACTTTTTTCAATAGCTGGTCGGTATAATGTTCAATTAGTCGCCAAAGTCGTTCATTGGTTTGGGAAATTGCATGGCGAAAGTTAAAAAGTAGATTGTTTTTAAGTTAATCTTCATCGTGTTCAATTGTTTAGAGGCACATGCATTTTTGCATTTCTCTAAATTGCTGGAGACAAGCCCCTGGCGCTCTTAATCTTTTTCTGTGTGTTTTGTGCATAAAGAAATGACAGAAATTTGCTACACCGATGCTGTTTTTCTAAAGTAGAATAAAAATATTCTGTTTTTTTCTGTAATTGTAAATTAATGCAGTACGAAAGTTATAAACACATTTAAGCTAGTATCTTTATTAAATATGTATATTCTTGTTATCATAACTTGCAAGCCATAGATATCATGGCAGACACGTCCTTGTATCTGTTCTCTGACGACGTGTTCCGTCTTTCGCAATTTTAGACCAACTTCCAAGTGACATTCACAAAGCTAAACCTAACTCCAGTTGGTTGTCTCTCATATCTTCTACCGAAAATGGTTGGCCCTTCTATGGTACGTCTTCCTTTTTTTAGCACAAGTAGAAAATTCTCATCAAACACACTAATACTAATCTATGATTAATTCCCTTTCAAGAAATGATGCGACATGATGTTTGTTATAAACCAAATTTGGGTTTTTTGTTTCCTAATGACTGGAAAAGCTTTAACGCCAATACACTAGTATTGCTTTAACGCCATTCCCTTATCAAAAGCAGTGGCGGAAATTCATTTTTCAGGTTGGGGGGGGGCAATGCCCACAAAAACAAGCAAATTTGCCGACAAATGACATAATTTACCGACAAAAGCGTGTTTTAATCGACAATTTAGCAAAACCTGGGAGGCACTTGGACCCCCCCCCTCTCCATGTAGTAGGACGCTCCCCAGATCACATGACCTTTTATAATCACGTGACAAGTATTATTTACTCCGAAGCTTTGTAAAGCGGAGTTCAGTTATCTTCGTATCCTCGTTCAGATAAGTTATAAATCTTGAATGATTATCAAGATATGAAAATGTAAAGAGTGTGTTTCCTTGCTCTACCATCTCAATAATATAAATAGAAGCACCTCTCACATCCACACCGCCGCAATTTCCGCCACTGATTCAGTGTTATCTTTCGTAAAGAAACAACAATTTGTTTTTAACTTACATAGCCAAGACTTTGATGGTATATTTTTATCCATGCATCGTTGCTCGGTGGTTTGCTGAATTGATTTATAGAAAAATTCATGTTTTTCTTTTTTCACTGCCAAGGCAAACGCGATGCTTTTACTTGGGGAGAGCTTTCGTGCTACTGCTGCCTATGATAGGGGACTTATCAACGATATTTACGGGGTACATTCGTTTGAAGAAGATATCAATAAACGAATCAAGAATCTTGCTGCTGGCCAGACTCAGGTATGATTTTCATCATTCTTTTACGTAGTTTGCAATATCTGACGCACTTATCACTCCACTCTAAACTTCAGACATTACAGTGAGTCAATTTACCGATAACCAATATTGTTCTCAATTGATGACGTCACAAACAATTATTTTTAACAATTTTGAATTTGAATCTCATAAACTGAAAAAGCACCATGAAATACGGGCTGTGATATGGTCACATGAGCACAGGCTCTTTCTCCATCAAGCCCTTGTAATTTGGTCTCAGTTCATAACTTTATCTTTATTTCTTATTTGGTCTCTGGTCTCTGTTCACAAGTGACGTCACTTTTAAGAACCCTATTGCAAATAATAAGCATGAAGTGACTCAATGAAATCCCATGAAATGCTCTGGTTTTTATCTATTTTCAATAAAGCTAATTGAGTCCGGGAAACAAATTTTGAGGAACTTTAAAGCTTGTTTCTATCAACACTCTTACACCAATTAATTAGTGTTTGCTTTTTTTAAATATAACCATTTAGGGTGACTGTGTTGGATTATTACTTACATTCTAACGCTTAAAGCGTGGTCCACCATGCAATTTAGTAATCAAGTATCCATCAGATCCTCGAAAAAGTCACCTTGAATTAGTTTGGGATGAATGTTTTGTTCTATTAGCTGTGCGCAAAAAATTTCTGTGACATTGACAACGACTCCCGAAGAACGCTCTTCATTTTTCAGCGTCCTTTTCAGGTTTGTACTTTGCTGTCCTCTTGGCAGACAACCACCAATAGTCAGACTATTTTGTCCATCAGTTTATTCTGGTAAACCGTAAAAACCAGACCAACCCCAACCCTACGTTGGTCATATTTCATTTGATAAATTTTTGTATTCGTATTTTTCAATTAAAAACCGTATATACAATCCCTTAGAGGACAAAAATTAAGAAACCATAGTTCTGATCGCCTTTAACCTTTAGAAACTGTCCAAAAATGATTTTTAAAGATAAGATGGAAATTGTTCTTTTTGATGAATAGGTGCTTATTTCTGTTTGGGAAAAAGATCTTCTTGCAACTGGTGATGTGTTCTGTTTTATATTATGTGACGTTTTTGTTTGCTATTTTTTAAGTATCTAATTAAATCAATAAAAAGATTATGAACATGAGCCTGACCATGACCCAGTTTTTGTTGTATTCTAGGTAATGGAGGAGACAAAAAGGATTTTGCGAAGTTTAGATGTAGACATGCTTAGAAAAACGTGTGATACAGAAATGGAAGGTTACAGCAAATGCATTTTATCAGATAACTGCCAAAGGAAAATCACTCAAGAATGGACAGCCACGATCAATCTCTATAGTTCTGCTTGAAAAACTAAAGTATACGTATTTTATTAATGATTTCACTGCGCAAACTGATATCAGTCAATGCACTATGACTCAAAGCAAGTTGCAAAGTGCTTTCGTATGCTTGTTTCTAAAAGAATTTGTATTCTAAGTAATACATGTCTTAGGCGATAATACGTATAAAATATTATATATCTTGAAAGTGCATTATCTGTGTTGTCATATACAGCATGCTGTCATAAACTCTAAGTGGACAAAGCAATGTTAAGTGTGTAGAAAGACTACAGCATGTCACTAGGCGGCAAAAACATTGTTGCTTAGAACTGTGAACTAAATCGAACTCCAGTAACTGTTAAGTAGTTTTTTCTCAAAGGGAATTTTCATTTTTGCTAATGCTACAGAGTAACTGATGTTTATCTTGAAAGTTTAATGTGTACAAATACCGATTGTCGCACGCCCTAAGTGAAAATGGTAATACTAACTGCTATTGGTCTATTTCTGGAAATAACCAATGTTGCAAATAATCTGCTTTTGCAAAATCATTAAGTTTGTTGCTAAGTGGCACTAAGGTGCTCCTTTGCCCTTTTTAGGCAGATAAATAAAAGTTGGGCTTTTCGAAATGTTTGCATGCTCTGCCTATTCGTAAATGATTGTTTATGTTGCCAATGAACAGTTTAAGATAATATTAGAATTTTACATATGACCATTTTTCACCAATGGTTTTTTGGTCCTCCTTGGAACACCTGATGGGTTGCGACCAATACTTTATGGTGTTTTTATTTTGTAAAATCGTCTCCCTGCTCGTAACAGGTTGTTTACAGAGGCAGCGACTTCGAAAAGCTTGGCATTGGTACAGTTGTTGTAGCAATGTTTTAAAGATGGCGGCATATTTTTGACGGCAACATAATATTTTAATTTTTTTCTGTTCTTTTTTATAAGTCATTATTGTTTTAGGCTTACTTCTAACTTTGATGGAAAAGTTTTAATCAGTGATATTAATTATTATGTATTGAATTCAATAGAAATCGATGTCTTTATCTTTTGAGTCATCTTTGATGCGTATTCATGGACAAAAACCTGCCACCGAGGCAGGTGCTTCATGCATTTCAGCATGGACGTTTGATAGAGGAGAATATACAGGTTTTTGATTTGCTTTGGTGTTGTTTATATTGAATATACGCTTTCTGCCGCCCACAGTTGTAGAAACGTGCGCGCATGCAGAAATGCATATGACGCCGGCCTTGTCAAGAAGACTTTGGCACTTCAAATATTGTACTGGTAATTGTCATACTGGTACTGGAAGACAAATGACCAAACAACCATAGACGTCGGAACCTGGATATACCAGGGGCACATACCCCCAATTTTGGAAAAATGACCCTTTTCAAGAATAAGCCTTAGAATAAGTGTACGTGTTCCTGCGACATGGTGCCCCGTCCTACCCGTGGCCCTTCAACTTTGAAATTTTTCTAAGTCCCTGAAAATGACAGTTTCCATGTCATAGTCACAGGGGAGTTTTAATAGTGCGCAATCGTTGTGTACTTAGCTTGTTTTCTGTTATCCAGTTCTCGTATGTAGTATCGAGATAATGTATTTTTAGGGGCTCCCCCTCTACTCATAAACCCAATCAAATTTGTGGTTAATGTCGAATAAGTTATTCATGTAGTATGTGTCAGTGGCGGTTTTAAGGGGGTCCAGGGGCCCACGGCCCCAGGCCCCGTGCTTATGATAGCCAAAAGGGGCCCCACACCTAAGAAAAAAGATGAAATTGTGAAGAAGAAATTGTAAAGAACAAGGGCCTTGCAGATGTTTTTGGCCCCGGGCCCCGCAGTCCCTAAAACCGCTGCTGATAGGTGTACGTTAGCAACTGCTCGACAGACTCCAGTGCGACGAGAAGTAGATAGAATAGGCAGAATTGAAAACATTGCAATGCACTGAGAATAAACAAAAGCGAACACAAATAACCTAAGCAAAGCTAATGTTTCGCCCTGGCATAGTACGGGGCTTCGTCAAAGCAAAGTACTGTTCTGTTATAGACTAAAAATTTTATGTCAGTACAGACACATAGCAGCAGGAAATCCATATAAAACTTAAAGAATGTCCCCAAATGCTTTTTTTGACTAGGGTACCGGTACCCAGTCCTCTTTTAGGCATGCGCTTCAACGTTTTTAACTTTTGCAAGTTATACAACTGAAACTTTATTTTCTGGCGTAATTTGATGTGCTGAATAAAATGAGACGCAAAAGCAGTTTTGAAAATTCCACAAAAACAATTTTTAGGCTACGGTACTTGCACCTTATGCTTACGTGCTGCATGAAAAGTCGGGGCTGCCCTTTTTATGCTGAATTTTGTACAATATCTTTGGCGGGGAAAACTACATTCAAAACGGTCATGATCCTGTAACTTTTTCCACGCGTAAACTGAGTACTGTTCATTTCTGGAATTGTTGCTTATTCCTTAATAGCATTTGTTCATTCAGTTTACATTCCCTCTGTTTTATAAGTCATTATTGTTCAGTTTTTAGGAGATTGACGAAATGGTTTATTCGCATCGCCTTTGCACTTTGTGCGATAGTTACCCTGGATATCGAGAGGGGAAAGAATGAATTGATAGTTCTGCGATTCGATCTCCCATAACGCAGAGGGTCTCCCAGGGGGGGGGGGTACTTGTTCCCGTGTTCCCTTTGAAAAAACAACAAATTTTCCCGCGATCCCGTTGAAAAATAAACAAAATGTTTCATGTTACCTTGTTCCCGAAAACCCCTGGGAGACTCTCAAAGCATTGTAGGAAGTCAAAGGAGATAGGAACTCAAAGTAGGAGGTTTTTAAGTTCTGTTTTTCTCTATAATTGCAAGAAAAATAACTGTTTTGAAAGAAATTCGAGTTCTATGTGTCAGGGCACTTTATGCTAAAACTCGCCTTCTTAACTTTTTAAAGTTAGCACCCAAAATTAACTCTCGAATTTGACTTAATCATTTCTAGTTGCGTGCTCAAATGATAGGGCGAGGCAGAATCTTTTTGCCGAAATGCTATTCAAATGGAATGATATTACCGACCCCTCCTCCACTTTCCATAGCATTATGAGAAGGGAAGGGCAGCTAATTGGTGGGTGTGGTACCCATTTGACAATGAAGAAGAGGCTACAACTGATCTCAGCGGGAAGAAGTCGAAATCAAGAGGCCTAAAGTTTCTGTTTCGTTTGCATGCTGTAAGGAAGTAAGGAAGTACAATGGATGATGTTGGCGTTTCACCTGCTGCAGTAGCTAAAGGTTTGATTAAGTTCAACCCGGGCTATCTAACTACGTTGCCAGGAATTTGCAAAATTGTGGAATTCGTGAGTTGACATTTCGTTTTTTACTGTCCTACACACATTTAGGTACCTAGATAGGTAAGGTAGGTAGGTAGTCGCCAACTTTTTGTTTCTTAATAGCTAGCTGTCATAGACAGCTCTCACCTTTTTTAGGAGGATTTTGGAAATCACAAGTATAGAGCAAAATCGCAAGTAAAGTACGAGCGTCTTCTTTTCGAAATGCAAAAATTTTACGAAACCAGCTTGAATTCCCTTATTCCCTTACGAAACCAGCCTATTATACACTCCCTCACAAAAGTATTGCACCACCTTGTTCAAAATGGCGGCACTTTTTGTCAATATTTTTACAATACAAAACATTTGAATGCATGAATTGGGTGAAAAAGGCATATTTCATGGCAAATTTCGGCGGGAAAAGTTTGCAAATTTTGCTGACGCCATAGAATACCTAGTTAGAAACGAAAATTTTACGTAAATACATTATTGTTTGAAAAAATGTGAGATGCGAGTCCCTATAAAATTTTTACAGGGAAGTTGTCTTTAGTTTTTGAAAAATTGTTGACCATGTTAGATGCAGCCACACAACAGCTTCAATAAATCCAAAAAGGTTTCTCAAGAGTGCTTCAGCAGTAATAAACCAAGCAGTGAGTGAACAAGAAAATTTGACGTTAGAGGGGTAGCACTTTTGTCTGTTTTATTTAACCATGTTTACACCAAGGGACAGTAAAAGACATGAAACTCAACGTTGAGCAATGTTTTGCAGCTCAAAATTCTTCCAAACAAAATATAATATAATATAGAGTGTCTTACACAAATATAATAAATAAAATAATATAATAAAATAAAAATTCACCTGCGTAAAATGAAACCATTTCTACAACGATTTATTTCCAAACAAGAAGAATTCAAGTTTTTCCGTGGCATTGTTCAAGTCTAGATTTATACATCGTTGAAAATATTTGCTTTATATAAACAACATTACGAACCATGATTCAAAAGGTTCTTGAAGAACCAAAGAATCATCAATTAAAAGAAATCTTCAGGTTTGGAATGAAATTCCACAATAATACATTGCCCAATTATATGCAACCATTTCAAATGGCATAAAGTGGTTTCAAAAGTTCAAAGCTCCCGTCAAAATATTAAAATTTGAAACTGTTAAAAGACATTTTGAAACTGTTATTTAAAAAAAAGTGCTCTAGAAATATTTAAGTTTTGATTGGTGGTTGTTTCACTTCCGACACACTCCCATTTACCACTTTGGAACAATCAATTCGCGCAACAATAGCTTTCGATAATTCTTGTGACATTTTCCCTCCTTTGAGGTGGTGCAATACTTTTGTGAGGGGAGTGTAGAGCGAAATGTGTATTGTTTTAGATTTAGTGTATATACATTGAGTAGTAATATTCGGTACTATTGGACTTTTCTAAAATAATGCAATCAATGAAAAAGAACTTTGACAGACAAGTGAGAACTAACAAATGCCACCATAAACCTAGTAACTTCTTCTTTGAAGTAATAGCTTCAAAGAGGTTGAAGAGTGTGTTATTGCACTCCTGGGTAATTGCTTTTGCACTCCTGAGATCTTATCAAAAACTGCCATGAAATCTAAACCAACTTCTTAGTATGGTTTATAGAAGCTATGACTGATGCCAGTTTTTATTATCATTATTATTAAATTTTATTATAAATATGAGGAGAGCCTGTAGGCAATTTGGCCAGATGGCCAATGAGTAAGAGAATAGCAACCAAAGTAGTTGACTGATGACAAAGGGGTGAGCTTGTTCAAATGTTGAATTTTTGAAGGGCTTGAAGTAACTTACTTTGCTGTTTGCATGCCTTCTTTGGAATGGAATAATTGACAGGCCTCTCAAATTCAGGCGCCTGATTGTGCGCCCTCCCCTCTGCATGCTCCTAGGTGAAACAAATGGATATTTGTCATGCACCTGCTTCTCAAAAAGTACTAAAATAGCATGCCTCTGCTATTTGTATTTTGTAAAGATTACAATTTTATCAGAAACTTTGTCTTGTTGTCCTTGGAATCATCATTAAATTGCAATTAAGGAATCGCATGACGCATGTTTATTGAGCACTGAAAAACTGTCTGTGACAGTAGGGTGTGATGAAGGAACCATTCTAAATCTGCGCCACAACTTTTAACCATACAGGAAGTAATTTTTTTATTAAAAACGTATGAATAGTTCAAATTATGTTGAGACTAAAATGAGACAAAATTTTTTTTGATACCATAAAGGTTAAAATGATAGGGAAAAGCTGTCACATCAATAGTACTGTTATAACTGCTTTTCGGTGCAATTTAAACAGGCCTGGCCATGAGCATTTTAGCAGGCGAGCGGTACATCGCTCTTTTTAGTCTTTGGAAAATTGTCAATAGATTATTCCCACCTGTCACGTGATCAACTTATTGCCGCCATGATGGATCGCAACCTAGGCTTGGATACACATAGCAATGCGTTATTTTATACCATATGGATTTTGAAACAGAAGGTTATCTTCGCCGATTTCGAAACATTTTATATACCTAGCCAACTTGTTTGCTGTGCCTTCTTTTATTGGTAACAGATTTAAGAAACTTTTTAAGTACCGCCTTCTAACAGCCTTTAAATTCAGGTGATTTCATGCCTAAGAGGAGTAGCTAGGCCACAGTTAGATCAATCACAGATTTGGAAGGGATAAGAAGTCTTTTTCAAGTTACCGAGGGTTATCTCGCCTCTTGATAAAGATTTAAATGTAGATTCCCAAGAAAAAGTCAGGGCTATAAGTAAAAAAAATTATGCCAATTGTGATAGAAGCATGAAAATTTGAAGAGTTGCACAGTTTGATACGCTAAAAGATAGGTTGTAGCCCCTTTCGAAAAATGCCTCTAATGGTTTTTTTGCGACTGGGTTAGTGACCTGACTGGGGTTGTTCCAATACTTGTAAACAGATTTATCAATGGAAATATTTGCATTTGGCCACATCCGCTTGATTAAATCAAATTTGAAGGAAAACAGTCCAAAACAAGTACACACTCTTATATACAACAATAAATTTACAGAAAAAGGTGTATTCACCACCTTTTTTACAAAGAATCAGCAGACATCTGTTATTTTGTTGTATTTTTTATACTTGTTACTGCTAAACATCTGAAGGTAGCTTTTAGGACACTAAATAGCTGTGCTTATCTAGCAGATGCCTGGTCCTTCCCCTCGATGTGACCAGGTCTCCTGGTCCCTATCTATACTCTTGCTGACTCTAATCTGCTTTTAATGAATCTTGATGAGTGAACTCTTGCGGTATTGTAATATCACTATTGCATAATAATAAAGAGATTGGCTAGCTCGCTCTAAATTTCAAGTCATACATTCTAGTGCAACAGGTCTCAATGAAGGACTCAGATTACGACTAGGCCTCTTTACACCACAGAACATTTTGTATCAAACTCAAATGTTATGTTATCCACTTTTGATAAAGAAAATGTAGGCATCTATATAACAAATAGGTAGTTGACAATATTAATGTATGTCACTGAAAGATAGTACTCTATGTTTGCATTCCAGTTCCTCTTGGGCATTGTGTATGGGTCTATACCATCAAATAAAGTTTTTTCTCCATATATGTGTCTCTCCGGAGGTTCCAGGAGAGTCTCAAAATCTTTCAAGCTTGTGATTTCAATGTGGCCTAAACATAGTTCGCAACTGTTTGGGTGCAGTTAGAAGGCGGTATTTGTAATTTTTTTCAAAATTGTCAAGAACAATTCTTCCCAAGATAAGAAAGCACAGCAAGCAAATTGGCTAGGTACATATGCAAACGATTCTAGATAAACAATGTTTCGAAATCGGGAAGATAACTTTCTGTTGCAAAATCGGGAAGATAACTTTCTGTTGCAAAATCCGTAGGGTACAAATAGCATATGTTACAACCCTCCCGATATGGCCAGGAGACTCCCGATTTCAGAGGTCATCTCCCGACCTCCGACAATTAAAAAATCCTCCCAATTTTTGAAAAAAACTTATAATAAAAATAAAAATAATATAAAATAAAGAAGAATCAAGATGATCACTGTCAACAGTGCAACCTTTTCATAACGGACGAAACGATTCGATGTATTCACAACATTACAATAGTTACGACATCGGATAAAGCCAGACACCAAACTGCCAGAAGCCAGACGCCAAACTTTTTAACATTTGTTGTTGTTTATTCATCATAAAAGATAAGCTTTCTTATAATTTCAAACTAATCTAAGTGACATAAAATTGCTGAAAAATTTTGTAGGAGTTAAATCAGGGTTCGCATGGGTTCGCATTGATTGCAAGAAAACATTTCCTATAGAAATATAATTATAATTGTGAACAGTGAACCTGTGTCTCTTTGGAAGGACATTTTTAAAAATACCCTGATATATAGTGGTAAGTAGTTCAAACATTGAGGAGTGAGATGAAGGGGATTGAATGAGAATATTGTTATAAACAACTGCACAGGCGGTAAAAAGCCCTCACAATTTTTTTGCGTGGACTTTTCCTGGGTGTGGGCTATAGCCAGTGTCTCAGGAAAGGCCTGTTTTAAAACCATCGTTGACTACTTATCAAACAAGAAAGCTACCTAATAAAGCCATATTTTTCCTAGGTGCTCAATTTTAAAACTAGAATATTGAAGGTGCTCAGTTTATCAAGCATCTGCTCCTTTGCGCCGCACAAGGCCGTAAATGCTCCGCAAATTTACCGTTTCAAGACCATTTAATTCAGGAATCTTGAATTTCTTCTGTGCTGCTTTTATTTTTTATCTAAAAAAGCTGCTTCCGTCCTGTTTATAATGCTGCTCTTTTATGTGATCAGTTTACAATTTGCTGATTTATTGATATTTCTGTTTTTCTTATGTCTAACTTTGCCTTGAACAATTTGACTTAAGCCAAATAGTTTGGTGTTTGAAATGCAAACACATGAAATATACTATGCATGGGATTTGTGTCATACACAATGATCTCTTTATGACAAAGATTATCAGTGATATAATTAGCGAAGAAAATCTCACAAGTTTCATTGTTGGAATAGTATTTGTTGTGGCTTTTCTATCTCTTTAAATAATGACTTTGAATAAATTAGAGTCACTATCAATAATGGATAGTTGACAGATATGGGTCAGTAACTTGAAAAAGTATGCAAGAAAATTTTTGGCATGATGATCTTGATTTTTTAGTTCCTTGTTTTATCACTTAGCATGAGAATCACAACATGCACTGAGCAAGCCTAATTTCAGAAAGCATTTGTTTGTTTTTGAAGATTTTCCATGATAATTTGTGAACAAAGAAAGTTTGCTTTTGACAGTTGTTTAAACTAAAACAGTTGTTTTCTATTCATGGAGTAGATGTTTTTTACCCTAACATGACTAGAAAACATTAATGCTGAAAGTTTGCCAATTGCTTAAGGTCTTGGTGGAATTGTAGCAACATGTTTTATTCTAAGATGGTTTTTCATTAGATAATACAGTATGCTTACCTTTGTGCCGTTTGTTTTGGGAGGGGGCCTAACTCAAAGTTTTTTCACTTTCTTCTAGGTTGGTAACATTTAGGTTGCAAATCATTGCTATTAAGGCAGGATTTCCACTAAATAAATAAAATCGCAGCCTCAGTTGAATTTTTTCCTACCAATTTCTGTATATTTCATAGTCGTTTCTACTTGTTTCTGCTTGTTGCCTAGTTGTTTCCTACTAGTTTACTACTTGTTTCCTACTTTTTTCTTCTTGTTTCACAGTCGTTTCTACTCATTTCCTGTTATAGTAACCACGATTATCAATCAAAACTTCAGTCTACTTAGAACAATTTTGGCAAAATTAAAATGACAAACCTATCTAAGTTTAAAATTTCATCAACATTTTGTCAGAATATACAGGTGGTTAGCCAACACGTTGCCCTGAATTTGAATATGACATGTTCCAAATATTTTATTTTTTTAAAGAGCAAACATATTCAATTGTTTGATTTTCTTTGTTTCAAATGTAAGATTTTCAGTTTATCACTGAAATTACACAATACTTGATAGGTATGAGTATGTGCAAAAGTGGCAGTTCCCAAATCTTATTGAAACACTAAATTGCTGATTAGGAAACCTGATTGAAATACTAAAATTTCTTTTGTTAAGATGAAAAACATGAACAGGTTTGCATGCTGGTTGGGAGCTTTTCAGAGGCCTTGGGTAAAACATGATGTCATTGAAACTATGATTGTTTTTTCCTTTGTTTCTTGTTAGAAATTTGTTTTTAACTTTTTTGGGTTCCACACAGCTTGGAGCCAGGGCAATCTGCCCCATCTCGCCCAACCAGTAGGTTTGATTCATTGCGTGATGGTTTGTAGAACACATTTTCCTGGATAAGGTTTGGCAACTTATGAAATGTTTAAGTTTTCTTTAATTTTTTTTCCAGGTTCTGTTGTTGCTAGCTTGGGCCCTATGCAGTGGCTTTAGAAATGGATATCCATACGTGTCCAATCTTCAGAGCTACCTTACATATTCTTCTGGTTCAATTGGATTTTTCCTGTTCGTCACAGTCACTCTTTGGATACTTGTTTTTATCATGCTCATCTTTGGATTGTTGAGTCTCACTGAGAGGTTGCGAATTCCAAGCAAGTTGCTTGTTGTAAGTTATGTTTTCACCTGCATATAATGTTTTGTTTTCCATTTAGAATTTTCAAGGAGAATCAGCTTAATTCACCTCGGTGTTGTTTCATAGCTTTTTTTACTGGCAGATGACGTAATCATTTCAATCATAAATGAAAGTTCCCTCTGAGTCAGGAAAGCATTACGGTCGCACGGCCTTTGACCGGAGGAAGGTCCGCAAAAAACAAGAGAAGCTCCTATGACACATCCAAGCAATGCCCACTTTCTTTGTGAGGGAGGTTTGCCTTCTGGGGTGTTTTTGTCTGGAGGAAGGTTAACAACTTTTCTGGACTCTGAGTTTCCCATTGAAGACGCTTTCTAATGTAAAAATTTTCAGACAAGACGACAGATGATTTTTTTTGTCTAGAGAATCTCCATGAGACAATTTCTTCTATTTGTGTGTGTGCTGTGCAAATGTTTTCTGGAACTTTGTAGAATGGATCCTTCCAAATTACACATTTCTAGCTTCATGTCTTGAATGGAGACTTAGGCAGAGTAAGGTAGAAGAGTAGTCATAGTCAGTCATGGAGTTGAGAAAATCGTAGAATTGGCTGAACGAAGGATGGCGTTAAAAGATAAAAAAAACTTGCTAATGAGATGTTAATTCACTGCAATATACACATAAGTAGTGACGTGGTTTGTACCGATTCAATTTGTTGAAAATTCTATCCTATTCCTAAAACCTATCTTCTGTAATGAAGCAGAACAAATTCACAAGCTTTTTAATCTATTTCTTTAGGCATGAATTGGAAGACTTACATGCTTTGATGTGCTGAAAATATCCTATGGTTTTTTTATAGTTTTCAATTTCTTATGGATGTGCTGCAGTGCTGCTGTTGATCTCATCTGCCATCATTGGAGGGGATGCTGCAACCTTTCCTGGCTATTGGTGTGATGCAATAAGTAAAAACAAATTTTTTAGCACGACATGCGCCACTTACAAGGCTGCCGTGGTAAGCATTTAACTCAATTAAGTATGTTTGATTTGTGCTTATTTAGTTTCGAGTATGAAGGACCCAGTGAAACTGAGAAAAGCACCCTGCGCAACGCGAATGTCATGACTGCTTAGAGCTTTTATAATTATCTGTGAAATTTATGATGGAGGGCTGGCAAGCCACACTGTTTCGATTCTTGTCCTAATAAGAAAAATAAGGGTTCATTTACTTCACTGCGTTTGGGGCACAATTGTACAGTTTATGCATGTGCTGGCATTCCATGGGCATTGTTTTTCATTTAGTTTTCATTTTGCTGTTTGAGGCAAATGTGTATGATTTTTTGAATCAGCAGTTTATTTTTTCCAAGAGCTTTACACGGTCATGTGATATTGTCTCTTGTAAACTAGTTTTTCTAACTGTGAATATAACAAAAACAGTAATTTTTACAATCTGGTTTTACAATCTGAGACAGTCTTGGGGCCTTTGCGATTTGCAAAGGGAGGCGATTTACCTATAGAGGTTGCCAACGTCACTGAAAGAAACAAAGAGAAAGGCAAAAGAACAGTACTCAAAGCTAAATCTTCCATAAAAATCGCAACCTCTAATATTTATTTCAAGGCATTAATAGATTATTTTTCTCTTGTTCTTTTTCAGGCTTTTGGGATTTTTAGCTGTGTCGCGTTTATATTCGATAGCGTGCTGCATTTTTTCAACCATCGCAACCAAGGCCCATCAATGCCAGTGTAGGACTGTTCCTTCAACTTCCAAAGAAAAGACAATCGTTTTCTTTTGTAATTAAGTTTTCCCGATTACATATATCGTATAAAGATAGAATGCATCATTAATGTGTATCAGCAAATTTGTATCTTCAGATTGCTTACAGGACATAGTAGAACCTACGCAAAAGAACCTGTCTCTTTCTGTAACCGGCTGAAATGGCTCATCTACTTTAGGATTCTACTATTTTTTCTTGCTTTTACTTAATGGTTTTTATATTAAAGGTAGCTGATTTGCGGAATTAAAGGTAATAATGGCGGAATGGCTTGCGACTTTTGCATGGACAAGGCAAGCCTTAGGCTCGGAGGAAGGGGGGACCTTAACATGTTTAAAGGTACGGGGACGTGCCTTTTTTTAGGGGTACCTTTTTTCTGAAAAGTGCGGAATTTAAAGGTGTGTGAAATTATGGGTACCATTTGAAGAAACGTGCAGAATTATGGGTACCATTGCAGAGTTTCAGGCCAATTCGGACAATTTTATCTTAATGAAGCAGCAATATTCAAGCAAGACCTAAGATAAGACCCCCCCCCCCTAAACGTTTAGCCTCCTCTACGCCCATGCTCCTGGCAAATTTGAAGCTTCATAAACGAGTCACTTTGTGATCGGTCCAGCATTCAGTCATCTGCAGGTCAAGTCATGTGAAGGGCATTGTAAAGATCCTCTCGCAAAGTATCCGTGGTCCCTATATCTGTATCTAGGGTTTCAGCATAGATACTAAAAACTCTTTCCCCCCCCCCCCTTTATTGGCCGCCCTGAGTATGGTTAAGTATGCCAAATACTGCAAATCCTTGAAGTTTCTCTGATTGGAAAGGCTTCTGGCTCAAATATGAATTATTGCAAAACATCAGTGAAACTAAATATATATCGGCGAAAAATAATTTTCCCAATAATCAATTTCTTTATGGCCCTTTTTGGAAAATAATCATTCTTAGTGTAGTGTAGTGACATATGCAGTATTGTAGCGTGTTTAGGAACCATGACCGCCGGACGCAGGTTTAAACGGGGGGGGGGGGCAAAACGAATAAAAAGGGTACAAACATCTTTTTTCCGAAACATTAAAATGGTACAGCTTTCATGGCAATTTAGACATTTATAAAATGAATAAAACAAATTGCACATATGAGAACTATCTTTGCTGGAAGCAGACAAGTACTCTGTTTTGGGACCATGCACTCTTGATTATTCTTAATTGTATAACTTCTCATCTCATGGGCTTTCAAATTTGTTGAGGGTGTAAATCTTTCTTCCATGTATGATTCATACTTCTATTACAATACGTTGTATATATTCTTTTTATAATTTGCATTGTAAATTGAGCTTTCCCTGGTTAAGCGGCAGGGACACACCCTTCCCCAATACCTGTGGAAGGCGCATTATACTCAACAAATGTTCAGATTTATTGCAACATACCAATGAATCCACATTGATGCAGTCATACATAACAAAATTAATGAAAAAACTTTTAGAAGTTAAGCCAAAAATATGAACTGAAAGGAATTTCGAATTTTTGGTCTCCATCTACTTCAAAGTGAATTCCAGTCTCTATCTATTTCAAAGCGAAGTTTCAGTCTCTTTGATTAACTAAAGCCAATTCGAATAGTGATTTTAATTGTCTTATTTCTCATTTAAGCAATTTAGTACCACTGGGTGTCCGCACCTTCCCATCCCTACGCAACTTGAATTATTTCGCCTCCATGACATTTTTTATAAACGCAATGAATTTAAAGTTTTAGTCATCTTCACGCAATCGGCCAAAGGTGCTGGCACGTTTTTCACTGCCATAGAAAAATTAATTTGCAACGGTGAAAAGGTTTAGCTGTCTTTTTTTGTGTATGGTAAGAATCATGCAGTGGATTAATCGTCCTTGGGTCATCGATGAACTGACTTTTTCACTAATTTGCTTGCTGCTAAAGATTTGTTACGTAAATTTTTCACGCCAAACTTACTACTCCGCAGTTGATATTGTTCGCCACAGGAACTTGCGCTTTTTGCATCTTGACCAAGTAAGAATTAACGGAAATTCAAGTGAATGGTTTTCCAACAACGCCTAGATTTTTGTTATTTTACTTAGGTTCTAAAGGCAAACTTGCTTCTTATAGCAAGTTTTTTGCAATACACTCTTTTTCTTTGTAACAGCCATCAAATTTAAGTTCAGGCTGACTATTCTTAATTTTTCGAAAACCTAAGGCTGGATTGTTATTAATTTGTTCTTAGATTAATAGGGTGTAAGCATTGCGATTGCTAGCGTTTTCGCTCTAGGGAGGTGTTCAGGCCTCATTTGCCAACAAAGTGAGTCAAACAACATTCATTGCCGACAAGTTTGTATATGACCGACCCACACATGGCTAAGATCCTCGTTTTGAGATAAAATATGTTTCAAAATTGCATTTTAAAGTAGCTCAGCCTCAGCTTGTTCTAAATTTGTTCTTAAATTTTGATCAATTTTGAGGCATACGTTCTTATGAAATTGTTTTGTAAAAAGGAATGTATTACAAAAAAGGTTGATTATGACGTACCATGACCAACAAAATAAATGAATTACACGTTTGATATTTGGTCAAACTTCCTATTTAATGCTAAGGGTATTGTTATTGCCACCAATTAGGGCTTTAAGGGTCGAGACAAGTTCAGTTAATTAAATTGTGTCCCTGGTTAGGTCGTCAATTTACCATTTCCCAACCCAAACAAGTTTTTTCTGGTAGAAATTTTTGAGCGCTTCACATTTCTACCCCCTGAAGTTTTTCAATTTCGATTGACGATTACACAGAAACTGTAATGTGCGATTACGTCATTATAATGGAACCTTCAGTGTGATTCCCAAACGCTGTGATTGATTATTATTTTATTTTGAAATTTCAATTTTTTGCAACTCCATTTTTTTATTTCCTATAGAACTAAATAAGCCACAGTATAGACCAGAGGAAGACTCTCTGTCTTTAAAACATATTCCACAGAATTATTCTGAAGCGGGGCACGAAATGGCAAACAAGTGATACGTCGGTATGCGAGATGGCTTTTAAGACCCCTGCTCCCATCGACCATTGGGAAATACCGAGGAAAGTTTAGTGACGGTGTTCGTGGTGGTACTTCCGAAATCAAACTTTGAATTTTGGGAGTTTTCATCAACATGATTTGAAAAGTATATGAGGTCTTCGGTAATATTTATAAATATTGTTTAAAGAAACTTTAACTGCTAGTTGCTACGAGGTACTGAGGAGAGTGGGTTGACGTAGATTACCGTTCGTCGTGCCTAGGCCAAACTTGTATTGCATCAATTCGCTGGCAGCTAACGTAAGCAAGAAACATGTCTGGTGGAACTCTTCAGGTATCTTGTAAAAAGTGTTCTTCATTCTAGTCTTTTTTGTGAAAAACAGAATATTGTTCGTATTTGATAAGAGGGTCTTGCCGTTTTAACGAAATTGAAAACCAGGAGAAGGCCTTTATATTTTGTATATTTTGCTGTAGGCTGTAGGCCCACCAAGAAGGCCAAAGAATAGTTGCTGATTTCCAAATTATCTGCATGTACAGAATAGGATTGGAAATTAAACATACTTTAGGTTTGGTTTCTGATATATCAGAAGAATTTGCAATTTTGCCACTTAAAAAATCAATATTTAATTTGAAGAAAGGATGAGCTTTCCGTTCAAGTAATTTTTTCTGAAATCATCGAGGCCATACAAATTTCCTGCTTGTAATCTACACTACATCTACACGTGCATGAAGATAGCTTTGGTTCAACCGTCAAGCTGTATTGTGATTCCAAACTGAAATGCTAATATACCTGTCTTTTAAGAAAATTGATTTTGAAACATTAGAATAATTTAGCTTTTCTGAATTTTGTTGATTATAAGTTATTGTTAACATTCTAACATTTTATTGTTAACATTTTACATTTGTAAGAATGGCTGGCCTGACTCAAACAAGGAAAATGATCTACCCCCCCCCTCCCTGCCAAAATTATTATGATCAAAGTTTTACATCTCAAGTTACATACTTTGTCTAACTTTGATGAGAAATTTTTGTGATAAAAGCTGAATTTGTTGCAATTTTTAAGCAATTTTGTTTTATTTTGGAGAAAAATTTGACACAAATCTGACTCAAATTCGGTTGTGCAAACCTACCTTTAATAAGACAACTATGCTTATCTCATTTCTGCAGAAAGGTATTGAGATTGTTACAAAAGCAACAGAGGAAGACAAGAATGGAAATTATGCTGAGGCACTTAGATTATATGAGCATGGTGTAGAATACTTTTTGCATGCTGTGAAATGTAAGTCCTATATTGCCATAACTATATATAATGCATACCATGCATGAATGTCTACAGGACAACATGATATTAAAATGGCATTGTTTTAATCCAAAAAGCTAACATGTCTTGAAATTGCTTCTCTTTGGGTTCCTAGCCAATGGTATAAGGTAATGGCCTAGTCTTATTCTTGTAGCAAAAAAATTTAGACCTTGGGACCTTACAGCCAAAGTGATATACAGAAAATTCAAAATGGCGGATATGTGGATAATATTATGCTGAATCAGCAAAAATTAAAATAACTATAATATCTGAATGAGCAAAGATATCAACTTGAAATTTTCAGGTTATTTTCCTCTCAAAATGCTAAGTATCTGATAGGAGTATCAGGAAAATTTGAGAGGGTGCATTACATGACTGTCCCTCATTGGCATGGAATGACCTATATGTGATATTTGCAAAATATTTTTACGTCAGAAGTTTTACTGCATTAAGGTAATTGATGATATTTCATTAATTTGCTATCTATTCCTTAGAATATGAAGTCTATCACAAAAACTTATTTTGTTACTTTGTCAAATATTTGTAATTTGCTAACTGTATGAGCTTATTCCACAATGTAAAAGCCATTGCCTTATATCTCTTATGATAGGTTATGGCTCTCTGGTAGGTTATAATATTATTTTTCTGTAGATGAAGCTCAAAGTGACAAGTCTAAAGAAAGCATCAGGGCAAAATGTGTTCAATATTTGGAAAGGGCAGAGAAGTTAAAAAAATACATAAAGAATAAATCAGGTGACAGCAAAAAACCAGTTGCAGATGGAAGTTCAAAGTAAGTCTTTTTCATTTGATTTGAAATTTACAAAGGGCTTTAGATAATTGTCTTTTGGTGAACAGCTGGTTTTGAAAGAGGGGAACAGTATCCTTTTAGGGTAATCATATATCTCTTCAGAGTAGTGGCACAGATGTGGGGGATAATAACCCCCCCTACTTTTCTAAAAACAAAGCCTTATTCATTCTTTTACAAATGAATAAGGGGAGGTTAACATAATTTTATATTGGTTTTTCAAGAAAGCATAAAAGTATTATGGAAATTAACAATACAGTATTGGTTACATAACAGTGTAACAGTGTTGGTTTTATGTTTTCATTGTCAAAACAACCCTGGTTTTCCTTGTTTGACACTGAGTCTCTGATCAGAATGGTTTGGCTCATACAACTATTAACTGTTGATATAAATCACCATCAATTAAAGGGATAGTGGATTAATTTGTATCCGATTGTGTACCAAAACTATTCATGAAATATGAATTGAAGCAAGTTTGAAACATTTGTTTACGATTAGGGCCCGGAATAAGTAACACACAAATAATACTACTTCGTTGATGTTATCTCTAATGACCTTGAATTAGAGTTCTGTCAAATGAAAATATGGTCAAACAAAACATCACTCCTAATATGATGTTTGGATAAACAATGTTATGAAAACAAAGATCCACCTGTAGTCTCAAAAATTGTCCATGGGCTACATCCATTACCTCCTTCTACTTGCTACTCTTTTCCTTTATTTTTGAATTAATGTCATTTTATTGCATGTTTCATGCAATAACTGTTATGTGCTTAACTCACATTTTGAGCAAAACCTGTGATTTTCGCCACAGATCTAGTAATAAAAGTGACAGTGACGAAGAGGACACTGAATCAAAAAAATTCAAAAGCCAGCTTGGAAGTAAGTTGCTAGATATTTTTTTTATTAATATAATTGAATATTTACTTCATAAAATTTTTATTATTTTGTTGGTATAAGGATGGCTTTTAATTATGATTTTTGCTTCTTTAATAGTTATCTAGAAATAAACTGTATTTATAGTGCTTCTGATGTAACTGTGCTATGTAGCTTGCACTTGATTTGTTTTTGTACATTTAAAACAACTGTTGTGTGATTATCATTGAATATGAAACCCAAAGCTGCAAATAAAAACCCTGTTTATTTGTACACAAAAGCATTTGCAGCTTTGCCTATATGGTATTGAACACTATGTAGCACATTGGTAAACAGTAATTTTTATTAAAATTTATCTTTTATAATGTATTCTTTAGTTATACTAGTCTGTTAGTTACTGCACTGAATTCTTCTTATATTTGACCATGTAGGATCATTTAGATATATAGTTAAAGTGCCTGTGACATGATTTTCGTACTTTTGGGTTTATATATATATTCTTATGTAAAAAGGCCTGTTATTTTCATTTCTGAGGTTAGTTTTTACGTTTCGTGAGAAATGAAGGAGTTATTGGCGATCTTCTACGCCAAAATCCGCCATCTTGGTATTCAGAATGAGTAGACAGTGATGTCACGGGAGGGACCCGATCGCCTCCTCCTTCGAGTTTTTGTATTGTAGTTAATGAGGGAAATCTAACAGGTCCAAGATGAGCGATATTTCCAGAGAAAGTAGTGGCAGCAAGGATGAGATTGTTGAAGGTAGCGCTTGCATTATTGCAATAACGAGTTCCTCCCATGACGTCACAAGAGAACGACGAATGATGATAAAGCGACTTGGCTAGGCCGCACTATATTGCTTAATTTCAATATCAAAACGCTTTTATTTCAAAAAAAAAGTTCAGATCTACTATAAAAACAGTAATACTTCAATTAAGAGAATAAAAAAAATCATGTCTCAGGCACTTTAAGAGAAGCAATCCATGTAAATCAATTTTGGGAAGCAATCCATGTAAATTTTCAAGGCCTGAAAGCATGACTGTATCTTGATGCAGTTTCTGAATATTGAAAACCGTGGAGTAATAAACCTAATTAAAGAAGAGGAATTGACCACTTGTATTTCATTGTGGCAAAAGCTTTTAAATATATGAAAGTGCACAATTGCTAAAGGCAGAAAAGGAGTGGAAAGTTCACGAAAAGCAAGATGTATACAATTTTATAGTTCATGCATTGTATTTATAGGTGCCATAGTTGTTGAGAAACCAAATGTGAAATGGAGTGATGTTGCTGGCTTAGATGCAGCTAAAGAGGCATTGAAAGAAGCAGTCATCCTGCCAATCAAGTTTCCTCATCTTTTTAAAGGTAAACTTGTAAGATGTTTCAAGTGCAGTAATTGATAGCCATTTCTGAATCCCCAAATATATCAGTTATAGCCAAATGTTGAGGCTCTTATTGTCTTTGAATTAGCAAATTTATGTTAAACTTTTGAATTTCTTAATAACCTAAACCAACTATCACAGACAGTGCTTGTTAAAAGATCATGTTATGGATTTCAATATACAGGTTTTTTTAGATTGTTTTTTAAGGCTCTGAAATTTTAACAAAGCTTTTTGTTTTTTGATATGATGCTATCTCAGTACGATGCTTTTCTTCTTTGGCCAATTGCAGGTAAACGAGAGCCGTGGCGTGGTATTTTGCTTTTTGGGGTTAGTATGAGTTTTGTTATGAAATGCTTCAGTATTTAAGTATTGTCTTGTAGTGTTTCAAGATGCAAGCCCTTTCCTACTCTTTCAATCCAGCTTTAATAATATTTTCATGACTTAGCTTTATTGGCATGTTCTCAATATGTTGAAGGCTTGTGTTAGTTACTGAAAGTTCTATCAATGGTATGAAATGTCTTATGGATCTGTTGCAATTTCATCTGCGGAGTTAGTTAGAATGTACATAGAGGATCCTTTGAAGATGCCACCTATCCCACCCTTATTCCAGTCCCCTCTAGCTATGTTAAATCATGAACTTCCATGCCCTTCTGTTCATTTATGTACTCTCGAGAGTATGAAACAAAAAGAACATTGAGGGTAGTTTTTTATATTGCGTTTGCTGGAAAAGCTGTCAGAAGTTGCTTCAGCCTCCTCTTGGTACATGCAGAAGCTATGCTAGTAGTTTATGATTGATCCTGAGAGAGAATGATACCATCATTTTACTGCAAAGAAAGTTTTTCCCATACATTAAAATCATGGCCTCTTGTAAATTCATAGATAATTCTTTTTCAGTTAGATCACTCTTTACATTTTCTTATAGGAACTATTTAATCTCTTCTTTTAGAGCAATTATACCACTACCAATCATCTTTTGTACATCTGAGAGATGCTACCTTGCCATTCTATCTTATTTTTTTATATCTTTGTCAACTTTGATTATCTTCTTTTAGCCTCCTGGTACTGGTAAATCTTTTTTAGCCAAGGCAGTTGCAACTGAAGCCAATAATTCGACCTTCTTCTCTGTTTCGTCGGCTGATCTTGTTTCTAAATGGCTTGGAGAGAGTGAGAAGTGAGTTTAAAACTTGTAAAGTTGTTGCATGGCTATAAAAATGTCATAATGGTTAACTATCGTTTCCATTTTCAATGCAACAAAATCCAAAGCAAGTCACTATTTATTGATTATGAAACCAGTTTGTCGTGCAGATTTTCTTCAAATTATTACCATGATGAATTTTCTGCATTATTTTTATATTTTAATTATCGTCTTATGCAAAGGCAGTTTTATATTTATCCCGTCAGATTTAAGCAAAGCAAATTGTGTACACTGAACCAAGATGTTGAAGCTACCATGTGCTTGTGTATTGTTTCTTTTCGGTTTTGTTTTGACTGAACTATTAATTTCTATTTATTTCATTACCCCTAAAGCATACTTGATAGACGAGTCGTATATCCCTCAGTATTATCTTTGATGAATATTGAAATATTTTTTAACACCAGGCTGGTGAAATCATTGTTTGAAATGGCCCGAGAGCAGAAGCCAGCCATCATATTCATAGATGAAGTGGACTCGCTATGTGGCTCTCGTAGTGAGAATGAAAGTGAATCTGCCCGGAGGATCAAGACAGAATTTCTAGTTCAGATGCAAGGTTTCTTTTTTATATTACTTTGCATTGAATCATTTCCATGTTGGTCCTACATAAATCTTTAAGAAGCTTGGTTCTAAAAAGATCGCCTTTTTTCATCGTTATGGCTTTCGATATCATAAAAAGTGGGTGTAATCATCCGTTTCCATTTGTAAATGCAAGGCCAATTCTTTGAAAATTTCTTAAGGACATTTAGTACAGAGTTTCAGCATTGATGGAGGAAAAATTTCATGAAGTTATTCAAGTCATTATTTCTCTCTTAGGCGTTGGTGTTGACAATGACGGAATACTGGTTCTAGGGGCAACTAACATTCCATGGGTGCTTGACTCTGCTATTAGAAGAAGGTATTTTTATATCAAATTTGTTTTTAAGCGACTTATACAGAAATCTGACTGCTAAAAGGGGAAAACCATGGGAAGTAGCAAAGCTAACAAATCTTGATTGGCTTTTGGTGAGACCCCCATCTAGGGAATCCTCCAGGATATGGGCTAACCAGGTTGCCAGAATTAAGCTTCAGAGGTAAGCTTTGGGTATCTAGCCTTTGCGAAATCTGTCAACATGAATGGTTGATTTCTTGGAGGATTCCTGAAACGGTAATCTCGCTAACAGCCTATCACGATTTAGCATCTCTGCTTTAGTTTTTGGTTATATCGACATCGAAAGTAGGGCTTTTTTATTCTTGATTGCCCTTACCATCTCCCGCTTGAAATTTGTTATCTGAGGAAAATCTAAAAATACCTGTAGGAATAAAGAACGAACCTTTTTCATTACATAAACTTAGAGTTGATGCATAAGTTATTTTTGCATAAGATGCATAAGTTAATTTTCAACAGTTTTCAGCTTCATTTAGAGGACATCTGCATTCGCGCCACTTTTTGGCTGTGTCCCAATAGCATTTCGCAGAATCGCTTTCAAAAAGAGTTGCCATTGACCCTAAGTTGCAATTTGATTTTGTGGCCTTTTTTTGTTGTTGCCTTTTGTTGTCATAAAAAGAGTTCATTTGCAGATTTGAGAAAAGAATTTACATTCCACTACCTGACCCAATCGCAAGAGCCAAGATGTTTGAACTTAACATTGGTGATACACCTAACGCTCTGAAGATGGGTGATTTCAAGACTCTTGCGAAGAAAACTGAAGGGTATGTTCTATAAATTTTCATTATTTCTTAGTAATTTGTTTCGACATTCATCAATTTTGCTTAGGGAAGTTGGCAATACCTTTGTAACTCTCATTCACAACACAAAAATTACAAATGCCCAAACAGCAGTACGTAAAAGAAGGAGAATGTTCGAATACGACGAAAGGTCGGAAGGATGAACACGTCAGATACAGAGTAAATCGAAACAAGTAGTCAGATCCATTAGTCAAGTAACAGTAACCGTTAAGCAAGTAGCTGTTACAAGTAGTTGAGTAGAACTGCATTTTTCCCGTGAAATAGAAAGGATTGCAAAAAATTAGCCCTTACGAAGCCTATTGTAATATGTCTGTATTTAGATTTTGTAGCAACTTAATTGAATGCCGCTCTTTGAAAATGTGTTTAGAAGCCCTTGTGAAGCAACGAAGCCAAATGTAATCACATTCCGCCACAGGCAAACAAAATTAAATCCAAAAAAATCTTTAGAGCTCACTTGTGTTCTCATCTGTTGCTTGATCCACTCTTCTTTAATTTCTAGAAAAGTATTTGGTGAACATTCTTGACATGAGGGAGCCACATTCCAAACAATAATTTTCTTGGGCTTTATTTACGGAGTGAATCCCAAACAAATGTATTTTTTATGGAAATTTTTTATGGAAATTTTGATGCCATTTAAGATGCTTTGCGTTCCATTATCATTTTATCTTGAAAATTTGTTATTCTTGATTACAGGTATTCTGGTGCTGATGTTGGCATCATTGTTAGGGAGGCTCTTATGCAGCCTGTCAGAAAAGTGCAAACAGCAACCCATTTCAAAAAGGTTTACAAAATGTATAATTATTTCAATTAATCGATCTGCCAACCGAACTCTATATCGTGTCGTCTAGATTGCCACAGATTTAGTTTTGCCGTTTTTGTAGGCAAGTGTCAGGCAGTTATTGAACCAAGACTTGACACAACCTGCTATTACCGTTATGGCAACAAAACTGTAGCATTTTCCAGATTGTACTTGCAACACTGATCAATTTTATCTGTGAGACCAAATATACATTGTATAGGCACAAAATATTTTATATAAGCACAAACGTGTATCAAAACGATGATTTCTACAATTACGCTATTTTTGATAGGTATTGTCAATACATGACTGGAAACCTAGGATAAACACATTTTGCCTTTCTCAGGTCTCAATTGCAATGCCTAGAAGTCGAGGAATATAACTTGCAGGCTTGTGTGATAGTTTTGCTAAGGCTTTCGAACTTTTAACATGAGTACAATATGAGTAAATCAGTCGATTTACATTGTTTGTAATTTTAGTTGAATTTTGGTGTAAATTTCGTATTTCTCCTTTTTAAAGGTTCGTGGTCCATCCAGAAGTGACCCTGATGTAATGGTTGATGATCTACTTACTCCATGCTCCCCAGGTTTGTGAAAACTATCTGAATCAACTCAAATGTTTCATCGACCCTTTGTGTTTATATCTCTCATTAAATGTTTATTCAAGTTTGTAGGATTTTCAATATGCATCATCATCATGAAGGGTGCTGACTGTTTTTGAGCGAGTGAAGAATAAAGACAGTAAGCAAGTTTTTAGAAAGGCGTGTAAGACGCTGCAAGGTTGGGGTGCTAAGAACGTAGTGCTGATTCAATGAAACTTTTTTAACAGGATGCGTCATCAGGGTGTATCTGCCTTCAGTTATTGTCTTCTGTCTTCAATGTTTCAGACTGATGACATTAGTTATGTTTTAATCGGATCTGTTTGGAATTCGCAGGTGATCCAGGTGCATTTGAAATGAGCTGGGTTGATGTCCCTGGTGACAAGCTGTTTGAACCAATAGTCACTATGGTAGGTAGAACTTGCTGCTCAATTGGCATATAAGACTCTGTTAAGAAAAGCTATAATCTCTGCCAAAGTTTTAAATCACTAACATCAGTTTTCAAGTGCAAATTCAGCCATCCTCTCTCTCCCTTTCATTGATGGTGTTTTACAGCAAAATGACGTAGTAGATTAGGTAATACCCTTTTTGCGTGACTTTAATGATATTTGCCAAAACCATCAGCATTGTTCTGGAAGAAGGAGGGCCAGAAGAAGTAGCTTTGGAAAAAGAAATCCAACGTTAAATCATGGCTGAATATGCAGTTGCTAATTTTTGTGCAAGCCAAGTCGCATCAACAAGCGTCTATGTGTTTGGCAGTTCGAACACTTAAAAAGATTTTGCAGTGAAAGTGCAGCCTTATGTTTATGTTGGTAATTTTTATTTAGATTTGATCTTCTTATTCCTTGCGTTTTATACTCTGAAGGTTCTCAGACAAAAAGCTTAAGTAAGGTTGTAAAATATTTGCTTTTTTCAAAGCCATCTTCAAATATTTTACCGCCAAAAAATGGTTCTTAAATTGGATAGTCGGAAGAAATTACCCGAATGCATTGAACCATCTTTGTCTACTTCTTTTTCCTTCTTTCCTTGTTCTTCTTCCTTTGCCTTCTTCGTATGCTTGGTCTTCCATTTTCTATTTCTTTTTCTTCTCATTTTCTCGTTTTCGTCTTCTTATTCCTTTTCTTTTTTCTTCTCTTCGTTTCCTTCTGCTTTTCACCTATCATGCTCCTGGTACAGCATCTGTCGTGTAGTCTTCCCTAATCTATATCTAAGGCATCCTCTTCTCACAGCTCCAGCATCTTCATGTCCCTCCTGATGTTTTCCATCCATGTGAAGGAGAGTTCTCCTTCCTTGTGTCCTGTACAGTAAACACCTGCGTATAAGAACCTACAATTTTGCAAGTCAGCCTGACTGGGTTCTTATATATTGGGTATTTCATAGGAAATGAGGCTATTTTGGCTCTTAAACTGGTACTTTTTTGATGCAGGACCTTCACCAATTTCTTTTGTTCCATCTAAAGCTTCAAGCATTATTTACTGGGGCTGGAGGTCTTGAAATTTTATTGGATTATATATTTGTAGAAATTCCTACTACCTACAGAGGGTGTTGAGAAAGTTGAGTAAAAAGAAGTTTACCAAATACTTGAATTTAAGTAAAGTATAAACAGTTCAGCACTTTAGCTCGGAAACTGAAAAATATTTAAATACTGAACAGAATATTTAATACAGCATTTATAAAGGTATTGTAAAGAATCTATAATATCAGTTAAAGGCTCAATAACAACGACTAAGCAACTAGATTTTTAATGTACTTTGGTGAGTTCTAAAAACAAGAACCTATTTCAGATTTCAGGCTAGACGGGTTCTTATAAAGTAGGGGTCTAATTTCAGAATTTCAGCCTGTATATTATAAATCCGCTATGTTCTTATATTCGGGTGTTTACTATATTGCATTTCCATTGTCGCGGAAGCTCTTCAATTTGAAACTTCAAAATCTCATTCTAGTACCTGTCTCCTGAGCATTCTGTCACAAATTCCTTTTATCTACCTTTCTCTAGAGTTGTTTGGCCTGAAAGATTCCAAATCTTCATCGCATTATGCTGTTTTCTGAGACCAGGAATTGTCATGAATCATCTTCAAAATTAATCTTCTAGCCGTAAATCTTATGCTCTGATTACACAACAAAATTTATATTTTCGATGTAGTGAAAGTTTATCGATTAGAGGCTGAGCTGGTGACTGTTCGTTTTGTTAGACTAGGACAATCAATTAACGTAAAATGTTCAATAAGGCTTGGCATTCAGTTCAAATAGAATAAGACGTACCTGCTTTTCGACTGCCAAATCTCGATCTGCGTCTAGTTCCACTTAATCGCCTTATGATTCCTTTTTGTTACGTTTTGGGCATAAATGAACATCAGAATTTGCACGGAAATGTTTTGCTTTTTCATTGGTTCTTCTGCAGAAGGTTGGGATTATTGCATCACTTCAAATGCAGTGTCGAAATGTTTTGTTTCATAAAATTTATTCATCATTTGTTGGGTTTTTCCTCTGCCTTGCATCAATGTGACAGCACCCGAGGTATGTCTCATCATGTTACTGCTTCGCCCTGAATTACCTCCTGTTTTTTTAGAACGACATGATGCGCTCACTGGCAACAATCAAGCCCACTATTAACGAAGAAGACTTGTTTAAACTAAAGAAGTTCACTGATGACTTTGGACAAGAAGGGTAATCTAAAGATACCCTGAAAGTAAATATCATTTAATGTTCTCAGACTTATTCAAAATGTATTTTGCCACCTTAATCTTTTGGGTAAAAAATAATCTTCAGAAAGGTTAAGCCCCTACTATTAATATAGGTGCATTGGTTAAGGTGCAATGCACACTGAAATGTCTCTGATTGTTTTGAAATTTGATGGTCGATATTTAAAGCGAATGTTGTTGAGTAAATAAGGGATGAACATGGCTACTCAGCACCTTGTTTAGTTTTATATGATGCCCGCTGTAATTGGGATCAGCTTATCCGATCGATGATAAATTTGATCCCGTTGTTTAGTTTAAAACATGCAACGTTTACGCAATTTTGTTGCAAATATATTCATCGACCCATTTCTAGCCTATCAATGTATTTCATGTTTCTCTGTCCATGTTTGTTTCCAAGAAAGGTGATTTACACAACTTTATCGAACATTGTCTAGTAGGGGGGAAATTGATATAGTAAAGTCACTTTGAGCTCCATTCGGTAAGTCTTATCCCATTGGCATCCAGAATTCTAATTGCGCACTTTTGTATGTTAATCTCCCCTTCTGTTTCTAAATGAATTTGATTCATCTACTCAATGTAGGTGCAAGTAAACAAGCAAACATCTTATTTGTTTTAATGTGTACCTAATTTGAACCCTGTACATTTTTTTCCTTCGTCATTATTACCTTATTCGAAAATATCAGTTAAATCACCTCGGAACGCGTAAAATTTTTTACTCAGCATATTTTCTTCTTTTTGAGTGGATTTATCCTTAACATGGACTTGTTGGCTGCAGCGGTGTTTATATACGACACATTTATCTTTTAGATTTTCTTTACATTTTAAACCTCTGCCAATTGAGGATATCAGTTTAGTTTGTTTGTTATACCTGATATCTTTTCTCTGTCTACCTGTATGTAATTCAAATCATGAAGACACTACTTTTGCAGAAAAACTTTTTGTCTGATTTGTCTTCCAATATTGAAAGAAGTTGAGCTTGTAGCCAATTTTTTTTGATTACCTACGTAAATTACAAGATAATTTGCTGGGGCAGGGTCGTAACAAGGTCTTCCTTTTCATCTTTGCCGACTAAAGAATGTTGCCCTGGACTTAATCTTTGGTATTAAAGCCAGACGCATTGGCGGTACATAAAAATTAAGTGACGGTGAAATTGAGGGCAATCATATCCACCTTGAACCTGATGTTTGGTCATACGTATGTTAATCAAGTAGGACACAACTTGCCAATTATACCGAGGCATCGTTCAAAGCTGGCGCAGAAACAGCGCAAACAGTTAGCTACGACAGAAGTAAAGTGCCTATTTGCAGCAACGTTTTCTTCTACTGTCATAATGATTCCTATTTCTGCTATTGTACCTGCATTTATATTGACAATGGACACTCGAGAACTGCCCTTGTCAAATTTGGCAGCAACTATTGAGAAGAGAAATTTGACAGAAAATTGGACATGTAAATCTACAGGCAAACAAAAAAACATTTATCTCTTAAAATTGTATTAAAGTGAAAATCATATCAGTACTGCAATAACCTACCAAAAAGTGTATTGTTGTAAATTTTCCCTAGGAGGATACGTTATACGTACATAAAATCCAACGTCAGAATTACATAGCAGTTGAATGTTCCTGCATATAAGATTCATGCCTTTCTAAACATATTTTTGATCGTTGCTCTGTCTAAAAAAATGAAGGGGATTAGTTTTCCTATGTCCCCCGCGCCTCCACCACTCTCGTCCGTGTCGCATAGATGGTTGCATAGTAACCTAAAGCTGTGATTGTTTACTCGACCCAGATCCACTAGAAACGCAATCAATAATTAAAATGGCGGTTGACTTGAAATGGCCGAGTAATATCGACGTACCAAAGATTTCCCAGAAAAGATAACGAGACTAGGAAACAAATTTGGCACATCTACTTTGATTCAAAGTGAGTAACTTTTTACCACTACATAATTTTTACCATCACTACAAGGCGACCTAGCAGTGTGGCCTAATTTACCGCCTTCTAATCCTATATCATTCATATCATATGTAGGCCGTTTTAGGCTTAATGTGTTTTGTCTGGTCCCCTGGGGGTTGGTTAGGAGTATTTTCTAACCAGGTTTTAAAATTTTAAAAAGATATAAGTTTCGTGTTTTCAATTTCATATCGAAATGATGTTTGCAGATAACAAAGACTTGCTAAAACCTGCATGATTTAGTTGCATTTACTGGTCAGTCAAACCTAAACAATGAAAATACTTTTAAAAGTAGCATAATCCAGAAAAACAAGTAAACTTACAAAATGTGGAAAAAGATAATTCAAACAGGATTGGAAAGGAGGAGCTTTCTAAATAGGTTAACAAATCCAACGAAAGAGCCTATAGACACAAATAAAACTATTATTATTATATGCTCTGAAAAGATAATTCAAATCATTGCTTTTCATTAAACTGTACATACATCAAAAACATCAAATTGAAATTTTAAATTGAAAGCAATTTAGTTTAATTTGATCTTGAACACTTTCTACTAGTCATTACATTAACATATATCTCTCAGAATGTTGTCATTAATATAAAGCTATACATAAAATCAGGGTCAGTTACAATGCACCCTTTTGCAAATTTCACACCAGATTTGCAATAATTCCAAAATATCCTTCAGAAGTTGTGAGGTTAGTGCCTCCATTCCCACAGTCCTAGCATTTATAATGCTAGCTAAAGAGTTATGCACATATGTTCATGAATTTCACACATTATTTCTGCAGGAATGTCTACGCAAACTATAACTTCAAATGGTAATAAAGACAGTCCAAAATTGACTGCCAGAAAACACTGGGGCACCATCCGCAGGATTGCTACAAGGGAAGAGGATGAGGAAGATGCAACCCAGATTTTAACAGGGAAATCAATCACCCATGGTATCTACAAAACAGCTACACTGGTGTCTCAAACTGGAATTGCTTCTGTTACACACAATTTGCATTCTGGCCAGTATCTTATCCTTTTTGAAGACGGAAATGTTGAGGTTTTTCTTAAAGATGGAAGCAGAGAAAAAGTTCAGCCCCAAGAGCTATTCAATGGAATTATTTATGCTTCAAAAGCAAAATTATATGTCACATGGAATGATAAAAATCTAATGCAGGCATGTGAATGTTTTAATGCTTATTAGATTTGTTATTGATAAGAAAATTATAGAATGGGAACTTTGCCTTGTCCCTACAAGATATTGCCCACATGCCCTATAGTACAGACATCAGTTTTAACCATACAAAAATGTATTTATGTTTAAGAAGGGACACACAAATATCATATACATGTAACACAAAAACATCCATTATGTTCTGGTTATTGTTTAACCTGCTTTTATATTTCTTTGACAATCAGCACAAAAGTAAAAGGTAAGATTGCTACATAAAATCAAACTACAAGAATCTCAAAATATGAATTTAGTTCAAAAGTGTACCTATTAAATCACATCTAGCCTTTATGGTTTTCAAAGGTCTTCAAAATTTTATGGCACTTGCAGATCTGTTTTGTTCAAATGGAAGAACATCACATGGTTAATTGAAAATTAGGCTTTGTCACTGCAAGGTACAAGCCTTCATCCAAAAAGCAAATAATGGGTATTTTTTATTTAAATTTTATTTTTATTTTATTTTTAGCTCTTAACACAAAAATTTGACTTGATAAGCAGTGCTCCATCATCAGGAAATATCAATTGGTATGTTCTTTTTTAATCAAATCTTCCTTTAAATTAAGCTTTCAAAATCAAATTCTCCATTTTGTGAAGTATCATGTATTTTAGTTGATTGTTTTGAAATTTGCAAAAATTTGCTCAGCTCTTCAGAATATTTATCTTTTGCTGAAGAAGTGTTGCTCAAAAGATTTCTGGTGCATTTTCTGCAAAAATGTTTAATCTGCCATAAGATTGGTACAGCAGGATTGAAAGACTTTGCCCATGAAATGCTGTGCTACCTTTTTTAAAGATTTGTGCTTTTCAGTTTAACTTTTTTATTACAATAGCACTATATACAATGAATTCAAAAATGAAGTTATATCTGCAAGCAGTGGATCAGTTACTGTAAGTTTCTGTTTTTATTAATGGCTTTCTTTGGCTAATGTAATAATTGATTGATTTGAAAAGGCACTTTTAAAAGCTTTATTGAAAATTTCTGTTTTGTTGGATTAGCTAGAATTGATTAAATGAAGAGTTTTATTTTATTTTGCTTTTATGCTAGCTACTGATGCAACATATTAATATTATTGCTATTATTGCAATATATTATAACATATTTATTTCATAATGACTTTCTCAAGTTAGGGAAAAGTGACCTGAAAGTTGTTGGACATGCATCACATTACTTTAATTAGTTTTCTACCATTAATGTAGTTACTTTCATAGACAAGAGTACTCGAACTTTCAGGGGCTTGTGCAAATAAACTTATAGATAAATTGAAAAAATAAGCCTGAATTAATCTTCAAAAGTTTTCTTTTGAACTTTGAAAGAGGATAAAATCAAATTGTTCTAGAAGTTCTAAGAAGCTTTTGCATTGATTCTGCAGTTCCTTTTAAAAATTTTGTTTTAGTTGTTAACAGATCAGCTAAGAATCGTCTCTGAGAGCTTCTAAGTTATTTTTTTAATCAGCGTTGTGTTTGTCCTAGCATTGACTTCTTCTATTCCAGCCAGTGACAATTTTAATGACTTAGGGCTCAGGGATAAAAATTTTTACATACTCTTGTGCTTTTCAATTTGAATTTTTTTCTTAGGTGCAGGACTCTTTCGGATATCAAATGTATGGGGCCTTGGGCAGTGGCCCCCTCCCTCTGCTCCCTGCTCCATATTGCTTACCAATCTGCTGTTTTTGTCTTTCAATATTTATTCAAATTCCATATTTGACCATGCTTCCATGCCATGAATTTTTTATATCTCTTTCTGGTTACCTCACGATGCTCAACTTCATTAAAAAGTTAGAATTTCTTGGTAGTATATAAAGCCGGCACTTCTAGTTTGCATGCTGTGATGAAGGAGTCTTTTGACAACAGAACTTATATTTAAAGGCATTTTAAATGTTTTTGCAGGTTTGGTCTTTTCGAATGAACAACACTTTGCTTGTACCGAAGTTGACAATAACGGTAAGTAGTATAGATTATTCCATTTTTCTGTGTTACAGTCCGCCTTGCAGGAAGAAGAGACTCTAGAATAGACTGTAATGATCAACGACTTTTACTTCAATGATCTTGGTTGCTGTAATGATCTTTGTTAACTGCAAAACGTTCTGGTTATCCTTGAGATATTGTTTGGATGCTAGTTATTGAATGTCAACTAGTTCATTTTTGTACGGATCTCGGATAGCCGGACAGTAATAGGACCATTTTAAGTGAAAACTTTATTCTTGACAGGATAAACTCGATAAGAATGATGAAGTAACAATTGTTGTCGCTGAGCCAACATCTAGCAAAGGCCAAAGGCTGTTTGTTGCAATAAAAAATGGTCTAAAGGTATTCAGACTGAGTGATGGTCATTGCATTGCACAGATGCCTGACTTGCACAAAAGAGCCATAACAGATATGCTTTTCTACCAACCGTTGCAAGTGAGTTCTTGGTACCTTTTCCTCATGTTAGGAAATATTTCCGTTGAAGGTTAATGTTTACTGTTTTGTTATATAAAGCTCGATGCTGTATATACACGGTTTATGTGTGTATAACAAGATGGTGTTTAGCTGAATTTCTGAGTTTGACCATTAAAGGCAGTACGTCGCGCTGTTCATTGGAAACAAAAAACAAAATTTCTATTCCAGTGACAAAAGACACCTCTTACTTGCTATTAATCAGTTGTACTAATTTGTCATGCTTCTCTAATTTCGAGGACCCTCAAAATTCAACAAACAATTGCCAATGCACAGCGCGACACATTGCCATAAAGCCTTATGATCAAAACAAAGAGTTCAAACTAGCTATGTTAAAATTTATCTAGTCTAAATGTGCAATGGAATCAAACATATAGATAATTGCTTTTAGGATTTAGCAGATCTGTAATTTGGAATTCAAGGGAGGTTATGACGATAAAAGACAAATTACTGTGATGGCACTGAAAATAAAAAATAACCCATCTAATTTCTACACGTCAAATTCCGCTATAAGATAACAGATAGAGAACAAGGGTAACCAAACAACTGAGTTGTTTTAGATTATTCAGATTTCCGCTTTATTTCAGTTATTTACAGCACGATAGCCTGGGATTATAAGGCTGTATGGTCCGGTTCTGGGTGGAAAGTATAATACTGCGGGTCCGAGTCAGTATTTTTTGGGAATTTAGAACCGTGGAAAAAAGTTTTCTACACTCAATATAAGATTTCTTCAAAATTCAGGGAAAGTTTTAAGTACAGTTTTGATGCTATTCAATAACAATATACAAAGGCGGCTAGCTGCATACAGAAACTATGAAAGTCATTAAATGGCTATTTTCTATGTTACCAAAGGTAAACACGTGTTCACGATAAGCTTTATCTTTTCCATTGCCTTGTCCTCTGAGAATCGCAACTGTGACTAGTAAAGAATTTCTGGCAGCTGAAGTGTCTACTTGTCGTATTGAATCACCTTTTCCTATTTATGAATTAGTAGACTCACACCATTAGAGTGTAGATTCTGCAGATCATTTCTTAACAGAGTAGATAAGTTGCACATTATCTGTATCATTTTGAAGAAAATAGTTATCCTTTTACATATGGATAAATATATCTAGGTAGCTAGTACCTTCCAATACATGGCTCTAATTGCTTGAGCATTCTTCACATTTTGGTCAATCAAGAACTTTCCTTCATAACTACTTCATAACTTTATTAACGTAGAGGTATCATGCCCATTGAAAAGCAATCTCAATTGGAGCTTTATTTTTCTTATATGTATGGTTTATTCTCACCAACAGGTCATCATGACAGCTGCAGCCGATGGCTCAATAAAGTTGTGGGACAACTCTTGTAACCTTCGCTCCGTATTCATTGGGCACACAAATGCTGTCACATGCCTGTCATCATTCCAGAAAGGTCCTCTTGTATTGTCTGGGTCGAGAGACGGGTCTTTGAGACTATGGAATGTTGACACAAACGAAGAGGTGGAGTGTGTTGAAGCAGAGCAACCTATCAACGGAATGTGCCGAAGATTCGGAGAGGAGGACTTTTTCACTTTTACAAGCAGTTCTCTAGTGTTTTGGAAAATCAACAACGTTTATAAAATATTCACTGTTATTGGGTGAGCCATTTAACTATTTATTGAAAGTAAATTTTAATCTGTATCAATTGTGGTTTAGTTAGAATAGTATATTTTTGCAAATGTAGGTTCAAGCTCATAAATTATGTTTGTCTAACCGGTATTTGCAATAATACAATATTTGCAATGTAACTGCATTCCAAAGCGTGTTCAAGTATTTATAAGGAAATATGCGTTTATTGCAGAAGCAAGGCAAAAATTATGAAAACTACAACTCATCCCGGGGTAAGTGCAATGCTTATTATCGTTGAATCTATAATTTATTGCTGCGTAGCGAATGGTGCCTTGGCTACCTCTTGTTAGGCTCAGTTTTTGTTGCTGAATCATTTAGCTCTCTTGTGTGACTGCTGAATTTTTAAACGGTATTTTTCATTTTATATTCTCATAAAATTTACAACGACAATCAATTACAATACAAAAGCCTAGGGAGCATGGAAATGCATAACAACCCTAAGACTTACACTTAACATAGAGACACAAATATTACAATAATAAGCTACAAAAGTGATTGGAGTGGTGTCGCCCAACGTTCCAATAGCGTTTCAGATATGACAAATACTCACAAAAAGCTATTGGTATGAATACCTTTGAATTTAAACGGTATGAATACCTTTGAACAGAAAATGATATAAAGAAATGAAGAAAATCACGGCTTTAGTCACACATAACTCTAGTGAACTAGTTACTAACTGAATTTATGTATTAATTAAAATGTTGCGTACCAGCTTTTGCATACAGTCAATGATAATTTTCATTATTTTCATCAACCTTCAAATGCACCAAGTAGCTATTAATTACAAATTTACAGTATTGCAGGGAATACTTGATAACAAAGCAAGTGTTTAATTCACCTAACATTCACAAACACTGTCTTTTGATATGCTGGTATTTCATCTTTAGTAGTGCTTCTAGCATTTGATATCCAGGCAGACGTCATAACGCAAGATTTTCCTTGTATTTAGGTTCCGCCCTTAAGCTATTACATATGCGAAGATGCTTGTGTACGAATGACCTGTCCAAAAAATGGCAATGTCATCACAACAATGTTATCACCGCAATCAAAGCGAATAATAGACGCAGTGTATGCAGTAGCTGAAGGTATTTGTCCTCTTTTTCTCTCTTTCTCTTATAAAAGTAGGTAGTGCTTGTGTAGGCCATTGTTGGTTAAGGCAATCCATCTTTTTTTGTAGAGTAGATTGCTCCAATATGGGCGTTCTATAGGGAGGTCTCTGATTGGAGATGGCTAACGATATCACCTGCTCACAAATTGAATAAGGGGCAGCATGCATCATTTTTGGTAATAAATGTGTTGTCTTCCCTAAAGTGCTGACTTTTCACATAGCTTTCTTTGGTAAATCCTGAACCGTTCCTATAGCTTTTATGCCTAAGAACTGGAGAATTAAGCAACACAACCAGTATTGAAATTTTTCGCAAGAAATTTAGAGTAGTTCAGGTTTAACTTTTATTTTTGTTTAATCAATTCATCCTTGTAGTGTTTCATTGTATCTTTAGGAGTGTTACTTGTGTTACTGCGGGATGGAATGATAATGAAATGTTCAGCGAAGACTAACCCATGTACCATAGAAGAGGGCTGGAACACTGACAAAAATGGAGGTATATGTCTAAGCGTATTTCTACGATTTTTAATTATGATGATTTTCGTAATGACGAAAATCTATTCAGAGTCCAGAAAACATTGCGGTTCCACGGCTGTGAGCCAAAGGAAGGTTATCCAACGATGCAGTGGTTTTGAGAAAGGTTTTTCATATAACTTGACAAGGGTATATAAAGTAAGAGGAATCGACCGATGTGCTTGAACATTTCTTTTATCCTGACAAAGCACAAAGACCAACCCATAGACGGTTTTACTTAAATTACATTTTTAAAAAACTACTATTCAAAAGATGCAAGGAAAATTTCAAGAAGAGCAAATTTCATACGGAGGAAGGTTGAGGCGTTTTCTGGACTGCGAATGTATTGTTATGTAATCAAGATTTTTACCTCACATGTCCTTAAAACTTTTGTATTCATCTGTCAAGGTGGTGATTTTTTATTTCTCTTTTTATCAAGCTGGAAGTAAATGTACTGCATTTTGTCTGTTTGAGCACGTCCTTCAGGTATGTTATATATTTTCTTGCGGTATTTGTCATTAAAGGCATTTGACAAGCATAAGTACAGCGAAACCAAAAATAACTCGATCAGAGCACGCGCGTTTGAAAGGAATTTCGAAACCACTCACGTGAAACCACTCTAGTGTCTCGCTGATTGGCAGAAAGGCGGAAATTGTTCACATGTTTTTCTCTGGGCGTAAGTCGATTGCTCAACACATGTGGCTGTAAGCCACTTCTATTTATGTCAAATGCCTTTAATTTACATTAACATTCTCAAAATCAGTTACTTCAAAACAAAATGAAAAGGTGGAAGTAATTGTTTCTGAATCAACTACTTTTGGCCAAAGGTTTGTCTCAACCGACCTTTTAAGTTTTGATGGCTCTTATTAACAAAAGTAGGGATCTAAAATTTCTTGAATTTTTGCAGAAACAAGATATTGCTTAAAGGTTTTGTATAGAATGAATTAAGTCCTTTCCTTTTCTGCATCTTTTGTACGTTTTACGCAACGCATCTTAATTGTCCTGCATACTTTCGATGCCAAAACGTTTTTTAAATTTATCAAATATGGAGAAAGTATATTTACGTCTCATTGCAACTGCATTTGTCTGCTTTGAAAGGAAAAGTTGGTTGGAGATAGGTGGAAAGATCTAGTCACACAAAAGCAATTTGAAAATGCAAGCCAAGCTGTTGAATCAGCTTCGAATGAAAAAATTAACAAAGAAAGGGACAGAACGCTGTTAATAGGTGGCTGTGAAAATGGAAAGCTTGTTGTATTGAACTGGACTGGTCTGAGAAACAAAGGAAAAGTGTCCTTCTCCATCGAGGTATGATTTTTTTGAACATTGCTTCTTAGATTTTCAAACAGGCATATAAGTTAAACAGTAAATAGAAAGCAGAAAATGCGTATGAAGGTAGAAGAATAAAATGTTAAAAGGAACGGCATCTTGTAACGAATATTTATCCAATTTGATACAAATGAACTGAGCAAGTATTTTGTTTCGCCATATTGTGCTTTGTCAAAGTAATTACAAAGTATTAGGTATTTCAATTGAAGTAAATTCATAGCTTTCCTCCTATACCTGTTTATATCATTGACAATTTCAACTTTGTTTGATTCAAAATGCTATTAGATATAGGGATATAAATTGGCTTATTTGAACGAACAAAAACCTTTTTATTTTTCTCTCTCTTCTTTCTTTTTGATTTATTTCAATTGTAATAACTGTAGCTATTATGATTTAATTTTTAGTTGTGGCTTAATGCCAAATTTACTTAATGGCCAAAGATATTGTTGTGAGATATCGAAGTGGTTGTATCTGGGTATTTTTATATTCACACAGGCACACAGAGGAAGCATCGTGTCCTTAGCAAGCAATACTACAATGAATCAAATTGCCTCGTGTAGTAGCGGTACGTGCTCATGTAATCAGTACTATTACTTTCTATATTGATATTGATAATCTGTCAATATTGAAGACAGTCGTCTATACCACTGAATTACCATCTTGCCGTAATAATGTAACCCAGGAATACTTTAGCTTGTGCACAAATTACTTTAATTAGGTCGAGGATTATTTATATACAAATATCAGCTTATGAACCTTTAGGATAGTTTGGTAAGCCTTGGTATTGTAATAATGCATATGACGTCTAGAAGCTTAAACGACAATTGCATTATAGGAGACAAATATGAAAATATCTTTCAAATGATTTTGCCAGTTATCTAATATACCTGTTATCTTCCCTACATCCACGATTCGCCTGCCCTAAACTAACGCTTGCTAGCGCCTGCCAATTGAACTGATGTCATGGTTCACAAGTTGTTTGTTTTATAAGCTTATTGTTTAAGTATTTTTCACGGGCCGTTCATAGCCCGAACCAGTTGGTGCCATATCTATTTCTGCTATGGACGGCATAGAATATTGTATTTTGTTTTCGTTTTTAACATTGATGATTTTAAATGATTTTATTTCATACCTTTATGAAAAATTAAGATAATCTTTTCGTCATTTTTGCAGATAAAACCATTCGCATTTGGCGCGTTTTCCCATTTGCGGAAGATGCCCTTGCTCCGATGATGTTTATTTTGAACAACGAGCCTGCGACTCATTTGGTCTACAGCAAACACAGACTGTGTGTTGTACTTCAGGATCCGTCAACTGCCACTTTCAACGTCACTATGTTTAAAACAACAGACACCGAACCAGGTAAGAGTCTCCAAACAGAATTGAATCTCGACTTAGTCATTATTCTTGGCCGTGTTACGTTTGGGGCCATGTTACGCGTTGGCCGTGTTACGTTTGGAGCCATGTTACGCGTTGATGCTTAGAAGTTACTCGTAGATTCGTGTCATTATTCTTGGCCATGTTACGCGTTGTTGCTGAGAAGGTACTCGTAGAGTCGTGTTATAATTCTTGGCCGTGTTACGTTTGGAGCCATGTTACGCGTTGATGCCTAGAAGTTACTCGTAGATTCGTGTCATTATTCTTGTTGCTATGGTAGCAGTATTTTATAGAGTAATATTGCTTTATTTTTTAACCCTTTTAACTCCACACTGCAATTGCTTCAAATCAAAATGTAGATTTTTGACTCATGCTCAGAATAAATGAAAATACAATGCAATATAACCTTGCTTTATAAACAGATCAGATCGAATTCCTTAAACAACTTTCAGTCAACTTTATTATGAAATGGCCCTCGCTGTCTTTAATATGATATCTGGATTTTAGTTTGAAATTTCTTGTCAGCTTGATTACGTCATGTAGCAAAAGAGATTTTCAGATTACCTAGCTCCACTAATACTTTATTGCTGTTGGAATAGATAACTGTGAGTGAGAAATTCATCGGAGTTTCAAGGCACTATGTCCCTCGCATTTCGCTGGCAATTTAAATTCCCATTGGTTAGACTATACAATAGACCTATTGTTACGGAGCCAATCGGCTAATCTTCAACGTTTTTTCGATTTAGACTGCAAAGGCTATTGTTAACTCTGAACAGTTGACTGACTTTTTGTTTCTTATACAGTGAGAATAGAACACGGTGCTGACGATGATCATTTGGATACGATAACGGCCCTGTGTTGTTGTTCCAAGCTAAACATCTTTGCGTCTGCTAGTGCAGATGGAACCATACGGATATGGGATGAACAAAACAGGAACGTGAGGTATTTTTATAAAACTATATCCGTTTTGATGATGAATTTGTGACGAAATACCTCAAGATGAGTCTGGTAACACTATTCTTTATGCCTGCTGAAATCTATTAAGATCAGGATCCATTTAAATGTGGCTTGGCAATGGCTATAAGGTGACTCAAAGGTATACAGAGTAGGATGTTTGGTCCCATGCACGTTGATGCTCTTTGTAAGCCGTTTCTGCTATCTGAGTCAGACGAACGTTATAGTGATATTGTCACTTTTTGTCACTAAAGTTTCCTACTGCATGTTTAATGTTCAATGCGGGGTGGCTTGAAACATAATTTTTCTGAACATTGTACGACCGACCTTATCTCTTGCCAATGATGTCTCATATCGAAAGCCAGCGATGTCTCAGATCGCTTATTTTGGTTTCAATAAGAATCCAAATAGTGATGACCGTTGTTTGTTGCAATCAAGAACACGGTTTCTCTCTGCCTAATCCCCGTCTGCCGTGTATAGGGTTCAATTCTCGTGAATATTTGTGTCACATGAAACTCTTCGAAGAAGATTAATCAAGAAAACATATAGAGTCCAGTAAAGGATATTTTCCTTATCCTTAAAGCATGGAATTAAAAAAGACCAGATGTTGTGGTTAACTGCAGATAGTAACTCTTTGCTAATCATTTTTTCCACTGATTTTTAATGCTCTCGATTTTAGGATTATAAAACTACACATCAAGCCATCCAGCTTATGCTTTTGTAGTCAAAGAGGGGATTTATTGGTTGGAATCGGAGAGCATGTTTCAAGGATCCCCTACAAAAGATGTGAGTTTAGCTAATTATTTCATCAGTTGTTGTTTCCGTCACGGGAAGATTTTCCAAAGGTACTTTAAAGAAAGTCTGCTAGCAGTAACGATAGATTGAAGATAAATTTGTCTTCAGCATACATGCTAATGTCGTGTCAGGGTTTCAATCTATGTAGATTTTTTACCTTATAATATCATTTATGACTGCAAATTCTATATAAACTGCCTTGAATAATTGTTTTCCCTTGTATCTGAGATATTTTGTTAAAGTATACAGTGTAACAATATATAATACAGTGTAAAAATATATAATACAAGGTCGGTATGATTTCTTGAGCGTTTCTAATCAAAACAAACGTTGTTCTTGTAGACCTGCCAGAAAAGCTGATACGCCGTATGGTTGCTGTAAGATTCAACGATTCCCGAGGCATCAAATCCATTGAAATTGATAAAAGCGTTCTTGAAAAGCTGGACGTTGACCAGAAGCATCGACTGTTGAAAGCTCGAAGCTCAGATTCTCTTCTAGCTAAATTTGTTGACATTATCCCATTTGATGAGCTGGAAGAGAGGAAGCTGGAAGAGAAAGAGAGAAATATGGTGAGCACTTGTATAAGAATGGGTGCGAATACAAAATCATGCATTTAGTTTTTGCTTGTAAAGAATTAGACAGTTACAGTAGGCAGTTATAGGAGTTTTTTAGATGCACAAAGACTTTGTTTGTATCTATAATTTGATTGATTTTGAATACATTAGTTCCCCCAGTATTGTCTAGATTGTAGTTGTTACAGAGCTTTGTGCCCGTTATCAACGAATGTCTTGTGATGTTGTGTCTTCAAATAGCAAAAATTGGCTAAGATTACAATTTGCCAGTTCCCATCGCTTTTATCGTGCTTTTACGTGTTTGTAAATATCTGCTTATACTTCCACTAACAATTTATTTTTCAAGTCGTTCCCCTTAGACGTTGTGAAATATGAGTCATTGGATGATTTCTTAATAGATCATTTTTTCTAAACACGATTTTTCGCCTAATTTACACGTTAATACCAAACGTTAATACCATACCAGTGTGTCCAGCTACTCATCTAAGATATTGTAGAAGTTGCAGTATTAATAAATGGCCTAGAGCAAATTCTATTACAGAAGGGGATGAGACTTGGCATTCAACTGAAGGCGTTTTATTTTGCAACTGAGTTGGTTTGTCTAATGTATACTTTCAGTAATGTAACTGTAGAGCCAGCTAATGAATTTATGTAACATCAGGGCTATCTCAATGCAACATTGTTCTATTGTAGGCTGTTTCTATTCTGAAAAAACGCGATGATGATTTGACAAAGCTGCGTGATGGTGAGATTGCTGCAAGAAAGAAACCAGCTCCTTCCGAGACGGTACGTGAAGAGGCGTGGAGGAAGTATCTTGATATTTTTTACAACAGAAGCTCTGTCCCTGTTATTGATAATAATCTAATGGACGATGAGGATGAAGAACAGTACACTCCTTATGAGGCGCGTGATTCATACAAGCCGGATCGTAACAACACCGGATTTTTTTCAATCTCCACGGAGCCATCTGATATCAAGAAAATGGCAACAAAATTGAAGGAGCTCGATACAGAAAAGAAAGAGACAAACAATTGTAAGACGGAAAATGAAAGGTCTTTATCTTGGAGCTCTGAGTTTGGATCAAGGAATAGAGAGATGACAAGACCGTTGAGTGTCGGTCTGAGACCAGATATACACGAGAGATCCCAGCTGGTGTTGCTTCGAAGGATTTTGTCAGCTCCGCCTAAGTTTAAATCCTTTAAAAATCTGACTGATATTAAAAAAGGCTCTGATGCTGTTGAAGTTGGCACTAGGATCATTGAAGTGCCCCTGGCGCCAGACTTTCCATCGAATTTTGAAACACTGAGGAATCTGAACAGAAGCATAACAGATCGGCAAAAAACATTCAATGAAAACAGAAAGGCACGAGGAATGCTTCCAGTTGCTCCTGATGGGTATTTGCCAAATTCAATAATTGTTGCTTTGTACAAAGAGTTGAAAAAAGAAGAGAAGGTTGAGGAGAAAGAGTGGAAGCCTAAACAGCTGACAGAGAAGCAGCTTGAAGAATTAGAAACATTCAAGAAAAGGGTAATTACTGACTTTCTTGTAAACGGTAGTTTTCAGGGGAATACAGGGTGGTTTATTGAACGAACATTTTGAGCTGTTGGGAAATCCTGAGTGTCCTGCTCATGTCGCTCAGACAGATCCAATTATTGCAAACCTCGCACCCCATCTAGGAAAATTGTTGCTTCAGCCCTTCCTACAGTTTTTTGGCCTGTTAAAGTGTGTTCGTTCATGTTTTCTTTTTTGATGTTATTTACATTGCCACAACAGCTTTTTGAAAAACTTTAACCTTTAACACGGAGACCTTTTTGACAATTGATTTCATCTGTATATAAGTAAAATTTTGGAAATGGATAGGCCATGATTGGATTGTCAACTAAATCTTCAAGTGACTCTTGTATCACTAAAAGGTCCTTTCTTTTCTCTTTCTTATTCTCAAAGCAATCAAATGATTTTTGAATCTCAGTTCCATGTGGGATTATCAAATACGAATTGATGAAAAACTTTTGTCATTTTTGATGGAGTACATGTCATAGTATGTCATGTTTTTTAGCTGTTCTCTTTTCACAAGAGAATGAGCATTTTATCCTTTGATATTCTGTGACTAATAACTTTGTTCAAAGAAATACTCAGATCTCTTGGTTGCAGAAGAAAAAGTTCACTGTGGAAGAAAAACCCGACGAAGAGCCTGTAAAAGTCAACGAAGTAAGGTCGTCTATTTTCGAACAATTCAAATTGCTGTCAGAATCGCCGTCATCAGAAAAAGAATTAGATCTAGAAACCCCACCCCCGACACCCCCAAAATCGCCCACCCCAGAACCAACGCCCGAGCCTCCAGCTCAAGAGCAACCCAAAGTCGTGAAACCGCTGAAACCAATCGAGAAGCTCGTGTCAAGACCGGTTGTTAAAAGGTTAGTCAAATTGGGCACTTTCATTAATCATTACAAACCATTAAAATATACGCATTTTTGAAGCTTAAAAAGAATTGATCAATAGCCTACCTACATTAAGCCTATAAAGGCAACGCTTTAATTGGTTGTGTAAAGAACTGAGATCCTTTTTTATTTCTGTTACATCCGTTTCAATCTTGGTTTTTTAAATTATGTTTGCGATCTGAAACTTTCAGTTGTGATGATTTCAAGATTGATTTTTTCGGTTCATTTCGATATGTATTCTTCACTTGAAAGTCTTGTATTCTTTATGTTTAACTGCAAAAATTAAATCCGTAAGCCTACGATTACTCCATTGAAGGTAAATGAAAGATTTCTTTTAAGGGTACTTTTTGCTTAATGCCGATTTTAAAAACAGTACAATAGCCATTCTCTATCTTCCTTGATTAGAACGCCGACACCTCCACGTGAACCAAGCCCTCCGCCACCCCCTCGACCTGTGACTCCCCTTCCTGGATTCATTGTTCAGTTCAAAGGCCAAGAGTGGTTTGAAAAGCTATTTCCAAATGCAACGCCGGAGGTAACGTATTTTTTGTAGCTTAAAGAATGGGCATGACAATTGGCCAACCAATGAACGCGATTCATCTTACACGTTTATTGATTTGCTGATTTTGATTGACAGATGGCTCAAGCCACTTTGGTCTCTGTCCATTTAAAATGTTCATTTATTTATACTATAGTGTCATTTGTCTTTTACTTGTTTTTTTATCGAAAACTCATATATTAATCCCTATTTGTTCTCGCCATTATCAGACTCCCATTGTATGTCCTGAAAGTTAAGGACATACATGAAATTTCAGGACATCCTTTGTTTTCATTTGATGCAAAAATGGTTTTTTATAAGGTTAAGTGACCAAGGAAATAAATGCTGTTAAGAACCAGGTGAATGACACACTTAACTAATATATATTATCATTTAGTATCGATTTCAACTTCTATAATAAAGAACCGGCGTATATCTTCAATTCTTTTTAAAATTCAATGCCCTTAAGATCGTTAAGCTCTTTTCATAACTATTGTGTTATCTGTCCTATTATGTTTTGCTTTTTTTGCTTAATGTTTGACAGAGAACAAACTGATACCGTCGTTACTTTCATTATTAAAGGTTTAACTCTGATTGACATTTCTTTTATCATTATCATTATTGAGTAACAGTAACCCCCTCTTTTCATTAAACTTAACATTATCAGAACGTGGCTATATTTTCTTCTGTGCTTCGAACTCCCTAGCTGTTTCCAAAACCTTGGACTATTGTTGGATTCGTACAGTTGTTACTTGACTGCCTGAAAAAGGAGCAAAACTTTGATATCAAGACACAAATATGTGCAGTAAGTGAAAATTCTTATTTTTAGCACATTTCAAACAATACTATAGCAGGGGTGTAGTGCTAGGGGGGCTCAAGGGGGCTGAGCCACCCTTATTGATGCCAAAAATTGGTAAATTTCTACTTTTGCTATTGTTTTTTGCAATATTTTGTGCAAGGGTCCCTTTGCTATTTTGATAGCACTACACCACTGTGATATAGGTATGGAGTTCAACAGGACCTCTTGAAATTCTAGGAAACTATGCAATCCCGCCTAAAGACATATCTCTTTTATATCCTATTATCCATTCACAATTAGGATTCCATGCCCCTTTCTTTACCCTAAAAAATCACCTGTTCTACGCGCAGTTAGTTCGATACGTCAATCCTCCACTTCACGAATGAATTTGCATCGTGAGACTTTCTGAAAAAAAGATTCCACATGTCTTGGCTTTTCTCACTTTTTTTTATCAAAACCTTTTTTTTATATTGCAGGCAATCCTGATACTTCACAGGCAACACCCTTTCAATACTGAAACAGTCAATTTGGTACAGAATGCTCTTATAGTACAGTTGAACATTCCCCTTGAACCTTCAACTGATGACTCTGAAAGCAAAAATCGTTTTATCAAGCTTTCGCTCACAACCCTTGCTTCGTTATCGATACACGACGTGCAGTTTATATTAGAGCTGATGGCTCAGTACATCACTGCAGATTTTGAAACAAGGTAATTGGATTTGATGATTTTGCCAATATCCATAGTTGCATTGGCTACATATAAACTCCTTCCCTCTAAATCTGTGAATTATTGCGTAACTATTTTTCATTCATTGCGGCGAGAGCCTGTCGCGAGCCTCCTTCAAATAAATCATCCTAATGGTATATCCTAAATACTCAGTATTAAGATAAATCCTCAGCCTGTTCTGTAGTATAAGGCTGGCTGCAGTATGATGTAAATCTAGATTTTATCTGTTTTCACGTTTTCTCTCAGCCGCAATCTTTGCACTCTCTTCCCCTTTCTTTTGCTTCCCTGGCCCCTATTTCGTCATAAAGATCTCTGTAATACTAGAGCTTTTTAAGCAAAACTTTTCCAATTTAGCGGTTATCCTCATATAGCTTCGAAGCAAATAGTTTTAAAGCTTCAGTAAAAGGGGAAAAAGCCTTGATCCCTACTTTTGCTAGCCTTGGTCCCCCTCACTTTTAAATTCGTGGCATAGGCCCTGGTTTAGCAATGCAAGAAACACAGATTCTGTCTCAACATCAAACTGCGTCCCCGTCTTTGCCACTTGCATGTCAAACTCTGAAAGACTTATACTAACTACAGAGGAGTATTAATTACTATGAATGCATGATGACCTATGTAGAAGGGGAATAAGCAAAGTACTAAAGCAAGCGATGTGTAGAGACCCAAATTAATCGTTACTATTTTTTGTATGACCATTTATATTGTGTGAAGTCAGCTCTTATATTGAATGAGCATGGAAGTTAAACATGTCATTGCATAAAACTCATACCGCCTCTTTCCATTGTTATCTTTTGGTTTTATGTGTTTCTTCTTTCCCTGTTCAAATGATCCGTATTCTACGTTTTAGGCATCATGCCATACAGATTTTCCATGAAATTGGACTTCAGGACCCCCACAGCTATTTCACAAGGGAGCTTGAAACCTTCACCACCTACGTATGAATTTTATTGAGGACAAATTTTATTGAAAAGTGCTCTGAACCTTAAGCTAATTCTAAACTTTTTATTGCACGCAAGAGTTTCCAATCTACTTATCTTTGTTTAATAGTTCCAGATAATTTTCTTTAAGTCGAAATCAGGGAAGATTTCACTAGCTAACCATTACAGATATCGTCTTCGAACATGATTGATAAAAGCCTAAAAATTCAGGGAGGACACGCTGAGACTCTTGAAAATAAATGTAGTATTATTCTTAAAATGTTATCTTTCTACTCTTTTTAGACCGCGCTCGTGGAAATTACATATATCATTGTTAAGAGTTGTAATCTTGTAAATGTTGATATCTAGCCAAGAAATTCTCTTCAAGGGAATCTTTGATAAAGTCCACAAGAAGCAAGCAATAAAGGATCAATGCAAAGATTGGTTAGAAAAATGGATGCAGTTATTCAGTGAACATATTGCTTCCCTTGCCGGCAAAATCTACCGAGCAAAGAAGGGTAATGTTGTCAGGTATGCATCCCCTCTTTGCTTTTTTCTGCACAAGAGAAGGTATTGACAGATTTATCTAGGGGAAATAAGGGCCATTGATTTTATAGATATCGCGTAATTGGTAAGCTAGACTATAAATGACAACCTCACTAGAGATTGTTGTTGAAATAGTTTCAACCTTATTTAGCCTCAGTAGTCACTGTAATCTGGATTTATTTAACATATTGTATTCTTATATTTTCTTTGGTTTTAATTTCTATTTTCTTTTGCTTTTCTTTTCTTACTAAATTTCAAACTAAATTTCAGGGGCACAAAAAACCCGAAAACAAATACGAAAGGCATTCTAAAGAAGAACAAAAAGGTTTGATTTTTACCATGACATGATTGATGATATAATTAAATTTTAGCACTGTTTATATACCGATAGGCTGCCGGTTTACAAAATGAAAAGAACAAAGAATTGACTAACAAACATAATGTTTTTAATTAGCGATGCTAGATAAATTGCTTCTAATGTCAAGGTCACCCATTTCACCAATAGGGACAACATGTTGACGGAACCTCTAATGCAAATGACTGCAGTTCTAAGTAAACAAAAACTCAGCTTCTTTTGATCCAGGCAGAGGTTGCACTAAAATTTTGGTGATGTTTTTCTGCAATTAGTTCCGACACACGTTTATAGGTTTGATATTTTGTGATGTATTGTCATATTTTTTTATCAATTCTACCAATCCAAATGCTGTCTTCTCCTTCTATTTATTTTATCAATTTCAACACCGAGAAACCTTCTGACATCACAATTTATTTGAATTTTAGGAATCGGCTTATGATTCAAGTGGAAGAAAGAGTGCGTATCTTTGAGTTTTTCCTTCCTTTTGGTAGTTTTTAAAAAATGCAAAAAGACCTAATGCTACAATTAAATATTTTTCCTTTTAAACCTTTACCCCTTTCTAGTTATACCTGTGCTTGCTTTCATTTTGTGTTATTTTTATTTGGACGTGATAAGTAACAAAGTTGAAGACCTTCTTTTCAAATGTATCAAATGAGTTTTATACCACCTCTTAGGAGGTTACATTTTGTTTTATATTTTTAGTCACTTTCATGCCGAATGACTTCATAAGTGATGCTGCAAAGAACGTGATGCCAATTGATGCTATCAATTATTTCTGTGAAATGGAATATCAAAATGAACTCGAAAGAGCACGAAATGCTACTGCTGCCCCTAGTGAAGAAACGACAAAATCTGATCGCTTGAGAAACACAGTCGTTATTCTTCCAAAGATTGATGGGTATGCTTCAGAATTCTCCTTCTATGATATGTCTTTATCGACTTGAATTTATAACTAGGGGGGGGGGGCGTTAGAGGCGGGACATTGCATATAAAGTGTGACTGGTCAGGTATTTTAAACTGATGGTTAGCAAGAATTTCTTTCAGTAATTCGTTTAATGCTCAGATTTGAATCAAGCACGGTTCATTCCGTCCTCTTATGTTCGTCACAATTCGTTTTCGACCATCACAATTCGAAAATGTCTTAAACTGCAAGTTTTTGGACTTCTGGCACTTGGACATTGCCAGTTCCGGTTGACCATTTGGTGAGGTTACCCCACTATCGGTGCTGTTATCGAAAGACAGCAATTTTAAGCACAGATCTTTGGTTGAGGGAGCGAGCGGGAAAACTTTTCGGGTTCCTTTAAGACCAGGCTTTGCTGTCTCTTAACTCGATCATCTTTTCCAAGTAGCAGTTTTAGGAGAGTTTTTCCTCGCCTGTAGGTATCGAAGCCTTGCACGTCTTGGCGAAACACATCAAAGCTGCTGCCATCCTGAGAGAGAAACAGCATTGGCATATGGTTTGTTTTGTCTTTTTCCAATATTATCATTATGTCCCTTAAAAAAAGATGCCATGAGACAATTAAGGTCGTCTAAAATTTTTTAATCTAGAACTTTTCACATATTTTTTGAATAACCACCTTTTTTCTCATCTTCCTAACCAACTAAATCGTCGATGCACGCTTTTATTTACTTCATTTATATAATATAGGTTATGCTATTCCATTTTGTGCTTCTTTTATGCATCATGTTCACCTTGTTTTTTTACAGATGGTCGACTACCACCCATTCACCAGTCAAAGCAGGACAACTTTAACCAAGGCCTGCTTCTTCGTCTAAGTACTCTAACGCTTAACCCGTTTCCCAATTTACTGGATGAGCTTCTCTATGAACCATTTGCTAACAGCAATCTCATAACACTAAGATCAGCACCAAAATATTTCATTCCATCGCATACATACGCCGGAAACATGTAAAATTAAAGAATGTTACTCTATAGCTCCTGTATATAAGTAAAGCTTCAGCTAATCATATGTTTAATTCACAACAGTGAAATAGTGAAGAAGAACAACAGTGTTAATAGTAACATATTTTGTATCCTTGAACATACCTTACATTTTTTATGGAAAACATATGTAAAATGTAGAATCTGATCCTTGGACAAATATTTTTCATGCGAACCTAGGTTTTCAATACCAATTTCTGTATATATATGGTTGCTATGAATTTTTGTATCATCTAATGAATATCCATTATTGCAATTTTGTAAAAAGTTTTTTAAATGTGTTTTAGGAGCTCTAATTCCATCTACCAGGTTTCAGTTTCGTCTTTGATACATAATGTTATAGTAAAATTGATCAACAGCTCGATGCTCTAAATTTGAAAGATCAACTTCTTTTTACATTGTACAATGTAGCTGTATTAAATGTGTTAAAGAGGATGTTAAATGTCTTTAATACACAATCCTTGTGTATTAAAGAGGATAAAATGCAATATGGAGGGCCTTGTTGTTTATGGAGCTTTTTGTTTGTTGCTTAAAGCGACTTAAAACTACAGTTCTATTATTTCAAATTAGTAAGAAGGGTTTTGAAAATATGACCGTAAGGAAGAAAAGTTCAAGAACATAAAGATGCAATATTGTATAAACCTAGCAATCGCATACTAATCTCATAGATATCTCATGAATATTTCGCAAATAATCGTTTATGTTCACTTGATTAGCATTTCATAATCATCTCATGATATTCTCATATTCGCCTTTTTACATCCAATAGTCATCTAATTGTGACATCATAATCATAATGATCTCTCAACCATCTAACATTCGTCTAACCGTCCTTTCATACTTTCATCTCATAATCGTCTCAAATTCGATAATAATCTCAGCTGATAATCCTGCTTATTTGATTAGTGATGGTATAATGTCTCTAATCCCACCAGGGAAGGCAACAGTTTTGGATTTTCTATAGTTCCTTTTTCTGTTATGTTTGATTAAAAAAGTCAGTAGAAGCAATAAGTTTAGCTTTACTTGTTACAATAATTACTATTCTTTTATTGGGTATCTTAACCTTGATATTGATGTAAATCTGAACTATTTCATCTTAGATTAAGTCAGTTCAATTATAAATTACTTAAAGGAAAATTGATTTATCTTGTAAGCTAAACAATTAATAAAAGCCAAAGAATTCAAAAACAAAATAAAAAATTTCAACTCTAACTGTAAACGTAAACACATTATCCATAATTTTTATGGTAAACAATGAGTTAAGCAATATAAACTTATTTTAAAGATAAATGATAAATTCTCTTCAAACTGCGCATGCTTTCTTCCTATATCAGTATAATAATAGCTTCAAGCATTAAACATTTTGCTTCTTTGCAGATCCAATGCTTCGCTTCAACCATCCCGTTGATACTGACGAGCAATATTAAATCATAAAGACAATAAACCTAATGGCACTGTATATAAACGTATTTATTCAAGGCAAATATTGAGCTTTTATCTAAACTGTAATGGAGAAATGCATTAGTGCTAGATTTGGAAAAATGGGAACAGAACGAAATAGGAGAGAGGGGTGGAGGGCCGTTTTAAAAAAGTAGGGTACATATTGGTTTAGGTTTCTACAGGGTACAAATTGGTATCGTGTGACAACTAGGTTTGGAGGGTTCGAGATAAGTTTGGATATGAAAAGCCCATGGAGAATTCAAGAAACCCTTGACTTGTTTGTTTATTTGTGCTCAGTACCTGCCTTGTTATAAATCTGCTGGTTTCCGATAAATATGTAAAAGTATTTATGTTAAAGCATGATCAATTATGCAAAGGTGTTGTTTAATTAATGTCTAAGTAGACATCATCATACCAGCCTAAATAACGTAAACTTTTATCCTAAATCTTTAAATGTTTTTCGGAATTAAACTCAACTTAAATTCTACTGTACTATGATTCAACCCTAAAATAACCTAAAGCAAAAGTATTTTTAGTTATTGTAAGAGAAATGCAAACTGAAATTTTCTGGTAGTATCCTTTTAAATCTGCTAAAGCATTAAAAAGGAAAGACATGAAAGATCTGTCAAATAGAACTAGAGATTACCCAATAAGACATTTAGCCCAAACTCTACAGTCTAGCGGTTCTGGGACAAATTTTTCTCAAAACATCCGATCCCGTCTCAGGAGAGTTTATTGGACAAATGTAGAACATGGTACACTCTGGCTTGACTAGCTCTTCAATAAAAGTCGTTTTTGGTAAATGTATATCTTAATGGCGGCACTATAAAATCTACTTCTGTGATTAGAAACATACTCCATCCCTCTTGCAAGGAAGATATTTCTGAAAAAAAAGGATAGACCAGTCCTCCTGTTTACCCCTGTGGTGCTGCCACTGTTCTAACCGACCCAATAACACCCGCAAGAGCCACGTTTTACTCAGAGAAGTAGCCAACCGCAGAGTAGGGTACCTTCCATACTTTAAAGGCCTCTTAAATATCGTCATAAGATCCTTTTTTGAAGAAGTCATCCCTAGATCAAAGACATTTAATTTTAAATTGATGATCAGTTGTTTTACATAAAAGGAAAAACACTTAGATAAACAAGTACCTTTAGGGTTTTAGTTGTTTCAAGGTTGATAACACAACCCATAAACCTATAAACCTATTAGTATTTTTTATTTTTTCTTGTCTAGTCTTCAGTTTCATGCCCCTCGCATGAAAGGTATGTCTAGAGTAACCAATGTAGAGTTAATAACTGTCAGTTATATTTGGTGATTCTTGTAAAAGATTGTTTAGGGGTCTGGCACATTCTTTAATTTTGTCCAAAGTGTGTACTGTCCTTCTGGAGCCATGTTTTAATGAACAATAAAGGTTGGTAGTAAGCGATGTTTTTAAAGAAGAGCACAATTAATCGAGTATAAAGCCTACACCTCTTTACTATGTTGCGTAAAGAAGAGGTTTGCTGTCAGAATGATACTAAAAGTTGCAGCCTTGCACTGCATGTCAGTACACCCTAACCGTCTCAAAGACCAACTATTTGCAGAATATTTTGAACCAGCTAACGTTCAGCTCAAGTTAAAAATGTTAAAAATTTGCCCAGAAGATAGAGTGGGTATGGCGTGAAATTATTGGTGTGAGTGTGAAGTTGAAACTCATGACGTAGAATATAGAAAGCGAATGTTTGGATGCAACCGAATGCAACAACAACGCGGAGATAATACTGTTCACTGAGGACAACCAGTGTACTGGATGTCATAATAACATTGTGGTGGAACCAGTTTGTTTGCTAATGCGAGTAACAATACCTTCAATGGTTGTTGTTACTTATGGCAGGTAGAAGTTAAGGCATGTTAAATTTGTTTGAAAGTATTGTGAGGTGGGATACCACGCAATAACAAATGTGTTATGAAAATATTCCGCAAGGTGGCTTCAGAAAGGTGATACCGGTGGCGATGCTAGTAAACTGAAATCAGCTAGCAAATGGTTAATTGATTTTGTAATGCTGAAGAAAGTTCAGAAATCGAAGGAAACACAAGCTTTTCAATTAAAAGTTTTCACTACTAATTTGTATCCTTGTTCGGAAGAGAGAGAGTTCAGATCAATATAATACTTCAAGGAGATAAACCAGAATAACCTTTGAGAGCGTTTATAATTTCATAGATATCGCCGTATATCTTTTCGAAGAGTTTTTTTATAGAAAAGAAGCTAAACTCAAAATCAATTTATTCAAAGAAAGGCTTAGGGTAGTATTTTCGCAGTCTTTTAAAGATTCCAGAGTGCAGAGAAATTTTCGGTTTTAAGGTCATTATTGAAATTATCATTAGTGCCAAGCCAACAATTTCGCTCAGTTATATTTAAATATAGAAGTATTTTCAAAAATCAGTGTATTTTGGCTGAAGGGAGAGCCGGTATTGTAATCGCGCTCAATAAGAATCAACTGCTAGCGTTGCAATACCCTCCAGTTTGGTTTCGATTTCTGTTGAGCTCAATCAGCTGATCTGTTACGTTTTTGCCTAGAAGTCTGGGTGATTTGTACAATGCTGGAATTGGCCAATGATTCAAAAAACTTGGCATGTAAGGAGCTGTGCAGGGTGCATTTGCTTATGCAAGAAATGCTGTGTTGACAGAGAAGGCAGGTAGGGTGTATCTGGAGCTCTTTTTATTAAGGTACATTCCAATCGATGAATGTATTGTTGCGTTTTGCGAGGCATTGGAATACTTCAAACCCTGTATTTTCGATAGAATATGACCAGTCAAAATTGTGTGTTTTCCCTCGAAATTTTTAACGTTTTAGTTTGCTGAAAACTGCCTATATTGCAGTGATACGCAGTCATTATTCGCAAAATATGCATCTATGATTCCCAGGACCTACCAATTTCCCTTCAAACTCATGTCCTCAATTCTGCATTAGCCAATCAAAATTCAGAGATGTTCTCACCTAGTGCTCATGTTCCTGATCAGCAATACTTGGAATGACAATTCAAATTTCCCGCATTCAAAATTTGGTTTTTACGTTACAATCTCTTTTGTCCAGCATCCTAAATAAGGAAAATTATATTTTGCACGCTGTATATTATTCTCTTACAAAACCCACGATTTTCGACAACTTTGAAAAATATTGTTTTGGTCGGTAAGGGCTTGTTTTAGGCATTTCTCAGTTGATCACGAGCCTAGAAGTTGTTTGTTTTTAGCAGAGCCTTTCCAACTTACTTACTTATTAGGGGGTAATGCCCCCCCCAGTGCTGTTGACAATATTTTATCTTTTGTTTTGAAAAACCTATTTCCCTAATATAATATGCGAGACTGGAAACAAGTCCTATAAATTGGATCCTTGTACTTAGCCTCGAAGTGAATCAAGCCCGGGCGTTTATCCCGGTACATGTAAGGACTATTTAGAGTCAGCATCGCTATAAGTTATTCATGGACCGTCAACATTCTGTCTTACATCCTTATCCGAACTAACCTGAGACAGCTACTGGAAATCGAGTGGAAGAAGCTAAGAAAATGCTGTGGTTTGGGGTGAGCATGGAGTTACAAAAGCTTTGTTTTTAAATAGTTATTATCATTATTATTATCATTATTTTTGCATTTGAAACACCGTAGATAAAAAAGACGCATTTTAGTAATTAACTCGTGAAAAAGATGTATGATGAATCATCAAGTGATCTTTTTATGCACTCGATACCCCAAGAAATTCCTATTAGCTTTATACGAGTGCTTGGTACGTCTTAAATTAGCTTATGATTGTGATGCTTATGGCTTAGCCAGCAATTTCACAGCCTTCTGTATGTGTTTCTGTGTGTGTCCAGTTCAGTAGTCGTATAAATATTTTTTTTTCTTTGATGTCTTAGGGAAGCTTGCAGCCAAATATAGTATTTGTCACTCTTTGTTACTGAGCCCTCAAATCTTTACTCGCAATAATTTGACTTCAAAGTTCCCCTAACTTGTAGCTTGAATGTTATTCTATTCGTTTTGAGTAATAGCCTCGGGGTAGACATAGCTTACTGCTCCCCGGGGTATCGTTCTAGTAGTATTGTATAGTAATTTTGTAAGAAGAGTACTTCGTAATCTGAAAATTGTAGCTTTTTAGAGGAACAAAAAAAAATTTCACAGCCTGCATAAAGAGCTAAATAACATTAAACTCGATGTTCCCAGCTGCTTGAAAATTCTAAAGTTTTTTTAAATGTAGGTTTCCTTCAAGCTGAAATCTTTTGTCAACAAGTGAATATTGGTACAACGTGAATTACGATTAATCTAGCGAAAAATCGCATCTTTCTGCCAAATGGGAATGCTTGGCTTCAACATCCCCTTTTTTCAAAGCAGTGTGGTTCCAAAAGGAGGGGTTAACTGGAACAAAAAAATGATCCATCCTCCATCCGGACAGTACTTGGGTCTCCGACGAAAGGGGAGCCAGGGACATTGTTTAGAACTCTTATTCTTCCATTAAAATTGAAAATATTGAAAAAAATGAAATTGAATATTGTCAAAATTGTAAAAAACCTTGTACAGAATTACTTTTATATCAGCATAATGAAAGATAAGGTAACTGTTTGACTAAATGAATTTTTTGAACATGCCTGTATAGTTTCGACAGGAATTTTTAGCACATTATAGCTCCTCGATGAGAAAAACATCTTTGTCCATTACATGGACTTTTCCTTGGCAGTTTCTGTCTCAGTATTGCGCAGGACATACGAAGAGCACTTTCGAGTTTCGGCTAAAGAGGTCACAAAGAGGTTTGGTGGAAGCATTTCATGCAGAGACACAGCGACCATTGTTCTAGATTTGCTAGCTATAAACTGGTCAATGGTCTTCAAGCCAAACCTGTCAATAAGTAGTCTGCTAGGAGCGTCAAGGCTGCTGTTGGGTAAAATCCTAGCAGCTCGGTTCTAAAGATTTTGTAATTGATTATGCTCAGTTGAACCAGCACAATCCCAAACAGAGCAACAATACTGAAAGAGTGACTCAACAATACCCGTGTGTATGGCTTTTAGTATTTCCTGTCGTAAGAATGTGTTTGCATGACTTAGAAAGCCAATAGGTCTGGGGGAAACTTTAGCCGAAAGATAAAAGCTACTGCAAGATTTGTACCATAAGATAAAACCTACTGCAAGATTTGTACCATAAGATAAAACCTACTGCAAGATTGACATTTACCGACATGTATACTTCAATTATTATCTAAACCTGATTAATTCTCGTTTTTTTAATAGAATTTCGCATCGCTTCTTTGGCTACTCCCAACGATAGTGCAGTGCCACCACATGCTTGATGTTTCCATGTTTTACGGTAAATGGATTTTTTCGACCTACGATACGTAAAGCAGTTATCACAACTTTGACTAAACTGATTATCGGTTGATTGTAGTGAAACAAAGACTAATTTGACGTTTTGCACTCTTTCTTCTAACTGAACTTTGATATCACTGTTAATTAAGGGCAAGCGCTCACAGTATTAATGGAAGGGAAAGGGCATATATGTTAGACTATTTTCATGCCACCAGGCCGGTGTTCAGACATTTTTCTCAACAGCTTTGTCCAAGATTGTAGCTAGGCTCTGAAAAATTTCTTTCCATGTCGGTGACATCTTCAAAAACAGAGAAAATCACTCCCGGCACAGAAACCCACAGCAGTTTATTCTCGTTTAGAAATCATAAGCCCGTGGCCGAAACTGACTCATACTGACCTGTCTTGCCAATCTCCTTCGACTGCTGCTACTACCAGCCTACTAGCTGCTAGATCATATTTATTAATACACGTCTAATATTTTTTCATAATATACGCTCTTAGATGGACAAAAAACCATGAAATCATAATACTGAACACCGTCATCCTTGGGAAATTGCTAGGTTGTAATGTCAAGGGAAAGGTGGGGGTCGTTTTTTTAAACGAATCGATACCTGTCTTGATTTTTTTGAAATAAATACAAGAAAGAACAGCTCATCTTTTCGTGTTATTGCTGTATCTAACTATCTGAAATCAACGTAAATCGAAAAAACCACCCCAGTGTTTTCGTGTTTTCGACAATAGCATATATTAACGATGCGTCATCTGTCCTCGTAGATTACTGCATCATCCGGCTGCACGATGACAAGTGCTGTAAAGAGGTATTTTACTACAACATGAAGTTTCGCAGAGCCTGTAGCATGAGCAATGGATACCAAGATACAGTCTGCCATTTAGAAGGGACCAATACGCAGGTTGGGGGCTGTATGATGAACAATATGCCAGGTACTTTTTCTTTCAATAAATGAATCCCATTTCTACCTACACTCTTTTTTTATAAGAACAATTTTATAAGAACACGAGCCTCAAAACTGGTCAAAAGTTAAGAACAAATGAAGAACAAGCTGAGGCTGAGTTTCTGCAAAATGCAATTTTGAACCACGTTTTTTCTCAAAATTGAGGATTTTTAGCGATGCATTGGTGCTTTTTTGGTGAATATTCAAATTTGTCAGCAAATTAAAGCTGTCTCACTCACTTTGTTGGCAAATGAGGCCTGAACACCTCCTTAGAGCGAATAAGCAAGCAATAGCACTGCTTACACCCTCTTAATTTAAGAAAAATTTAAGAACAATCCAGCCTCAGATTTTCGAAAAAATTAAGAACAGTCAGCCTGAAATTAAATTTACTGCTTCTTATAAAAAATAGAATGTATATGATTTTATCTTGATTTTCAAAAGCTATTTTTCTTCAATTACAGAAAAATCTTAGAAACCTCGATCTACCTTGATTCCAAACAATTTTTCTTCAATCACAGAAAGAAAGATGAATCCAATTTCTACCTAAATGATATTACCTTGATTTTCAAAAACTGTTTTTCAATCACAGAAAGATCTTCAATCTTTTTAAATTTCAACTGAATTTCAGCTCTACAGTGGATTTTCTCAAGGAGATTCATCGTAGCGTGTGTAGCAATAAACAATTTCCCAACAGCTCTCAAAATTATTTTCGCTTAGAGAAGTCTATAAATTTTTTTGAAAACCAGAAAATTTGATTTTGTACCGTTTTATTAGACACCAATGTGTCAAGAGTTTAACAAATACTACAATATTTATATTTTTTCAAGAAACATTATTTGTGTCCCTCAGCTACGATGTTGAGGTACCAGTCATTGTTCAATGTTTTTGTACAGCTTTTGGAGCCCAGTTTGAAAAGGCTAAAGTTTTAAATTTTGAAAAATTGGCTGCCCCTTGTTATTCGTTTTTGACTAAACTACCTTCATATTTAGATTTGGTGCTCTTTAATATTGATGTGTGTTATGATAAAATGCTGCTTGAAATCCCACCAGATGCAGGATTTGCCCATCCTCTCGGTATGCAGAGTGGCAGAATTCGAGCCAGCCAACTGAGTGGGCCTAACAATGCAGACAAAATGGCACTGACAAAGGCTCGACTTTTCGGACAGGAAGGCTGGAAGCCGGATGATGCTTACTTGGGATCACTTATCATGACATATGTTGTTTCTGGAACCTTGCCAACATTGCAGGCCGCACCAATCTACTTCATGGTTACTTTCACAAGAATGAAGAAAATTTCTTACTTCGTCATACAAGATAGTCAAAAGACCCCTTATGATTATTCTCAAAGTTTCTTCCTCATATATAATGAGACACAATGGAAACATTATGGCTCGACAAGTGCAAGGGTACTATTTTACACTAATATCTTAGAATAATTTCCTATTTAAATCCTGAACCAAGCTCATTCTTATACAATTGTGATGTGGCATTTTCAAAATCCTCTTTTCTGATTTAACAATGGGGCTATTTTTTGGAAATTACCTGGTAAATGCTACCTGATGTTTTTCTTTTGCAAGCATTATGAACTTGGCAAGATTCCTAATATTGGATGTTGCCCATTCTTCCTTTTTTTCATTATAACGCATTTCGTGTTTTGACGACTGTCTAGTAAAGAAATCTCCAATTCTGGTTCTGTTTTCTGTTTCCTATGCTTTCTAGAGAATGCTGAGATTTCATTACTGTTTAGCATTTCCAATAAACATAAAAATATGATAAACTTTATAGTCGGCATATATAAGTTTATATTTCAGCAATAATGTTGCCTTACATTATGAGACTGATTTCGACGATGTTCGCATTAGAAAAAGTTGCCATCCAAGTCCTTAGTAAAAGAATGAGAATAGTTCCTAATGCTTAACGCAAAAAAATTGATTATACAACCTGTCATACCGTCTGGTTTAACGTATTTTTATGATGAAAGCTTTAACTTTGTTAGGCGCTGAGCGAATTCATCAAACTAAGGATGGTAGATAATCCAAATACGTACTAGAAAATGGACGATCTTATGCATCTTTAAAAAAAACCAAGAAATACTTAGGCGTTTCTAGGATAAGGTTCCAAGCGATCATCTCAAAAAGCTTTTCTAATAGATGAGATTTGTTTTTAGGTGTTTGAGTGCTTTCAAGTATTTGGTCATCCAGTGCAGAGCTGTAGGCACATTCTAGAACCCTTCCGTGCATATTCTATAAAAGTCATTGCAAGGGACTATGATACTTTACGCAAGCCGAAGTGGAGATTGGAGTTCGGAGGATTTGACTATTTAGAAGGTTACTGTTTATCTTCTTCTTTACTTTACTGATAATGCTTTACTTTCCTAATCCTGTTTCTTAATCAATTGTTCTAAGTACCAGAATACTTGCACTAACAGTGTCATTGTTACTTGCACTAACAGGACATCAATCACTATCTAAAATCATATTAAAAACGCTGCCAGCTAGTTCGTTTTCCTGGTTTGGAACAAACATACAAAAAACTTTGACCTGATTGAAAATGTAATCCCTAAAGCGTCTGCATTAGGCTCAGTTATATTCTTATACTCTTTCTTATACTCTTTCACACGATGTTTTGGATTTTTTTAGCTGATCATTATTGGTCCATGGATAAGGTCATGTTTCGAAATGGCAAAACGAAAGCTGAAATTCCAGACGAGCGTGGGAAGCATGTTCTAGAAACCGACGCCATACCGTATTCTTCACCTGTAACAACAAGTCTTATTTATCTAGACGATTGGAGATCTTTGGTCGCTTTTAATACCACGCCAACAGCGTTTTATAAACTTTCAGTTGGCAGCAGTGGATGTTACCACGACCCATCATCTTGTGCCAAAGGGCTGAGCTTCAGTTTCTGGATGCACAGTAAGTACCTAAAAACTCCCAATAAAAATTTCCTTCATAATCTACTTAAAGAATTCAATAAATATTGAAATGCTATGCGTGTGTTTGGCTCACTAACTGCCACATCAAACATCGTATTACCTATTTATAAATATTATGAATGTCCTTTATGTTCTTCTGTTCAATACCTTACAATAGTTGTAAGTCTTTAAATTTCAAATTCATTTCGGACATTTTCTTAACGAAAACATCATTTTTGTTTGCTTTGAAGGCTATCCAAGTTTTGGTACGCTTATCTCGATGGGCGACAGTGGAGGTTATAGAGGTTTTCTTTTCAAATGGAGAAATGACGGGGGACTTGTTTTCAGCGTTGGGACTGCGACTCAGTTGTGGCAGGCGGTGTACACTGTTCCAGAGTGCCAGTCAGCAGGAGGTAATTGCAGCCCAGATGTGAAATGGATGCACATTTCTGCTGTCTGGGACAAAACCAGTTTGAGAATGTACATAGATGGAAGGCGTGTGGCTACCGACTCTGGAATTGAATCAATACAAAACGCTGCAAACACTCTTCATTTCAAGAATCTCTTTTTACTTAGAAATTTCCGCCTTTGGGACTTTGTTCTGTCTGATGAGGACATTAAGGATGTATATAAAGATAGTAAGTTGCTTTAAAGGTATTTGTTTGATTTTTAAAAAGAATATGTATGATATACAAAGGTAAATAGGGGCTGCTTCTTGCATGATTTTGCACGGGTCAGTCTGCGTTTGTAGTGTAAAGTAAATAAGAAATATCAATATCAGACTTTAAGTACTTGAATAAACTTTTAAGCGGCTTGTAGAAAAACGTACGAAGCTATATGTACTTTCAGAGGAAGTTTATGTATTGCAAATGAAATTAGTAGAAAACAAAACGCACATCACACGAGGCTCTTTTTCAGATGAATTTGCACGAGTAAGTACGATATGAATCGAGCACAATCAAGTAGAAATATCAACTTTGTAAAATGCTTCTTATAATGCTAAAAGTGACTTGTAAAGCAACTTAGATTATTGAAGAGAATTTGGAATCATAATTTGTCTCTTTCAATTTTCTTTTAGATAAGATTGACCTCACAATAACAGCCATGGATGATTTGGGGGCTTGGAAAACCTCAGCTGGGTGTACGGACACAAAAAACACAGGACCATGTGAAGATCAATCTTTTCATGCTGATCCAGGTGATTGCTTCTTGAAATCCTTTTTTTCTAACAAGGAAGTTCAAGCATTCTTTTGTGCTAACTTGTTTGTTTTTAAACCAACTCTTTAAAATTTTTATAACACTGCCATACTAAAGATTTCCAGGTAGGATATTGCAAAACACAGTTTTTAAAGTGAGTCTGATGAAATTTGTTCCCATTACAGTCCACGTTATGTCCTTTACTTTTATCTCTTTGCTTCACTCATCGGCTGCCCTCACATCTTATATTGATCTGCTTTTTTTCATTGAAAACAATTTGCGGTAGACTAAACAGGCTAGGAAGGTCAAATTATCAATATTGTAGCATTAGGAATTAAAAATGTGGATATAAGTCTTGTATTTTAACATGTACTCTTTCCTCAATAAAATTTCACGTTTCACCCTATTACAAAATCGCAAATTTTGGTATTTTTTTCAAAGGAAATTAGAGATACTTAGGAACACTCTTCTGCTACATTTTTCCATTTGTTAAAACTACATGCAAATATTTCCAAAACTTTGACCTCAACCTGTCATTTTTTTCTGAAACCCGACGTCTGAATTTTTTTGCCGATGTCCGTATTTTCTTTGGTACAGGTGAACCCGTTGGGCTGTTGGAGTCAACTGCATTTTTCGTCGATTTTTCAACATACAGTGACTACAGCTGTTTCAGCCAATATAGACTTGATGTGACAGGAGAAGGAAAAAGTGAATTTCCATACGATGTAGCCATTGTTATGGGGTTTACTGTTCGGGTTGACAGTGGATTCAACTACGATGATTTAAAGAGCTTCAGGGTACGGTTTTACCCTAATACTGGAAATCCCCCCAAACTGAAGGCAAATATCTATGCAGCTTACTCACGAAATAATGATGGGCTGTACCAGTTCAGTTGCCGATCAAAAAACTTCCGCAGAGATATCTATACAGCGCCTATAGCCTGGTCAACGGGGCCCTGGGAAGTGGGTAAGACTTACATGACACCAGATCTCAAGGATATTGTTCAACCGTTCTTTTCAGCAGGAAAAAACGAAAAAGACTGGAACTGGAGACGGTTCTTCTTCATCATTTTCGAGTGGATAACTACACGAGGGAACTCTCTTCGAATACGAACTTTGCAGCAGCCAAATTTTATCATTCAGTACATTGATAGACGACCAGGTAGGCAAGCATCTTTCACGTTAAATTGCTTTTAACAATCTTACTTTATTAGGTCCCCATCCCATTGATCCTTCATTGAAAAAATTATGTATATTTAAGCAATACAGTAATGTATGACGTCTATTGCAGACAAATATATATATGCAGATGCATCAAATGCTCCGTATCCAGGATATCCACTGCGGTATAAAACAAACCCAATCATACCAAGGATGAAATGCCTCACATTCTGGTATCACATGTATGGCACTGGGATCGGCATACTATCAGTCAGCATGCGGCAGCAGAAATCTGTGCTTAAAGAAATATTCAGGCTTTATGGCGATCAAGGAAACGTTTGGAAAAATGCATCCGTGCCGCTTGTTGGTTTGAGCGAAACGTCTTTTCAGTTTCAGGTATGTTTAGAAGATAAGAGCTGCGTTTGTTGGGGAGACGAGTCTAGATTCCCATTGTTTATGGCCATTGTTCTATCAATTTGTCTGAACCAATGAGAAAGTGCATCACATGAGCATGCGCATTAGGGCGAAGACAGATGTTTACATATAATGGCGCTTCATAGCATTAAATCAAACTAATTATATATCATGGTTGCATATGTAAAACAGAGTTTCGTTTTCACTATCTTTATTCTTCATAATAACGACATTGACTTTAACTGCGCATGTACATGTGATGCAAAATTTTGAAAAGCCAACGGTCCTTCAGTCCAATGCTGGTTCGTCTCCCAACAATCATTAGCATTTCATATAGGTAGAGGTATGAAAACTGCAGTTTTGCCTGTTATTTAATGTTCGATGCCATTTATACAGAGCTGTACGAGCTTTGTGTATTTGTGTATGGCGGTTCCAAGTTGCAACTCCGAGTTCATGCTAGTGAATAGTACTTAGTATTATTTTGTATTTTTATATAATACCTTTTCATTTTATATAAATAAATCATCAATATAGCATCTTAATCTCTAGTGTAGCATCTATTTATAGAATATCATATAGAATATATAATCTTATAGAATTTTAAGATGAATGCTTAAGATGAGTGCTGATCATATTGACAAAAGTTTTTTTTCAAGCGTTTAAACTATCGAATTTATTTCTAGGTAATATTCACTGCAATACGAGGACCAACAACTGCTGGTGATATTTCAGTCGACACGATTAATTTTCATGTCAATTCTTGCAGTCTTATTCCGGTATTAGCTAGCCCACCTGAATACAATGCAGTTACCTTTGATGCTGCAATGAAAGGTCTGAACATGCCATTCCCTGTATTCTTAGTCGCTCTTGACAATAATCATCTTCAGTGCTACGGCTCTCATTGTATGCAGCCTACCAGAGCCTCTGATGCCGAGAAAAAGCCAGCAACAGATTCGTTTGGTTTTCCATTGACTGATAGTTATTTCAATGGCACTGTTGTAAAGATGGTTCCTCGCCATCCAATTCAAAACGGCAGCGACTTTACACTGTCTTTTGAAGTGCGTCCAGAGTCTTTAACTGAAAGCACAATACTGTGGTTTGGATATGACAACATTACTGCTTTGTCAGTCAGTGTGCTCTTTTCGGGAAATCTTTCTATCACGTATGTATGACTTAGAAAAAGCATCTAAGCAATATAAACAGAAGCTGCATAATGTTAGACGTCTCTGAAATTCGTTACAGTGTATCGATTTGAAGGTGGTAGACCTTTTTTGAAACGTCCAAAGCATATTTTTTCATATTTCAACTTGTTTTACAATATTGACATAAGGATTCTTAAGACAGATATGTAGATTTAGTTTCATTCTTGCAGTCTTTTACTTAATATTTATCTACTAAATCGCTGTATTTCTAATCATTCTGCTCTCCTTACAAAAACTTTCAGTCTTGTTACTAAAACTGAAGGTCGATATGTATTATAAGGACAACTAAAGTCTTGCTCTTCATTGTTTACTTGAAAAATATCAAAATATTATTTGATTTGAAACAAACCCTTCAATTCTTTTCCTTTTGAAACAAACCAAGATACTCTTTACTAACTTTATTCAAATATTTGATATCTCATAAAGTATTGGAGCTTGAGAATTCGATGCAATTCGACAAAGTTAGCAACGATAATTACCCTTTCTTTAACAGATTACAAAATGATCTTGGCGTCCTCACAACATTTATATCTCAAAGTCTTATAAAGAGCATCAACACATGGACATATGTCGCCTTAGTGTTTTCGCAAAACCAAAGAACCCTTTCGGTATTTATGAACAATACGGTATGTATTCATTTATTAAAGAATAAGAGTAAATGTGATACTAACGATGAAATTGTGAAATAAAGAAGAGTATTGTGCGGTATTTGTCCAGTACAGCACAGTACCTTACAAGTGGGTAAAGTAAAATATATGTATGCTATTGGCATTTTTTACTCATCATATTTGACTTTTTTCAGGCAAAAGATGAATTCTACCTTCCCAGCGTTAAGAGTTTGCCTTATCCAGTTGATGTCCTAATTGGAGGAGAGAGCGTTGCACCCGCAATGAATCGATTTATCGGCTACATTTCCTGTGTACAGTTCTACGACACAGCGTTAGAGACACACATCATTAGCGTGCATAAGTTATGTCCAAATAGACATGGTAAAGATTATGTATGCATTCACACATTGTATCTGTATTTGCAAGCAAATATTTGCTGCCTTTTCGAATGCAAGTTTTTTCTAATAATTATTTTGATTACATCATTATTGGCTACGACTGGTTTATGATGAAGTAAGATTTGGCTCGACCAGTCAGTGATTACAGCGTCGCATTGTTTAGAGCTATTATTCTTTCATTTGTCTGAACTAGGCCTGTCCACCGAAGGTCGAATAATCGGTATTCGGTTACCTGTTTCACTATTCGGTTAGCTGAAGTCCAAAGCGAATATTCGGTTACAAACGAATAGTTCGAATAGTACGATTATTCGGTTACAAACGAATAGTTCGAATAGTACGATTATTCGGTTGGAGACGAATAGTGCGAATAACCTCACTGTTGGAGGTCCACAATGGTTGTTTGAATAGCCGTGACTCATCGAATAGCGTTGACTATTCGAATAACCGTGACTGATCGAATAGCTGTGACTATTCGAATAACCGTGACTGATCGAATAGCATTGACTGGTCGAATAGCAAGGATTGCTCTAAAAGGGAAAGGCAACTTCCTATCTTCAATCTTCGAGAAAGTTTCATGGATACGGGCCTTCTTCAAAAATCGCAAACCCAAGAAATAATTACAAAGCGAATAAAGCAAGATTGGAGGGGGCAGGGGGAGTGGAGCCTGGGTTGCAGGTGGGGGTCATGGGGCTTTTTCAGGGCCTCAGACGAAGGGTGGCCGGGGGGCTATGTCTCTATCACTATTTTGCAGAATAATATAACTTTTCACAAAATCTTCTGTTGTGAGTGTTAAATTTTTTCTTGCCCCCCCCCCTTTCTCCACTTTCCAACCTGTGTCGAAGCCCGTGCTAGAAAGCTTTTCATTTCACAAAATGTTGGAAAACGACCCTTTTTGAAGACTTACGACTATAGTTTCTCGTCAATTTGATACTGACTTTCTGGCCATTAGGGGTGACTAATGCTAGAGAAGGTTCAAGAAAACATTTATTTTTGACAAAAAATCGTTTTAAAAATTGCTTTGCAGCACAAAACACAGGAAAGATCAATAGGAAAACAAAAAATTAATGGTTCTAACTTATCGAATAGTAATGACTGATTAGCTATATTCACAGCTAAGCACAACAAATTGCAATAAATTTTCAGATTGCAGTTTTTTACCACCACCCTGCCACACCCATTTTGCCACACCCATATTCGCCGAATAACCGAATATTCGTTAAATTTTAAGCCGAATAACCGAATAGGAATATCCGAAGGTTTGGACAGCCCTAGTCTGAACCAACGAGGAAGTGCCTCATACGCACATGCGCATTAGGGCAACTGCTTGTGGACAAAACTAACATCCCATGGCGCTTCGCAGAGTTTATTCAAAACTATTACATATTATGGTTGCAGTTGCAGCATATAAACCAGAGTTTCATTCTCACTTCTCATGAAGGCCCTTTTCTATAAATTTTATTCGTTTTTTGACTTGAGACTGGCTTATCCCCACAAGGGCCACGAATGTTCCAACCACAACTTCATCGATTTTAACTGCGCATGTGCATATGATGTAAAATTTTGAAAGCCAATGGACCTGCAAACAAATGCTGGCTCCTTGGCTTTCACTATCAAAAACTTTGGTCGAAAAGTCAATTGTTTTCAGGAAAGAGATTTGGTAAAATTAGAATAGGGTTTACAAAATTGAGCTTTGAACTTTGCGAGCCTTGTAAAATGCAATATATTCTGCATCGTTTGGCGGCAAGTGTTACACCACGGAATATTTTGCTGCAATTGCACGTTAGATGAAATATGCATTTTGCAACTTGGTCATTTAACATTTGATACTCTGAACTAGTGATCGGCATGCTTCGTCTCCATTTTGGCAATCAATTCGTTATTATTTGTTAATATAAACTTCATTTGTTCATGCTAGCTGTCGCTGCATGTGCCGGTGGATGTGCAGTGGAAGGAGTTTGCGATCAAATTACAGGGCGATGTTTATGCCCACTGTATGCAAACAAATATGTGCACGAAAACTGCTCAAGTGGTGAGAATGCTTTTATGCCAAAAATGACCCATCAAAATGTATTTATTACTGATGATGGAGAATGTTTAGACAAGCTAGTTTATTGTGAATTTAATTGCAGTTGATTGCACGTGTTTAGCAGTTTCCCTTGGGAATGAATGCTTAGCACTGCTAATACTCTTTTCAAAAGGAAAGAAAGTAGCAGACCTTTCAAGGTGAATATGTATAAATATTAGATGTTGTTAACTATCAACCGCGTAGATTTTAGCAATAAGTTCTGCTCTTTCGGTTGGGAAATGGTAGTAATTTGACATTCATTGTTTTCTAAGCACTGGAATCGACAGTTTACAATGGAACATCAGCATACGCAAGCTTTGATAACAAGAGACAAGTGCAGGCTGCATTAGGCCCTAGTTTTTATCATCCGAATATCCTGGTTGCTGAAAATGACACAAGGCTGGAGAATGCTTCATACTTTTTTACAAATGGCCCTGCAAATCTTGCGTTGTGTACAGCTTCTAGCTCGAGGATCCGTCTTAAAGAGCTTGAAAGTGACTGCATTGTTCAAAGGACCTGTCCTGGTAGTTTCAGCTTGACATACTGGGTGCTGATGCCTTCCTGGCAGAGCATGCTCACAAAAGATGAAATAATGTTGATTGATTTTGGAATCCTCACAGTAAAGTTCGTTGAAAATAGAACAGGAATGAACTCAACTTGGAGAAACGCACATGCATTGATAGCCAATGTAACATTGGGTGGGGAAACCTGCCAATGGAACATTGGCCAGTACCAAGAGTTCTATGGGGTTTGGAGTCACCATGTCATATATGTCGATGCAACAACAAATACCGTCTCTGTATTCTATAATGGGAAATCTGCGTCCGTCGAGAAAAGAGACTGTTTTGCTGCAGCAGCATCAGCAAGCCCAGCGGAAGTATATCTCGGAGGGGGTGCTCCGCACATATGCTTTGATGAAGTGGCAACGTGGAGAGAAATATTATCAAACAAATCCGCTAAAGTATTATTTGAAGCAATTGCATTTAGCGGTAAGCAGTTCATTTTGTATTGTAAAGCTCCTCCTAAACTTGCGATGTTATTTTGTTTATCGTCAGAACTCTTGGTTTCAAGTTTTTCTTGGTTGTTTGAAAATCTTTTATTTTTTTCTGTCGATTGTTCAATTTGAAAAGAGCCGGTCTGGCTGGTGCATTTATTACATTTTACATTTCATTGTCAAACAAATACTCACAGGTTTTATGCCAAAACGTTAGAAATTCCAGTAATAATGTATTCTTTGTGAAAGTCAAGAATGTTCAGGAATTTATCAACCAGCTATCGTTTCTTCCTACAACGTTTCAATTATGACCCTTCACTTTTGACGTTTTAACAAATTGCCCTTGCAGTTTGTCAACTACGAAACCAACATTTATTTGTAACTTTTATATGTCTATATTTAAGGGTAGACTTCATCCGTAAGAATGATTAAAAACTTAAAAACTTTCGTGTTAACTTTCGTGTTAACGTATTAATTTAAAAACGTTATGCAACTTAAAAGTAAAAACATAGAAACAAAGTAACGATCTTGAATCACTGGAAACCACAAAAAATGCCCAATTTCTTGAATAAAAACATCTTCTTTTAGGTTCATGACATCTATATTCCTTTCAGTAATACTGCTTTATATAATGAATTTGCGAAGTATGAACAACCCTTTCTATCCAAACTTCTTTTTGAAAAAATTCAGGAAATCTTTATCTGTGGTTAATGACATGCCTTTTTAGGCTGCTAAATGACACTCAAAATGCTAGTTAAGTGATATTTGTTTCTCTAATGAAGATATCTCTAACTATCACAAAGGAGGAGTTGATTTTGACAATGCTCATAAAGCAACATGTTTTTTGCCAGGATATAACCCGCTGCCACCTAGAGGAATAAACTTCACTGAATTAACTTTTAACGACGAGACAGGATCGTTGTGGGCAGTAGATGTAAATAATGAAGTGTATTTCTATCACCCTGATCAATACTGGATGAAAATTGAAGGGAAAATGGTGAAGGTATCTGCTGGATTGAATGGTGTTTGGGCGGTAGGTGAGGATGGTTTTATCCGATTCCGGTCCGGTATAGATGATAACAACCCGGCTGGGAGAAATTGGACGCTGGTGCCACAATCTTCATACGGTGAGCCTTGATGTAAAGTGTATGATTTTCACCTCAGTTTTCTTCATTGAAATGTATTGCGATTAGATTAATTTCGTCAAGCGAATAGAAGTCTTAGATTTTCCGAGCCTATGCTGCAAATATCAATATCACTTATATAAATCGTTAAATTTCTGTTTGCCATAACGGAGGAAAACTGAGATTGATCTTGAAAATCTATCGACATAACATAACCATCAATATTGAACAAGATGAATGTAGCGTCAAGCCTCGTTTCTATCTGGATGGAATCGTGGTTTTGGTATTTCAACGTAAGTTTAGAGGAAATGTGTTTATTTTGATTTCATTTAATTTTAAATCTCCTTTACCAATTAAAGCAACGTTTATCAAACCATGACATATACACTAATTTTTTTATAAGAAACAAAGGTCGATGTTGAGTACTCTAGTTTCTTAATGTTCTGGAAATTTCAATACTCATTGTTTCTTGAGAGTTTCGTAATTATTATGTCATGAATGATGTTATGAAATGTTTGCACCCTTTTTATCACGTCAAGAGATTCGCTTCCATTCTGATGCTGTATTTAGATGTGAGAAGTATATTTTTATGCCTTGTGTCTTAAGTTCTAGGCCAACAGGGCAATTTTGTTTTTTGATTTTACAAAATTTTGTTGTTCTCAGTTTTATCTTGATTTAATAGTTTCATATTTTTTTGCCTTGAATACTGAAGTTTCTTAATTTTTTCTGACTGTTCAGTACTCGTTTCTGATAGCCAGTTTTTTATGAGAAAATAGCTGTAGTCAATAATCGCAAAACCAAACCCTTTTAATAGTCGATCTAATTTGCTTTTTGCAGACTTATAATCGAGTCAAAACAACTGTTATTTTATTTTGTAGGTCTAAAAAAACTGAGAACTATTTGCAGTGGTTTCAAACCTGGGCTTTCTTTTTTCATTAAAAGAGGAACATTTGAGCTGTACTGCATGATGGTCACAGCAACTGGTACAATTAGTAGCTTTGATTCTATGGGAAGTAGTGTTGCTGAGATTGTCTGTGCTAGTTTTGTGTGCTGTGCTCGTAAGATCAATGGAAGAACATATTGTTTTGGTTTAAAAGCTTTTGTCTGTGGGTCTTTTAAATATACGGTGAGTAACAATATGTGTTATATGTACTTTAGAGCAAGCTAGAGATTTCCTTTTGGGATTCTTATGCAAGGGTTAACTGCTGATAAAAAGTTTGTTTTACATATTAAAATGTAAACTAGGCAGCTGTTTAAACTCGTGGTGTGTAAATAAAGGAAAGGTCACAATAGCAAAGTGCTCAACGGACTCTTATAGATGGAATTCTTTCGGTGAAAAGTCGATGAAAATCTAGGAAATAAGGAACACCGCATCGCGCCGAGAACAAACAACAATAAAGACACGTAAATTAACCATGGCTAATATTTTGCCCCGGCATATGGGGCTTCATCAGAACAAAATTGATGCCATCTGCTTTAAACTCGGGCCTTATTTCAGTTGAAATAACTATCTAGTCCTGAGCTTTTCTCGACAATCTAACTAATCGTTTTATTAGTTGTTTAGTGAAGTATCGGGAAATAACTGCCTACAAGCATGTGCATAGTTGTATTCTGTCAAAGATTATCATTATCATGTATTCATGTCAACCTGTCTATTGCATAAGTGCTTGATACCGCATAAACAAAACTACACATGTTCTGGTGAATAGAACATGAAGGTTCTAGGTTGTTACACGGCGTTTGAATTGACGATCAATGCCATCATTAGGCATAGACAATCGCTGCCAAACAACTTGGAACACGAAGTCAGTTATAAAAGGCAAATTCAACAATCCCCCTTTCCCCTTAGGAACACTGTTTACTAAAAAAGATGAAAGATGTTTTTGAGTAAATTTTTTCTTGTGGCTTGTATGATATTTTTCTGGACATCAACATTGTTCTGGGGGAGGGAGGAATATAGTATTGGGGAAAATAAAATGAAAAATAGAAAACCACAATGAAATTTGCTGGGTGTTCCCAGTAATTTTGGCAAGCACTGTAGGTAACATAAGTATTCCACTAACTTTGAGACTGAGAATAGCAACTTAGGTCTGTCTTGTTCTATCCACCAAATAATTTTTTACTAATGCTTGAATTGTTAGAATATTCATCGTGAAAGACAAATTACAAACAAATGTAACAGAAACGGATTCCTGTTGATTAAGCGTACTGTATATGCCCAATCTTTGCACACTAACCCATTCGTTGCGTTACTCATAGATGATTCGGGTCCCTTATGCATCGCAGTACATTGCAACTGACAGTACTGGCCATTTCTTTCGTATTGAAAATGGGACATTGTACAGCTACCAGCCAAAAAATGAAGATTGGACTATGGTCCAAAATGTTGAAAGCCTAAATGCAAAGTTTCTTTTATCGGTGAATGGAAGAGCTCTCATCATAACAAACTCGGGGGAATTGAAAATGATTGGAACAGGAGGTATGCTATACTTAACATTACGTCTGTTATATCAAAATTGCTTTAAAATCTGATCAAAAAACAACGATATTATTTCATCTAGCTTTCGTTTCTATGGAAAAATACTTGATGAATAAACTATATGTCAGAAAAATCACCAAAATTCGATCATAATGTATCACACGTGCATTGGGCATTTTCAAACTTTGTTGTTTGCTTCTATAGCATTTTATTCTTTATTGAAAATATGGTTAAGATGATGAAATTAACTACTTTTTATAACTATTTTCTTACAGAAAGGATTTTCAAAATTTTTCATTCTGGTGGACTTTGTCTCACTTCTTACAAATCAGCCGATAGATATTTTCTCGAAAAGGATTGCGACCTTATGCACTTCTCTAGTGATGGATGCATGCAAAGCCTTTCAAGTGGCATGTTCCTTGGCTACCTGAGTCCAAGCAATTATTATTTGCATAAGAGAGCTGAATGCGATGAAAGCATCTATACAAAGGTGTTTACAAGAAATCGCTTTTCGACGATTTCCATCAATGGTTTGGTTGTGTCTCCGGAAGCGGCCAGCTCCCATCCTTCCGTAAGAAGAAACGTAATGGTGCGCGGCCAAACAAGTGGCATTAAGATTGAGATCTTTGAATTTATTTTCAAGCAGGGTGAGTAGTATTTTCTTGAATAAAGCATGCATCCAAAAAGAGATTGATTTCCAGGCATTGAGATAATTTTTTTTCAAAATATCATATAATGGTTTGGTATGAAACTCTATTATTTTTCTTGGCCTACCTCGCAAGCGTTTGCCGAGTGACCACCATTTTTGACTCTGATTTCAGCCTACCCTAAGTAGCCAATTGTTCTAAATATGTGGTCAATCGTTTTGCTCAAACCACTTTCACTGCTACACATTGCCTTTGATCACTAGAGTTGAGCAAATACCTTATCTGGATGAAAGTTTTACCCTATATACCTTGCACAAAAGTTTCCTTTTGTCTTTTCAGTAAACGTTTCTGGAAATGGAATTTAAGTAAAATAATCTACGGTCTTGTCTTAATGCAGTAAATTATTTTCATTATATATACTATTTTTCAATGTATCGATTGGCCATCTTCATAACGAAGCTAATTTTGATCTTGAATGACGTTGCTGTATATATTTGAATATTATTTTTATATAAAGATAAAATTATAAATTGCATATTGATGTTTTAGCTTCTCCGTTCAAGATGATAAACAGTTTCTACCCAAAAAAGAAAACAGAAGGTAATTATATAACTAAAGCAGCTGATAGGCAAATAATCGTTATGCTGATGACAACGAGATGCCAGCAGTCGCAATGGTGTTGGTATAATCAATGGATGTAAGATAGTATAGAATCAGATAAATTTTGTTATGTAGTTATCTTCTGCAATGATTGATGCAGCACAGACATGTACAGTTCTTTTCAAAAACACGCTACTACCGTTTTTCACCGTAATTTCCGATTCAGTTTGAATCTTTTTATCAAAAATGAAATCACTTCTGCTCCGGCACAAATGAACATCATTTTGTGGGGATGGAAAGGGGTTGCGACTTTTGGTCTCAATTTCGATCGACTCTATAAGAGCTTTTTAAAAGTAGTACCAACAAGGATTGAAAATTTTCCATTAACAGAAGTCATGGGTGAATCATAATTGATGCCCTCTTTTGCCAATCCAGTATAAAAGTAGAACAAAATTGCTGTTGCTTTTTTATGGGACATGGCCCCTCAAATTAGAGAAGTTGAGTGGCAATACCTTTACTAAAATCATAATTTTAATTTTCGTTTCTAGGAACAATCAAAGGAGAGTTGATTTATCAAGTGAAAGTCTCGTTCATATTCAGGGATTTAGAGTTCTATGACAATTTTAGAGATCTCACTGGAATTGAAGCGAGATACGCTCACAGGAAAGTTGAAGCTGAGGTAAGTAAAGACATTGAACGGCTAAATACATTTTATAGTTTAAGGTAATACAAGATAAAGGGCAAAGATTTAATATAATGTCGAGATAAGCAAATCAAAGCTTGCATGATCTTTGATTGCAGTTTTAAGATATTTCCGTATATCTTGAAGCGAGCTTGTCTTATCCCCGACCAGGTCACGTGTGAGAAAATTGTATTTGTGCGACACGGACAGTCAGTTAAATGTGGTAAAAATATCGAAACCTTCCAAGGCGATTAAAAAGAAAGTTAAAGACGTATTGAGATGACCGTAATGTCGAAGTTGCGTTGAAAGTGTCTTGGAAGACATCAAAGCAAACCATTGCTCGTTGCAGGTCACGTGTGAGAAAATTGTATTTGTGCGACACGGACAGTCAGTTAAATGTGGTAAAAATATCGAAACCTTCCAAGGCGATTAAAAAGAAAGTTAAAGACGTATTGAGATGACCGTAATGTCGAAGTTGCGTTGAAAGTATCTTGGGAGACATCAAAGCAAACCATTGCTCGTTGCAGGGAACATTACGAAGGAATTATAAAAAAGGGGATTTCATCCACTAGGAACAACGGACCCAGAAATATTTTTTTAATGAGTTCCAATGATGATAATTGTATAATTAGGCTATAAAGCTAATTGTATAAATTTATTTCTAAACATTAATTCAAACATTTTTGGTGATGAGCGAAAATTCTTTTTACAGCTGAAGCAGATTTTTGCCGAAAGCAATTTTTACATCAAAGTTGAGCTGGGAGAGATAAGGTTGATAAAAAATTATTTACTGATATCTACCTTCCTCTAAAAATAACAAGCAATGTTTTCTACAAAACTGCCTTGATTAATTATATCACAAAATGATTGAGGCTTTTTTTAATATTCTTAGAAAAATAAGTGCCCCTACTGCCTAGCAGTTAACTGAGGTATATGAACTGGTATTTTAAGTACATACGGAGAAATCTAATATGGAAATGTATGTAAATATGCTTATGGGTTGGTGCCATGAATATCATGATATCAACTCAATGACTAAATGACTCATGTCCCATGACCTGTACAAGACCAAAGGTCATATGCCGTGCTAAGAAAAGCTTTTACATGAAAGTCATACACCTACCGTCACCTCCAGACCAAGCTAAGCTCTACAGTCCTCATATTTAGACTGAGACAGAGTTACAATGAACACGATAATGAATAAGAGAGGACCACGCACTGAAACTTGTCGTATTCCACAAGTAACACCAAGATAATTTGAATTTGATTCATTCGCTGATATATAATGTTTCCTATCCGAAATAAAAGATTTAAACCAATCTAAAACATTTCCTTTATCTCAAAAAGTTTGATCAAGAAAATATAATGATTCACTGTTTCAAATCCCTCTTTTGTAAATAATAAATTTCTCAAATCAAATTTACCTTTCGTCTCTGTATATATGACGTAATGCTGTAAAGACTTCTTGTTGTTTTGCAGCTCAGGAGCCAATATAGAGAATAACTGTCCTTTCAAAGACTCAAAATGCTTCAAATCCTTGGAAGTGAAATTTAATGGACAGTTATACTTTTCGTATATTTCTACCCATGAAAAAAACATTCTTACTTCAGAGAAGTTCAATGGTGAATATACTGATTGTCAAGATAATGAATGCACTTTTCAGTTGGACAAAAACCAACGGGATCGTAAGTGCCATAAATGAAAACATTGCGTAAAAGATAACATAACAGATTACATAGCAGATGACATAACAGATTACATGACAGATAGCAACAGAACACAACACAACAGAACACAAAAGAACACAACACAACACAACACAACACAACACAACACAACACAACACAACACAACACAACACAACACAACACAACAGAACACAAAAGAACAGAACACAACAGAACAGAACACAACAGGACAGAACTGAACACAACACAACACAACACAACACAACACAACGCAACAAAACAGAACACAAAAGAACAGAACACAACAGAACAGAACACAACAAACACAACACAACACAACACAACACAACACAACACAACACAACACAACACAACACAACACAACACAACACAACACAACACAACACAACAAACACAACACAACACAACACAACACAACACAACACAACACAACACAACACAATACAACAATTGAAAAATATATTAAATTGCGTTGAAAATTTTATCATATTATGTTAAAAATTATAGTATATTATGCATAAAAAAGCACCTTTTTCTTTTTAGATCTTATTATGCCTGGAACAGTAGAGTTGATCAAAATCACTAAGTATTCAGTTCTTCTAAAATATAACCCCCACAAGTTGCACACTGCCCATTATGGTTACTGGATCTCGTATACCGGCCAGGACCAGCTGGAAAGAAATAAAGTCTTTCTCCGAAGTTTTTTGCTCCGAGATGGATATGTTTTCAATGTATCTTCTCTCCAGCCAAATGTAAATTACACCTTCACCGTGACGCCTCTGGAAATTCAAAGAAATGGTTCGCAGCCAATATCCATAGTAGCAGCCACGCTAGAAGCGGGTAAACAATTTTAAATATTAAATTTTGCATTGCTAATTATTCATTCATTTTAAGTTAAACCCTTTTTGCCAATACAAAAGTTTTTAGGCTGACGTAAACTGTATATCCTTTGGTCAGATTTAAAATTTTCACAAATACTTTCCACTCTTTTCATTATTAGTTCGTTTTTTAGCCTTCAAATTTTCTTAAATCATATTCTTACAAAGTTGAAAATGCAGTAAATTGAATTTTATTTCCGTTGTCATGTTCATCTCCGGTACCGTTGCCATGTTCATCTTTAGTGCAGAGCTGGCCAAAATTCACTGGATTTTTAAAGGAAAATCTCATATAGCATGCCCCTCTCCCCCAAGAATGCATTTTACGTTCAATTTTGCATTGCTTTCCCTTCATGCAAATATGCTCTTTCATCGCATTCAGTACTATTGATTAATTTGCAAGTTGTTGCTTTTTTCAGCTCCGAGTCGTGCTCCCTATGTTTTTTTACATTTGTTGGGTAAGACAAGTTGTCACCTCATTGTAAACACTTTGCCATTGGCGGCATGGAATGGAGTACTGCAAGGCTTCTACATATATTATGCTCCAATGGAACGAATCACTGTCAAGCAAAGATGGACGTTCAATGAGAGAGAGGTTTCTGGCTTCAAAAGGATAACTTTCAAAATAGCTCGAAGTTTCTACTTTGACAGTAATATTTTGCAGACGTTTACGCACAATGTGTTTTATGTGGCCGGTTTCACAAATGCTGGTACAGGACCATTTGCGAGAGTGGAGTGTCATACACTAGAAGGAGGTAAATTTTGATAAAATTTATAAAAACTAGGGGCTACGTTATGAAAGTTTTGCTTGACGAAATTGATATAGGTACTGCGGAGCATATCATGAACTTAGGGAGCTAAAATGTTTTTGAGGCTAGACTTGTCCAAAGCCGATGCCAAAAGCAAAATGATTAATTGTATGGTTTTCATACCAAATTTTGGAAAGTTTTCTTTGGGGGGTGTGTGGTGTAGGCTTGGAAAGTATAGATCCAAAAAGAGATTCTTCTTAATCAGTAAACAAATTTTGATGTGCGTTTTTTATGGCAATGGAATAGAAAAATTGCAAATGATATACTCCAAGAATTATTGAATGTACAAAGAAACTGGACATTCAACCCTTTTTGTCCCACAAATGGGGGGGGGGGCAGAGGACACGGGACATTTTCTGCTGCTCTGTTATTCGTATAATGGGCCTAGACCTGATCTTCTCAAAAGGGTGAATGCAATATTGCTCCCTCGCAGTTTTTCGTCTCTTTCAAATGAAGTTTTACTCCAATTCATTTTGTATGGTGACGAGCGACTAACTATTGACTCAAATAAGAAGCTACTTCAGGCAATGCTCAAATTCATTCATGCTTCAGAACGCTTTTAAATATTCCATTGCTGCACACTCCTATACATTAGCATCTACCTTTTGCCTGTTTACTCTGTATTCGTAATCATTTTACCTAGTTTTAGTTATATTTCTTTCTATCTTTGTTCAATGTTGTGCGTTTTTATGTATCGACCATGGGGTAGCCATTGTCTTTCGCTCTTCATGGTATCGTCCCCGTAAAGAAGTACAGTAATTAAGGTAGCATAGTCGAATGTTAAATTGTTTTGTAATTATTTTCTATGAATAAAACAATCGGACATGTCCCAACATACATTCTTACTTCTATACTTTTGAGCCATTTTCCACTAGGTGCATGCGTTAACAGTGTAAGGCATACATCTGATCGGAACTAAACTCGATTTCAAGTTGGCGGAAACATTGTATTTTCCAATCTTCAAGCAATAGTAATCCCTTTGAAGTTTCAAAGGATTATTATATAAAAAAGCACAATTGATAGACCAACCCAAATATAAAAATGGTTCATATCACTATTTTGATTCAGCAAGATATTAGCTTTCCTTGAATCAGAATAAATTTGAAATAAGCTGGTTTGCTAAATCTTCAGGTCCTCTTATCAAAGTTTCCTAGGTGTTCAAAATGGCTTGGTTAGAGAAAGATGAAGAGAGAATGAAACTAGATATCAAACATTAAACCCAAGAAAAGAGTCATTTTGCCAGCAATCTCATAGCAATGCTCTAGATGCCTCACAAATAATCAAAATACTCTGTTATGATACTCAAACATTATCTAAAATTAAATAAAATGATTTCTTTGTTTAACATCATTTCTTCACGTTTTTGGTGTATTTTGTACTTAAACGATTGTTGGAGCAGAAAATGTCGCTAGAAGGGACAAAAACTATGTCCATTATTCTTTGCAATTGAAAGTCAAAATAAGGTTCTATAATTTTTGTTCTAGCGCCTGTTCAGACGCCGATGAATTTCAGTATGGCGTTTATTAATTCAACTCATGTCCAGGCCGACTGGACACCACTTATGGACGATTTCCGCATATGGAAAACAAACAGAACCGATACACGCGGATATGTTGTTAGAATGAATGAAATAAGCAACCCAAAAAGGCTCAAGACAGAACAGAACATAAACGTGACAGGACAGAATCAATCACATGTTGTTATTGGCCCACTGGAACCAAACAGAGAGTACAGCTTTAAAGTAGCTGCTTCAAATAACGCTGGAAGTAGCGTTGATTCGAACACAATATGTTTGAAAATGGACGAAGGAGGTATTTGATTTCTGTAATACATCGTTAGTAAAGCATATAAGTATGATTATATCAAGATTATATCAGCATGGTGTTCAAACTCATAACTTGTCATTAAGAATGTTTAATCAACTACAATTTATACCCTGATGATTTCAGGTCTTTAAATTGGAGCAAGGAAAACACTATTTCATTTTAACATAAGAATTAATATTTCATTTAATGTTTTTTCAACAGTTCCAAATGCGGGAATAAAGACCCTTGATGGCTACTCAAATACATCATCGACGCTCCATCTTATACTTGGTGGAATGGATATAGAAAATGAAAATGCAAGAATCTTATACTATAACATATCTTATTCAACAAGTCTTACAACAGAAATTTCCACCGTGTTCGCCAGTGCCTTTATGCCATTTTATAATGCATCGTCCTTAGCCCCCATCAACGATACACAAAGTAATTCCAGAGGTGGGTTTTGTTCAAGCTCTGCACAATTCTTGTCTTGTCGCAACGAGACTAGTTTTTTGCAGCCAACAGCCAACATAATTAACTTCACAGTAACAGGCTTGCAGTACTGGACCTATTATACGATAAGAGCATCTGCCTGCTCTTGCAAAGGATGTGGTCCTTATAACGATTCTGTATACATACGAACTGATGAACATAAACCGACTTGTAGCAGTGAACGCATTTCATCAAGCTCCATGGCATCCACTGCTTTAAATTTCTCATGGGCTCCACTAAGATCAAACTGTACTCATGGGTACTTTGCTGGATATAGACTTTACTTCGCAAATGCATCAGCCCTCTCTGAATTATTCAACCTCTCTAATAGCTTCCCATTGTACAATGCTACGCTTCAGCAAAGCAAGTTTTTCATTGAGACGGTGCAAGCCAAATGGAGTGTTGAAGGCCTAAAAAAGTACACTAACTACTGCATTGCGATATCTGGCAGCACCGTCAAAGGGTTTGGACCATTAAGCCATGCTCACTGTGCAACAACACTCCAAGATCGTAAGTTATTTCAAACAGTATATAAAATACCATACCATTTTAGTTAGGTGAAAAGTCCTACGCTTATTCAACGATGCATGCACACTTTTATTTGCATTTATAACTACTCGTAACTCTCGTAGCATTGCCAATAATTGATTTTCATGACGTCAGGCAATAGTTTGAGTGCCTTTGCATATATCTATAGTTCAATTTTCTGCTTTAGTTTTTTCTTCACAAAATAATGTCAAATAGCACACTGATTTATGGTGCATAATAACAGCTATTTAAAGACAATAAACTGACAGAAATTCTTTGATGATGTAATATGACAAAAGTTAACTTGCTTATTACCTTAGGACCTGAAGGTCCTCCAATGAATGTCTCGGTTGAACTCACATATGGAAACGAGGTTAAGATTTCAATGAGACCTCCAGAGAAAAAACAGAGAAATGGAATAATAATTGGCTACTATGTTTACTTCTCTTGGAAAACGATTGACAACTCCTGGTCTAACGAATCCGTTACAAAGATATCAAGAAATGACGACAAAGATGGTTTTACATCTGCTTCACTTAGAGACCTAGTTTATTCAACAACATACAAGTTCGAAGCAATTGCCTACACCTCTGCTGGGGAGGCAGAAAGACTTGGAAAATTTTACAGTATTGTAACTGGAGAAGCACGTAAGCTTTTATTTGTAACTTTGATTTGTTATCTTATGAATAAGAATGCAAAAAACATGTTTCCCCTTTAATGCTTGCAGCAGACAGCACCAAATGCAGCTTTTTACAAAACAGTGTAACAAAGATGAATAGCAAAATTTTTATTAAGTTTTTATAGGTAAATCCCGATAAGCAATAGCAGACTGTATGTAATATAGTTCCTGGGACGTCGAAAGAATTCAAAAGATGAAGGGGAACTAATTGAAGGGGCACCATGTTGTAGAAGAGAGGGAAATTGTTTCAAAGAGGTAACTTCTAAGAAAACGGCGTTTTTCCAAAAGTTCTGGGGAACATGTCCATGGTGCACCACCAGTTTCGACGTCCCTTTATATGACTTTGCCTTTTTCAAGCCTTTTCCCCTTCTCGCCGATTGTTAGGCAATTTCAGTTTGGTGCCAGTTTGACACAGAGCTTTGAGTCTCTGTCTTCACACAATAAGCTTCCCCGTTCCAGTCATATTGTAGAACTGAGAGGGGATTCAATCAATTGCCAACATGCTTCAAAAAACTTATTCTTCTACAATTGCCTTTCAAAGATGACAGATTGTCTTCTTAAGGGGTGAAGGACTCGTAGCCAGAGAAGTATGTGAAGTGTCCATGGTTATTTTGTGATGCTTTAGCTCAAACAATTTTATTTTAGAATGGAAAATCTGCTGTTTTATAACGTAATTTCCTTTTAGCTCCTTCGGCTGCACCAAGGAATTTTACGGCAATAAATATATCTGCCAATGCTGTTTTATTACGTTGGATGCAAGTTGAAGCGAACAGCATGCATGGCAAATTTCGCAGATTTAAAATGGCAATTAACGAAACGCTAGCTACCATCATTGCAGGCGTTTTTAGAGAAATTTATGTTTATGCTAACTCTACAGCTCTTTCTGAGACAATTGCCAGTTACAATATCTCCAATTACCTCATTGATGAACTCACAAACGTTGAACATAATAATATTACAGAGCTGTATCATTTATTATTGTTTGGTTTGAAAGCGTATTCTCAGTATACCATTAAACTCGCCTCGTGCAATGACGCCGGCTGTGGTGTTAGTACAGCAGTTCATCTCAGGACAAGAGAGACTTGTAAGTATTCCACTCATGTTTAATGTCCTCATTACAGCAAAATTCATTCTACCATAATAAGTCTAAATTGTTCTATTAAAAACATACCACGATACATTTAAAACTGACGTTTTTGAATGGCAGATAGAAATAATTTCTTTTCTATGTGCTTGTTTTTGCAGCACTCTCTCGTCTCAAGCTTAACCGATCCTTAATGCACCTGTCCTAATATTATACATATCATACTCTATATTTCTTTTATATCCCAACTTTCATGTGCCTTCTCATTCTTTTGCATTTTAAACAGCGGAAGCTACAATTCAAGATGTCTTAACGGAAAGTAGAAGGACCTTGCAAGTTTTTTCCCAAATAGAAACTGCATGCATAGACTACTTAAATACATCAGCTAAAAACAGTACATTTTTCCGTAGTTGACTTATGAAGTTTTAAAATTTTCCTTTCCAGCTCCTGCCGTATCCCCAAAGATTTCGTTTGTTGCAAACTCAACCCTATCAACAGAGTTAGTTATCAAATGGCTTGAAATTCCAGTTTTGGAAAGAAATGGTGTTATCACAGGATATGTTCTACGTTTGATGAAACTTTGTCACTTTCTCAAGCAGCTAAACAATACAAACACTTCATTTGACTGCAGCCGTATTCTGTATGACAATTCAACTGATTTCAATATTGAATTCGTTCCCAGTCAGCTTCTGCAGGCAACAATTGGAAATTTATCCTCCTACACTCACTATCTAATCAGAATTGCAGCTATGACATCTGCGGGCACTGGGCCCGAGTCAGAAGTTATTGTGCTGACTGCAGAAGATGGTAACTCTTAGGCCTACGAATTATTTGCTTCTTGTTTTATTCAACCGCATATTCTGTGTACATCTCGACCAAAACTTTTTAAGTAAAACCATGGTCTTGTCAATATGAAGAAAGATAAATGCAATATTTCTTCACTTGTAAGTTGTGTTGAGTACACATGAACTTCGCTCTTGGTAGAGACAAAAATATCAAAATATAAGCCTGTGTCACCATTTCTGATTATCCTTAGACAAAATTAAACAAGTCTAACAGCAGTTTCTTTATTCTTTCTATGGCCTTGTCTTCATGTTCCGGTGTTTGAATTCCACCAATTCTAGATATGCTACTTGACCAGCCAATTGCCGAATTTATAAATTTTTTTATATGAAAAGCACCCAAGCCAATTTAAAAAAAATCACGAAAAAGACTTTCTTGTTAGACTTTTCATAACAGTGAGAAAAAATTAATATAACTTGGAATGTGAGAATTAGCCAAAAATTTCGTTTTAATTTGAAGTAAAATGTTAACTTTTTCCCAAGTTCCAAGTATAGCGCCTGTGGTTACTGCTGCCTTCAACACCAGTGGAAAGAGCATCAAGCTTGAATGGATCAACATCCCTCTGCCATTTCAAAAAGGCATACTGCTTGGCTACAACGTTCGATATATCAGAACCAATGCAAGTAGTGACGTCATCGCTGATTCCATCAACTGCACTGATATTTCACAGAATGTGACGCAGTGTGAAGTAACAGGCCTAGACCTCCATGCTTACTACAACTTTTCAATAAGAGGATATACAATCGAGGGTTTGGGGGCTACAACGCAGGATATCGTTGTCAGAACAGGACCATATGGTATGAATTACAAGTTTTCAACACTGTCTTTAACACAATAACACCTGTTGTGTGATAAATGCTTATGGTAGCAACTGCATATCTCTTGTTTGGCGGCAAGGCTACCAGGAGGTTTAGGAGGCCCTGGGGTAAAACCAAAAGACGAGGCCCCCTGCGAGCGAAGAAAGCAGAAAACTTTTGGGACTATGCCCTTTAGGTTGGCTTAATTTCCTTAATTTTCTTGCAACCCTTCAAGACCTTTTGCTATTTTTAGGCGTAATTCTGTTAAAATTAATTAATTCTATCATAAAACGGAATTCATAACTTTATGACCTCGAGGCTCCGGAACAACTTGCCCCCTAGCCCCCTAGCCTCTCGATGGCCCTGTTTGACGTTCAGGTTAATCCAAAGTGTTTTACCTATCCACCATAATACATTAAGTACAGGTTACTGTCTTCAAATATTATAATATATAATGCAGGCTCAATTTATGCGTATCTAAAGCTGGCATTCTGTCAAACTAGCTTCTGCATTTGGTTCTGCATGATTTTCAAAGGTAAACGGAATATCTGAAGGTACAGAACTGTCTCAATTTTCTCTCATTTGGTGTTTTTAGCACATGGTGGCTGGACAGAGTGGCTGAGCTGGTCGTCATGTTCTAAGAGCTGTGGTGGTGGGTTAAGGACTAGACGAAGAGAATGCACCAACCCTTCTCCTTGGAACGGGGGAGACGATTGCATGGGGCACAATGGCAGCAGTGAAACGTGCAACACAAGGCTTTGCTCAGGTGGGAAACGTTTCTTCTTTAAAGTATTACTAATGCGCTTCAGTCTAGTGAACCTTTAAATTTTTTCCAAACTTCAGTGTTTAAGAAATAAGCCCTTCTTAACACATCGAGCATCTTTCCGATATATTCACTTTTATTTGTCTAATGTCTGATTCTTTGTGCCGGTGGCCTGGTGCTGTGCCCTCAGTTTTCTATTTCTCGCAAGGCTTTTGCAATGACGCACTGTTTTCTTGAGAATTGTTTGATAAATGTGCGATGCGCTTGGCGAACACTGCTGCAAACATTGGCAAAAATTCTTATCTTTAAAGATTAAATTTCCAATAAATTGTTTGCAGCATTTGATCGAAACTTTCTGTGCATTTGGTGTGTTTAATTGCTCAAAATTCAGTGATGATTTCTTTTTCAAGGTTATTCGAGATTCTGCTACTTGTTTGAGTGCTCTCCCCTACTAGCTACAACAAAACAATGTTATGAAAGCAACATGGAAGCTATATTTGCGTTTCTTAATCTGTTTTCAAAAAAGGAATTAATATCGAAACGAGATACTAAAGCCCTGGCAAAACGACTAAACATTTCACTAAACATTTCATTCACCTTCTTTTTAGTCAAAAGTTTTGTGAGAAGTTTAGTCAGGAAAGTACGTTGTTAAGCACCCACTTAGGAAACGATGAAAATACCACTTTATTCAGGCTCAGATTGTTTCCATTGTCCGTTTGGCTATTTTTAAGGGCCAAAAAGTGGAAACAGTTACCGGTTACACTAGGTTCAGTCATCCATAAGCTTCAAACAGACAGAAGTTTTTCCGTCGATACATCAGCAAATAGTATGTGCTTGAATTAATAGAAGGATGTCGCATAAAAGGCCCAGTTTAATAAGCTCAGTTCAGTTCTATTCAGTTTTATATGGTAAAATTCCTCTGCTTTCAATATCTTACTACAACTATATTGCAACTATTTGCATAGAATGAAAAAATACATAAATATAAATATAAGAATAAACAGAAAAAACCAATTATGTAAGATGTTGCTTGCTGGGGTAAATTCTTTAGAAGGAGCTCTCTCAGTGATGAAGTACGCGAAGAGATATCATCCCCTGTTCTAAAATGGTTTTGAATGTAACTTATCATTTGCATGATTGACAGAAATGTAAATGTTTCTGAAGGTTTTGAGGTTTTGATAAAAACAGACAACGGATGATTTTTCTATCTTCTCGTATATCCTCCAACATTTTGCACCAGAGAAACTTATAGACTTGATACCATGTTGCGAGGTATTTTTTGTATTATGAGTATGTATTATGAATATGTCATAATAACAAAAGCAATAGATAGATGCACACGAAGATACACTGTGCATATGAAGATAAATTGAGATCTAATGTTATGAACGGATAAGGAAGCCAAACCTGCTTTCTTTGGGATCTTAGCGTTTAGACTCTGCTTGTTGAAGGCTTTTATTTATTTTGCAGGTTTGTTCCTCGCATCACCAGGAGAAGACTGCTTGAATCATTGCCCAAATAGACGACTTGTTTGCGTGCGTCAAATCAATCTTAAAAACTCCCCAGCTAAGTTCGAGCAACTTGGGAAACAGTGCAAAGACAAGACCAGCCAAGCCACGTGGAAGCAGCCTTTCCATCCTGCGTTCATTGAAAATGACAACATCTGTGCAGGTTTCAAATATATACCAGCTCTCATTTCATGCAACGCAACTCCACTTAGTGATGGGAAAACAAGAAGACTTTGCAACTGTCAGGATTTAGGTAGACTCAGGTTTCGTTCACGAACCTCTTCCTGTTGCATATCAAAAATATGAAATTTCATACCCGAGTCCATTTTAGTGCTACAATGCTTGTTCCACTGTACATCTGATTTCAAGACTTGCAATCTAGAATAGAAGTGGCAATCTGGGATAGGAGTATCCATGGTTTAAGCAATGTCTGTCTTGTGATTGAGGATTTAATTATCTATAAGCCAAAATTGTTTTTGTAGATGATGTTGGATTTTCTTCTTGGGCATCTTGGAGTTACTGCTCAAATTCATGCGGCGGTGGGAAGCAAACATCAAGGAGAGACTGCCTTCTTCCACAAGGAGGCTGCAAAGGGGATAACTGGCAGACACGTGATTGCAACACTACTCCTTGTCCAGGTGATTACTGTTAAAAATATTTACCTGTTTGAAATTATTATCAAAATATGACCTCAACATAAATCTATTTATGGTATTTACCAACATATTATACGCCAGCTACTGTGTATCGATAATAACTTTATTATTGAATTTTGTTGTATTTTTTCGAGTTTCAGATGACTTAGAAAACTTAGAAAATTGACTTTCATCTGTGTTAGAGAAAATGGCTCTATAAAGTGGAAATAATTAGGATTGCAGTGCACGAAGAAGTTTCTTGAAATTCTGTTTAAAATCTTCTAGTTAATGGAAACTGGGGCCAATGGTTAACTTTCTCTACGTGCAATAAAACTTGTGGCTACGGCTTCCAACACCGACACCGGAGATGCGATAATCCAGCTCCCTCCAACGGAGGAGAGGACTGCTATGGGCAATCTGTTGAAGAAATGGAAGGCTGTAACCCTCATTTGTGTCCTAGTAAGTTAATTGTGTCACTTATCAATCAAAAATATTTTCTTAGTTACTGATTAAATATTGATCTCATGTATCTATCAGAATTTACGCATATCATTCTTTGCATTGCAGGCAGGTGGGAACAGTATTACTTTTAATTCAGAATTATTTTTGTTGCCAAATGTTGATTTGTTTTAAGAATAAGATATCTTTAATTAGCTGTTGAAGAAAACTGAAAGTTTTTGGCAGTTAAAACTCACTTCAAATCAAATATACAGGTTATTTAATCGACGGTACTCTTACGTTGCAAAAGTATTGAAGCGATGCCAAAATGGCGTCTTACAACAGCCATAAGCCTAAAACTGAAAACCCACTACGGAAAATGACTCGCGGATCGGATCAGATTTTGTGTTGCGCACGCGCTTTGGATCACATGACTGATCCGCGACGGATCGAAACGGATCGAAAAAAAAGTTGAAATCATTTGAGATCGTTGAATATTGAATTGAGATTGAGATCATTACCTCCTTCTATCGTCTGCACCAGCAATTCTTTAGAAGCAGGCCCGTTTCCATATGATACAGAGATTGTCATTCGTACTTCTAATACTATCCAGCTGTTACTGAGGAGATCCTTTCAGCTGAGATCATGGTCACAAATTATTATAAATGATGAAAAAGGAAACAGTGAAAATTTCCGAAAGATTATTTGCTTAGGTAATGAGCAAAAAATGCAATCTTTAAAGGTCAAATGTAGTAAAATAGGTCCTGAAATGTTGCTGAAAGAATCTCAGGGTTTATTTTTTACCTGACCTAATAATGATGAGTATATTAAGCCTAAAATTAATACTAGAAGAACACAGCACAGGGTGAGTTGCTACCAACACACTTCTGCCATACTCGACAAAGCCATTAATTAACTTCTCCTGTTTCTGCTTATCAATTTTGGTTAATAACTGTTCACTATCTATTTCCAGCAAATGGAGGCTGGAGCAGCTGGGAAGGCACGGGTATTTGTAATCAAGCATGCGGAGGAGGTCAATTGGTGCAGCGTCGCTACTGTGACAATCCAAGACCTGAGTTTGGCGGTGAATATTGTCAGGGAAGCCCAAATAAAACAGAACCATGTAACACCCACAAATGCAAAGGTATGATCGCTATTTTCAGCTTGTTATTGTCACATGATATACAACATAGCATTATCTTGATATAATATTTTACAATAGCATTATTCCACGCTATTTTATTGTATTTTTATACATATGCAAAATTTTGCTTTGATATAAAAATTGATGATGGATTGCAATGTATAGGGTGAGTCTAATCCCAGGGTATATTAGGGTAAATCTCTTTGATGACACCCTTGCATGTAAGTTCTATACAGCAAATTGAAAGGGGACAGGAAATCTCCTCCCCAGAATCTCTTGGAAGAAGCTAAGACTTTGTAAAGTAAAATTGAATTCAAATATAATAAACTCTTGAGAGAATAGAGATTTTCTCCATGTCAAAGGAAATCATCTGACAAAAACCGCGACAGCAAGTCTTTTGAATTATTTTTTTACCATTTTTGCTAGCGGCATTTTTTCAACATTTACTACTTATTGTATTTTCTATGTAAAAACGACAATTTCTTCTTTCTTACTAAATGAAACTTTATTTTTGTCCTCAGGATTGCAAATCCTCTTTTGGTTCCGTTTTACAGACTTTGAATGGAACTTTAGATATCACTCTCTGACTAGCCCGATATCTACCGATCTCTCAGCAAAGATTCAGAAAAACGTGAGAATAGAAGTTTATTCAACATCATTTCCTATTTTATAAAAATTTAACGTATCTCTTACTGTCTGCTTGCTTTATTTCTTCCAACCTCTTCTACAGTGGCGGAAATTGCTAAATTGTCGGTTAAGACACGCTTTTGTCGGTAAATTTGTATGTTTTTATAGGTATTGCCCTCAACCCCCCCTCCCCCCCCCATCTGAAAAATGAATTACCGCCAATGATTTTCTATATTAGTAAGTTAAACGAGATGCACAAGCTGTTAATCAATCGAAGAAAAAAATTCATGTAAAACCACATACCCTACGATTTTGACATAATTCAAGTGTAATTTCTTTATTTATCGGATAGTTCAAGTTGTCGATAAATCCTAACTGTACTTTTATTCACTTTGATTTCAGGTGCTTGCAGCTTACAATTATGCATCATTTGTTTCTGGTATAAGAGTATTGAGCTTCAGGTATTTCGTTTGCGAACAATGTTTTGACAGTTAAACTCTAAAAATCCAGTTTGTGCCCAAAACAAAAATGGCAACATATTTCCAATAATTTGCATGACACTGTGGTCTTTCAATCTAGCAACTTTGGAATCCGTCTTGATAAGAATGAATAAACACTACTTTGTAAACAGAAAGAGTTAATTTTCATTCGATGAATCTAATTTTAATATTTTGTTTTGGCATGCAGCATTGATTGAGCAACCTTTAGGGTCCTTTAGAGGCATGTACTCGCACTTCTGATTAGTCTATTTCGATCCACAAATGGATACACATTTTCCAGCTTATCATTTTCAATCCTTATCCTGAGATTTTACACGCTTAGGAGTGTCAGACATAAGTTAAATTTGTTCTATAAGTGTTTGCTTTTCTCAAAGCCATCAATATTTTTTGGAAGGTTTTGCACAATCTTCCTTTAACGGACGCCTTTCAACTACAGACACATCAAAAATCGGAGAAGTGATTTTGTCACAGACTGCAGGACAAATATCTGTGCGAAAACGGACACTGCAATTGAAGGGAAATTTTATCTTGAAGCTTCCCGTTTTTGAAGGGTTACTGTATTTAACAATAGATCATGTCATGAAAGGACAGTTGTTATAACTAAATGAGATAATTCCGATTTGAATTTTACAATAAAACATTTTTGTGTATTGAGTTATTAATTACTTTTGTGTCGGTGCTATATTCAGTACAGAAAAAAGAGTATTTTTATTTTCTTTTTTTAGGAGGGAATTTCCAAGCAAACGAACTCGGCGAGAGATAAGGTAAATATGTAGCCGCAACAGAGATGCAAGATTCGCTGAAATCCTGCTTCTTGCTTTGATAAATTTTGTACACGTTTTGAAAAGGAAACTTCATGTTTGTTTACCAGTGGCGTTAGAAGAGGGGGTGCATAGTGCAACCCCCTCGTATGAAAACGTATAAATATTATGATTTGGCTCAGAAAATGCCATATCACTCCCCTTTTCTTCCCATTCAGTTTTTGTCCATATAATTAAGCTCACCGCCGTATCTATGAATATATAAAGGTAGTGCAAGCCACGTCTAATAACAGTTCCAAAACGGTGTTACATAACAAAATGATTCACAGCAGAATTCAATCTTTGAAAATAGCAATACTGGAAGGTTTACAGCAACCTTCTATTTTAACGAGAGCATCCTTATTTCTTTTTCCAACTAACACTACGCTTAATCCTTATTTAGTTTTTGTTGTAAACTTCATTTTGTTTATTGTTTTTTCTCGCGCAAGTTAAGTGTCACTTTAGGAGGTGCATCTATGATTTTTTGCCAAGTTGATTTAAGTTATCAGACTTGTTGGAAGTTGACATTAACTTCAATGACAAATGCCTCTATATCTTGCACGATATTTATTTGAAGTTCCAATAAAAAAAGACAAACTTCGGCTACTTTTAGACTAAAGTCTTTACGATGCAGCTAAACTCCAACACGAAATATCATATTTGAAATACTTACGTCTTTTTCAGCAAAGAGTTTGTAGTTGGAAACATTGCCGTCTTCTATTCGCAAGTAGCCCAGCGTGAAGTGCTTTATTTGCAAGACTACGTCAAAACAAACAATCGAGTGTTTGGTCTCAATGTTACTGCCTCTGCAGTTGATGCTTTGAACGGTTTGTAATTACCTTTAGAAAGTCCCTAAGAATATATTTATTTGAATGAACAGTAGAACCTGCTAGAGGCTAGAGGATGAAGGATAGAGGCTGAAAACTAGAGGCTAGCGGACAGAGGCTAGCGGACAGGGAATAGAGGTTAGAGGCTAGAGGCTAGAGGCTAGAGGTTATATCTGAAGCTACTCTGGGTACCAGAAATTGATCATTCTAGCATAATTATATTTAATAAGCTTTGAAGAATTATTTCTATATAGATTATCGTTAGAGGTTAAATTTCGTCGTAATTTTGTTACATTTGGCGTGTAGTTATGACAACTAATGCTTACTAAAAAGAGACATCATGGAATGAAAATCTTCCATTGACAACATATTTTGCATCCACACCATATTATCAACCCACTTTTCTTATATGTATATATAAGGATTCACTTTCTTAAAGCAAATGAAAATCCAACTGCAAATTTTCCAACTGCAAGCTATACACCATCTGAATCGTATTCTGTTTTATTTGTATTACAGTCCTTCCAAGCCCTCCACAAAACTTGACAGCCACTCCACTGGACCCACATTCTATTAATGTTTGTTGGGAGTCTCTGGTGAATGTAAGCACCATCTCCAATGTCACCACCTATTTTCTATTCTACCGCGAGAAAGATTCAGACGTTGGTGTTTGGGAGGTTCGAGGGATCCCAATAGCAGCAAAGTGTTTCAATATAACCCACTTGAAGCCTGTAACTTGGTATAAAGTGCGAATGACAATCTCTGTATCATATGGCAACGGACCTGCCTCCAAAGAATTGCTGGTGCAGACGATAGAAGGAGGTAATAATCTCAATATTATATTGCACAATACACATGTTCACCCTGCTTAAGGGAAGGATATAGTTTTTCATACTTTTTTATCCACAAACTAACTCTTCCGCAAATTAAAGATATTTTAACTTCTTACAATGTATGAATCTTAAGAGAAAGAACACACAACTCTTTAAGCCTAATCGTTGTAGATCATCCATGAAGTTGTGTCTGAGATTCTTAGCTCTTTAAATGCGTCTTCAGTGCTTTTTTAAATAATCTGTTATTGGAAGCTTACGAATTTATGCTGTGTAGCATTCGATACCTTGAATGCTGTGTAATGGTGATGATATGTTGCAAGGGTTATTCGAGATTTTGCTACTTGTTTGAGTGCTCTCCCCTACTAGCTACAACCAAAAAATGTTATGAAAGCAACATGGAAGCTATATTTGCGTTTCTCAATCTGTTTCCAAAAAAGGAATTAATATCTAGACAACAATATAAAGTTTGCCTAAAAGGCCATCCAATTTACAGATGCGAAATACCTCAATCGAACATAGATATTCTTATCTCAATAATGTGGAGTTATCGAACTCGCCTCCATGTTATTTTATAATTGCACGATATGTTTAATGATTGCTTATTCGAGTGACTAACATGTTGACATGAAGTCCTTTCTCTGCGTACAGATCGGGCAATATTTTCTTTGTTTTCGCCTGCAAGGGAAGAAACTTGAATAATTGCTACCTCTAGCATTGATGACTGGATAGTTGAATGAGAACTATAGTTCAAACATCTGACTTTGCTTTTTTTGGAGCAAGTACTTTTGCCTCATTCGTATTTCCTTGACTATCATTATAATTCAAACTTTATTCACACATTTTTTTCGAAAATAAGTTTTGCTTTATGAATATTCGACAGATGACTTCTTTACTGGTATCTCTATTGCAGCTCCGAGTATTCCTCCTAAGAATCTTAAGCTGCGACCCATCAAACCAACCCAGATATACGTAGAGTGGGACCCTATTCAAACCTACTACTTTCACGGTTATCCTCGTGGCTACATCGTCTATTACAAAATTTACCAAGAAAGCAGTTATCACCAGGCAAAAGTATCTTATGGAGCATCTGACGTAATTTTGAAGGATCTAAAGCCATTTCAAATTTACCTCGTAATCGTCAGAGCATACACATCCGTTGGAGTTGGACCAGGAGTTAGCAACACTACGAAGACCCCTGAAGGCGGTAAGGGATTTTCGTTGCCCTATTACTTCGACTTATATATACAGTTAAAAATTAATATTTCACGTCTTTTTTGTTTATTATCTTCCATATATTTTCTCGCGTTTAAATTGAATTTCACAATCTTGCGCTGTCTTAAAGCCCCATAACAGCTTTGTTTTCCATAACTAAAAATTTGATTTTATGTTATAATGGACATGTAGTTGGAAAACAGATACGGTTTCTAGAGGTAATGATTGGATTGAATGTGTAGTTCATACTACTAATAGTTTTTCCTTATATGCACATAGCTTTTCATCGTAAACACTTTTTGCATGTACGTTCACAGTTCCCACGGCACCTCCTCCAAACGTTCGAGTGCGGGAGAAGTATTCCTTGGACAGTATTACGGTTACCTGGAATGAAATTGCTGCGGAAAAGTCAAACGGCCGTTTGAAAGGATACAAAGTCAAGTACACGATAACCAAAGTGTCGAATGTAGATGTTCTGGTAACTAGCAGTAGTACAAAAGAGATTATCCTCGATAAATACACGTTTAGGTTGAAAATCACTGGCCTGACCAGCTATACAACGTATGTCGTATCAGTCTGTGGTTTCACAGATGCTGGTAATGGGCCCTATTCGGATCCCGTTATTGCAGGTAAGTTCTTTGCGCTTTTGTTGGGGATATTATTCATCAAAGTCTTCAAAGATATACCCATATTATGGAGCCCCCCACAGTTTTACTTCTTTGGAGCATGCGCATTAGATAATGTTGTATGGTAATATATTTGAACTTAATGGCGAGAAGGATACGCTAAGATTTGCCTGTACTTTAACCTTCAAATCAAGGCTTTCAAGTATCTTGAGTGCCAGGCCAGAAAAAATATGGATTTTCTTCGGGGGCCACTGAGTTTTCACCTTAAACATAACTTTTACTAAAAAGCTGCTCAAAATGAAATTCAGATCTCAAACATACATAGTGATAAGATAGACAGGCCTGTTATTTCATGTTAGATTCTTTATTCATAAAATTTGTTCAGTGTAATTATTTTCATGAACTACGTTTTGGAAAGGTGGATAATTTAAGGGAAAGTGGGGGCCAATTGAAGGACATGGTGCTATACACGACGGGTTCATTTAAAGATTAAAGGATTGGTTTTAAATGAATAATGTCAATTTCTGGTATTAATTACACATTAGCATATGAAGATACCTTTTATCGTATTTGTGGTGCCTTTGAGTAGGAACAGCTACATTTCTGCCCTGATCGTAATTGGTGTTTACAATGGGACGTCTATAGAGATTAGAGGGTATTTGTTGTTTCATAAAGTAAATATCTTTCATGGAACGTCTCTGTTTTGCTTTGTTATACACATCTTTACGTACTTGCTTATTCATTTCTTACAGAAACTTGCAAATGTCCAAGTAAAATCTTTGTTAACTGGCATGAAAAGAGTCCTTACTTGCTGAAAAGCCCAAGTAGAAAAATCTCAGGAATTTTCAAAGAAATAGCTGATAAGATGATTAGAAAGTCTTGTGGGACCTGCAATGGTGTTTCACCAAATGTGAACTATTACATAAGTCCCAGTGGAGAAAGCCCAGAGAAGTCCAGTGAAGCTAAATGTTTAGCCAAACTAGGATTAGGTTATCACATCACCTTTCCTGTATTTGGGAGAGCAGAAATTCGGAATTTTATGGATCATCATATATTTGTGCTGCTTGTACAGTCTGGAGGGAGTGCAATGATTGTTAGTGGGGCCATAGATTACGCTGCAAAGACGCTGAATGCATTGAAATCAGTTCAATCGACCTGGCCAATGGTGCTAATCTCAATTCTCATGTGCATAGTATTTGGCATATTGCTTTGGTCTGTCGTAAGTATCAGGTTGATTGTTCTTTTATTTGTTGTCCGTCTCCGTGCCAGTTAGGTTTGATCATAATGATTTTTCATCATCTATCACATGACTTATGGTTTATTGTAAGAAACGATGCAAAAGTTAGATAATGTTAAGTATACTAAGCTCCAATTTGAAACGTAGTGTTGGCTTACTTTTGTTTCTTTCAATCTCGTGTATTTCTTCGCTTTTCTCTAATTTCTGATTAAACTGGGCATTCATCGTACTCTGAGAACCCCATGCTTCGCTTTATGTTTTGGATTCACCCTACTTGTCATGAAGTCAAAATGTCATCCACAATCCAAAAATCCTACCTGCCAAAGAAATGCAACATGCTTTCTAATGCTCCCAGAAATGTACCACATTCCCTATTATTTCCAAATAAGACTGAATGCTACATGGGTTTATAAAAGATTTTATAAAACTAAAAAATTTTCAAATTTGTTTATTCGAAGATTCCCAGAGATATGTCAATTCCACTATGTAACTAGGTCTTTGAATATCTGTCAAAATATTTCTATTTATTCAAAGACATTAAAAGTTTAAAATGAGCTGCATAATAAAAATACATTGAAACTGAGGAATTTGTTGTCTAATCAGTAATTCCAGCATTAATTTCTCATTCAATCATAGGAGCAATTTCAAAATGAAGAATTTGCAAAAGGACGGTACATATGTGGCATGTGTCAAGGTTTATGGTGGGCATTTGTTTCCATGACAACAGTTGGGTGAGTTTTGCTTTCATTTCGTCCAGTGGCGTAAAGGGTATCTTTGCTCGATAGCTCAGGGTCCCTGGAAAAAAGGGGCAGAGAAAGCCCTAGAATCTTTTTAAGATCATTTTTAAGGTTCGCTCAAGGTAGCCCTTAGGCTTTAAAATGTTTAAAAAATTCATCTTTATCTTAAATCATATAGCTATTGTCCTTGACATTCGTACAGGACCGTGTTACTTGCTATCTATATAGCTCTATACCATTAGAAAGGAACTTATTGCAGTCCATTCATAGCGACCCCATACCCATGGATGCTTACAACCAAGGGGAATTGTTTCTTGAATGTTTTGTGGCTCTCATTGAAGACTAGTTATCTCGCCATGTGATCACATAAAGCATGAAACAGCTCGGAGTTGCAACAAAAAACCATCTTATTCTACACGCAAAAGCGTTCATCGCAGGCAAAATCAGAGATGTGGGATAAAGCTTTAAGTGACTTGTGCAAGCAATTTTTTGTATTTTTAGGTATGGGGACGTAACACCAAGAACATTTCTTGGAAGACTTATTGGCATAATATGGACGTTGATTGGCTTAGTGCTAACTGGAATACTTACTGGTGCTCTAACATCAACAATCACAACTTTAACAATACCACCAACAGTTACTTTATACGATACAAACGTAAGTGCCAAACAAGTATTCTTCTACATTGTCACTTACGAGTAATGCTGCTTTTGAACACACAATTGAAGAACTACCCAAACTCTTAACTTCACTATTCTGCAAAAGCTAACAAGAACACAGTGGGTTCAAAAGCTGTTTTCAAAGCAGTTTCTTGTCGTGTTATCTGTCTTATGAATTCTCAAAAATTTTGATAAATATTGAAAAGCGCACTGTAGAATTGATTTAATTTTAGGCTGCTGTCATCAACAACTCATTTGAGCACGGACTAGCGGTTAGAAGAAATGCAAAAATTTTACCAAGTATGTGATTTTGTTAATACCACTATGGTCAATCTCTTTAGATCATGTTATCATATTGCCCTCCATCCAATGAGTGTCTTCCACTAAAACAGGCAAAGTTAAATGGGTTCGTGACAACAAAATTATATAAGTCTTGAAGCAGATTAGGCATGTCCTTACAATGTCTTAAGTTCTAAAAATATTGAACATATTTTTTATGGCAAACCGTTTCTGACGCCTTAGATGTCAAAAAATTAAGAATCTACAGAACTTCTCACCCTTAGATCTAAGAAACTGCTTGGAAATTGTATAATTAAAACAGAGATGTAAATGATGTTTAAATCGTTTGGTACTCATTTCTCGTTCAATTGAAATCTATAAAGAAATAACTTTTACGACTGATAATGTGCTCTGTTCTATGGTATATTATGCTTCGTTTTGGTGTTGATTGAAAATAATAGATTTCCAACACTTTGTATTTTAGAGTGCTAATTCCGTGCTTAGTTTCTTGTGAAAATACGTATAACCATTTGTATGCAAAAACTAAGGACAGAAAACGAAAACGATTTTGTAGAATGCCAACCTAGATGGGACATGTAAGCTGTATTGGTTAGGCACACACCAGATATAATAAGAAGATGAGATCATAACTTTTGTATGACACTTCTTTGTTATTAGTTTAATACATTGTTAAGCTCCTACACTTATTTATTGAAGATCATTTTTTAATAGACTTGCTCAAAGAACCTGTTACAATTTGCTACTTTTTTCCGTAGACATGAAATATGATACTGCTGCAGAGGTGCTCTCTGCTTTGGACAAGAAGCAAGTAGACGCAGCACTTCTGGATGCCTTTGAAACGGCAAGTCACACCCCAACGATCAACAGGTTGAATCTCAAAGTGAAGAAAGTCATTCCAGGAAATGCAGGCTTTGGTTTTGTTCTTTCTAAAGAGTTAGTCCGTCTTGAAAGTGACTTCCGGAGTTCTATTTCTTCAGAGCAAGCCAGAGTAACAGAATTTGTCGCCAACATGACCAAGAAACTCGAGGTATGTTAAACTATTTTACGTTTGAGTGGAGGCAAGGCACAACCAGTACATGACACAACGGAGTGGAAGGGTAACGGGCGTGAACAATGAGAGCACGATCTTCTTTCACATTTAAATTCTTTATCCCGGTTTCATTTTCCTTAAGGAAGTCTTTTCCTCAGAAAGATATCACTTTTGACTTACAGGGGGGGGGGGGTAATTACCATCCCCTAGCGCCGCCTCTGGATTTAATGAGATAGAAGGTTTTCTCTGTCTGTCAAAAGTACTATTATTTATTTCTTTTCCCGAATTCCACTTCTTCGGTTCCCTTTTCTCAATAAACAATGTTGATCGTTCAGAAGAACAATGTAACTAAAGTCACAGGGAAAAACATAACCTATAATATTCTTCTTGGCCCACATACTGTATCAAGGGAGGGAGGATGGCTGAAATTGCCTCTGGCTGAAATTGCCTCTGAAAATTGATGTAATTTTACTAAGCCCTTTGGCAGGAATTGTACCTGTACCTGATGCGTCTACATGCAGGGCATTAGTCTCACATTTACGACTCCTTATTTGCGATTAATCGTAATAATTAATCGAGATGCTGCAGATACGGGGGCATTTGGGGACGGCGGCCCCCTTGCCCTGGCAAAATTAGGCCCTTATTCTGGTGTTTTCACTTCATAAAAATTTCTTTTCGCTATCAGACACTCCTGTATTCTTTTTTCGATGTATCGTCTGTACAATTGTTGAGCGTTTTTCGCAGCTTTCAAACGAGAAGCCACCGAACATTCAGCTGTTTGATCCAAAGACCCCAGCCTTTTGGTTTGTCCTGAATTTTGCGTGTATTTCTTGCAGCTTTCAAACGAGAAGCCACCGAACATTCAGCTGTTTGATCCAAAGACCCCAGCCTTTTGGTTTGTCCTGAATTTTGAACTGTACTTTCTTGGACTTTTGACTTTTCTTGGCATTTCATGGACGGTACTCAGACAGTTGAGAAAACGACGCAAAGTTGCTCCACCAGCTGGTAAGTATTTGCTCATAACTTTAAGGCCTTCATAACACGGTGCACCGAGGCCATACCAAGCCAAGTTTCGAGGTTTAGACAGGCCATTGTAAGGCAAACCCTCCTGGAAATTTCATGGACAGGCTTTTTGTACCCCCAGCCCCTTGAGATTGCTGGAAACACTATTATTCTAAATTGAGAGACCCTTAGGCTATGTGAGTTGCTTGTTTATTGGCATTTATTTTTAAAATTGTAATAGCAACGCCTTTCATAGCTCCACATTTATCCAATTCTGTACTGCCTTGGTAATTTTGCGTCTACTGTTCGTCAAAAAAATCAACCCTTCAATTTGATGCATCGTTAGCCTTTTTGCTCGTTTTCAAAATTATAGATTTAAATAATCAATCAATCAAAAAAAAGTAGTTTGTCAAACATCTGTTTTTCATACCTTACTAAACTTTGGTTTCTGGGTTGCTTAAATTAATATAAGAAATTCACAATTTCCGATTTATGGCTTTAACTATTCAAAGGATCCTTGCTTATTACCTGGAAACGTTTGGTTACTTGCCAGTGCTACTTTTATACTTTTTCTTACAATTCTCTAGACTACATGCGGATATTTGCAGACATTTCAGAATGCAGCCTTGAAGAACTCAGAGATTCTTTACACGAGAAGGCTCGTACATTAACACTTAAGCACCAAAGAGAAAGGCTTGAGTTAATGGAATTGAAGAGGAACATGAAAAGGCACTCTAAAAGATCTGCGAAAAGTAACCTGTGGTTTTGACAGCATCGTAGATATTTATTTCACCAACCATCACGTGGACTAATTGTTTTAAAACTCTGGTCAAACTTCTAGATTTTGCTATACATCATCATACATACAGTGCTCTTTGGGTCAGTGAATTCACGGCCATACGCAGCTTTTATAGAAACATTACCTCTAAATAATCACAGACTAACATGCAGACTCATTTGGATGTAAGATTCGCTTGGTTACTCTAATACAGTTTTTCCTTTCATGTTCATTTTACATTACCTAAGTTTACTCCTTGCACGTTATTAAAAAGCCTAAGTGAAAAGACGACCACTGTCCATCTACATAAACCTCAATTATCATGTGAGGAAGACAAGAATTGCCCGGTCATTCATTCTTAATTATCTTCACTGTATGTTTTGGCACATTTTCAATTTTCAAGCAAATGTTGTCTTATTGTTGTTACACATCTTATTTGAGCATTGGGGCCTATTCATGTAAAAGCTTTCTGTTTTCTTCATGACACAGTTTTTTGCCTGATGCTTATTGAAATATGTTGTTCGCTCATCTGCTATTTATTTCATTCCAATATTTTGAAATCTCCATTTGCCCGCTCCAAAAGCCTTCGTTATATTGCACATTTTTAAAGACAAATTGTTTTGGATTACAGTTTGATTTTTTATATCATAGAAACAGCCCTGTTTTGTTTAATTTTTTGTTGCCACTTTTGAATGTTGTTAATCTAAATTACTTTTAAGTACACAAAATCCAGCACCAAGGAAATTTTTTTGTCAATTATTGATAATTATTATACAGTGACGACAATATAAGCAGACAATCAGCGAAGAGTTGACACTGTAAATATTTGGTCACATAAATATGGAAATACAATGATCTACGATGATCAACAGATCAATATGGCTACAATGATAGACATATTAGATTCGGAAAAGCAGGTAATAGCGTGGAAAAAACTAGAGGGGCTCAAAACTAAACTGCAGGGACTATAAAATGGAAACTGTTTTATAATAATCAAACAGTTTCCATTCTATAGTCCCTACAGTTTAAAATTCAAGGTGCGGTAAATATATATCTAGATAAATATTTTGCTATACTCCTTATGCTAAATATTCCACTTTTAAATCTTATTTGTTAATGATTGCAGACAATTTTATTTCTATATTTATGTGACCTAAGTTTTCCAGGACCATCACTAAGCTGCCTGTCTGCACGTACATTTCCTGGTTATATGCATTCTGAGTATATGCATTTACAATAAGGGTTGCAAAAACGTCTCATACTCATTTGCAGTCCATCGGTTGACAACGATGACTGTTCTACGTTTTAGGTTGAATGACTTTCCTCCATGATTGACGATCCAGCGCTTTGGACTGCCAGTCCTGCGTCTTGATGTCTCTCCACTTCATATTTCTTTTTGTCACGTCTTTAAATCGGAGTCTTGGTCTACCCTGATTTCGCTGCCCCATTTCTAGCTGCGAGTAGAAGAGTTGTCTCGGCAGGCGCTCGCGTCCAATTCTGTGGACATGCCCTATCCATCACAGACCTTTTGTGATAAGCATATCGGCCATGGATGGCAGTCCAGCTCTCTTCAAAATCTCAACATTGGTTATCCTGTCTCGCCATGAAATATTCATTATTTGTCTTATGTGCCTCATCATAAAAGCATGCAGCTTCTACTTGAAACCGTTAAATTGTCCAGGTCTCCGCACCATACAGTAGGGCTGACAAGACAACCGCTCTGTATACCTTGCACTCAACTTTAAAAAATACATGGTGGTTATTCCATAGCCTCTCTTGCAGTCTACCAAAGGCAGCACTGGCTTAACCCATCCTATATATCAGTTCTTTGTCGAGTTTGGCTGATTCGGAGATGGTGCTTCCTAAATACACGAAGTTCTTACTCCGAACAAGCTTCTCGTTGTTGATCTTAATATCAGAAGGCAGGAGGCACCATTAGCTTGCTTGGTTGGTAAAGGCACTCAGTTTTCTTGATGTTTATCTTGAGACCGAAGCTTCTAGCTGCACTTTCAAACCTATCCACTAGCGCTTGGGTTCCCTCAGCAGTGTGAGCTACGATGGCACTGTCGTCAGCAAAGAGCAATTCCTGTACAAGTATACGCTCTGTTTTGGTCTTCGCCTTGAAGTGTGACACATTAAACAGATCCGCGTTGTGTCGTGTCTGTATATAGACTCCCTCCTCGGTGCTCCTAAAAGCCACTTCTAGCATAGCCGCGAGGTAGAGTGAAAACAGAGTTGAGGCCAAGACACAGCCCTGTTTGACACCTGTGGAGACAGCAAAGTCTTTTGACTGAGCATTTCCGTATACTACATGGGCTTGCATTCCATTGTGGAGAGCTGCAGTCAGCTTTATGAATTTCTCTGGGCACCCAAACTTCCGGAGTACCTGCCACAAACCCTCTCTAGACACAGTATCAAATGCCTTACTGAAGTCGATGAATACAGCATAAAGCGGCATGTTCTGTTCTAGACACTTCTCCTGGACTTGACGAAGAGAAAATATCATATCCATTGTACTTCTTCCACTACGAAAACCACACTGGGTCTCCGGTAAAGCCTGAGGTGTTATCTGGCTATTTAGTCTGTTTAGCAAGATTCTAGCCAAAATTTTGCAGTGGTCCATATACTGCTTTCAGGCCAGAGTAGAAACCCTTTACGTCGTTTGCGTCAGCTAATACCTGAAGCTCTTGAGATTTGGACTCCCACCAATCAGATTTTAACTGTCTCGTGTATTGCTGCAACTTCCTCTTTGCCTCTGTTAGCTGAGCCTTGGTCTGTCTAGTGCTCCTTTGCAGCTGTTTGTCTCTTGCTTTGTTTCTATCCTCTATCAGTTTAGTCATTCCTCGGTCACTGTCGTCAAACCAGTCCTGGTGCTTCCTTTCGGTCTCTCTAGTACTGCAAGAGCTGTCTGGTGTGCTATGTTCTTGAGTTCAGTCCATGAACCTTCCAGGTCATTTTCTTTAAGATTATACCTTTCTAGTGCTGTGTCGATCTCTGACTCTAGCTGTTCCTTTACTTTATTGTCCCGGATTCTCACTGTGTTGATCTTTGTAGGTGGTGCAGGGCCGGTTTTTCGGTGCTGTCCCCTGGGTGAGAAAGCTAGCTTCGATCGCAGCATGAGGTGATCAGTAGCGCAGTATGCCCCTCTCATTACCCGTGTGTCATGTACCTCACTGAGATCGTTCCTTCTTGTAATTATGGAATCCAACAAGTGCCATTGTTTGGAGCGTGGATGCATCCAGGTGTTTTTATGATGTTCTTTATGCCGGAAGAAGGTGTTAGTAATGACGAGGTTGAGCTCGGAGCACAGTGATAGTAGAAGTTCTCCATTACTGTTGCATTTCCCAGTTCCGTGGGGACCAATAACTCCAGTCCATTTGTCGGCCTTACATCCTACTCTCGTCTCCAGTCTCCAGCTACCAAAAATCTGTCATCTTTCGGAACTTGGTTAGAGCTTGCCTCAGGTCGCTATAAAACTCCTCTTTGGTTTCCTCTGGATTTGTCATGCTAGGGGCATACACGCTCAAAATAGTGACATATGTGCTACCCTTCAACGGAAGGCGCATTGACATCAACCGGTCGTTGATGGGTTTTGGATCTTGCTCCAGTTGACCTGCAATTGAATTCTTTATTGCAAATGCAATCTTTATTGCAAATGCAACTCCTGCTTCTCTGCGCTCAGCTTCTCCATTGCCACTCCAGAAGAAGGTGTAGCCTTGGTCTACGATACTGTCATATCCTGCTAGTCTAGTCTCACATAGTGCAGCTATATCGATGTTGTATTTATCTAGCTCCTTGGCCACCATTGCAATCTGGCGCTCTGGTCTTGTTGATCTGTTTCGGTCTAGGAGTGTTTGTACGTTCCATACAGCAATTGTCAATTTCTTACATCCTATTCGACTTTTCACTGTCCGTCGGAGTGGGAGCGGTACAGCGCGGACCTTTTTTTCCGGGCGACGTCCCAGCCGGCATCCATTTCATTTCTTTCAACCATATTTCATAGAACTGCAGGCAAGAGTGTTGAAGTGGCACTAGGTTTTGCCTTGTTGCTAGAGCCACTCTCTCGGCAAGTGAGAGTGAGTACCAGCGGCAGGGACAGACCGAGACATGCTGGGTCACTCTGACTGCTGCAGCAGTTGGCCGAAGGATAGGTTTGTTTATCCTCGCCCTTTAGGACACCGCAATTTTCTTGGTTTTCTGTCAGGGTTTGCTCCCTTAGCCTTTGTCCTGTAGGGGGACGGCTGCAAGGCAGCAGAGGGGTGGTAGATGAGCGCAAGACCCAAGGTGCATGCGCTCTTTAGGTAGGTGTTGTTTTTATCCTACCAGGGTGTCTAGCCACCCTCCCACGTCCTGTTAAAGCCAGTGGGTTCTCCGGATTAGTCGCCGGAGAGCTCGACCATGTGGCAGGTAGTACTGGGTTACAGTGTTTACCAGTAGCAAGCTTGTCGTCCAAAGCCTGACCTGACTGAGTGCAAAAACGTAGAGGCTTAAGTATCGCCACCTGCTGAAGGTTATGTTTGGATCATTTTACCAGCAATCAAATTTCACAATTGCTTGCTGCTTAAATCAAGATTTCAAATGAAGATTGATATCTATTTCAGTTTAACCGTTCAATGGGCAAGTTCTAAACACTAAATAGTTAAGATACACTCATTTTTTATAAGAAACTGGCTATAAGAAACGAGTACTGGACAGTCAGAAAAAATTAAGAAACTTCAATACTCAAAGCAAAACAAAATTAAGAAACTATTAAATCGTGATAGAACTGAGAACAACGAAATTTTGTAAAATCTAAGAACCTGGTTGCCCTGTTGGCTTAGAACTTAAGATACAAGCGATAAAAATATATTTTCCACATCTAAATACAGCATCAGAACGGAAGCAAATCTCTTCACGTGATGAAAAATGTCATGAATATATTACATAACATCATTCATGACATCATAATTAAGAAACTCTTGAGACCTTTGTTTCTTACAAAAAAAATGAGCGTAGATCATCTTTTGTTATACACACTTTGAAATTCTACTTCATCGTCACCTTGTATTTCCTAGTATCCTACTCCTCCTGTCAGTCTATTGTACTTTAGTTTTTTCAAGAGATAGAAATCATGCTATATACTGGCTACTTTTGCAAAGAAAAAACCTGTTCTTGACACTGCATTTTGAGTTATATGATCTGTTCTTTAAATTATATTACCCGTTGTTAAATATTTTTATGATCTCC